GATGCATTGCAACCATATTTGTGAAGAGAACTAAATAAAACATAATAAAGAATATTAATATAAGTAATTAGAGTATATTCATTTCAATATTAATATTAATCATTAAGAAAATCGGTTATGAAGTATATAGAAAACATATAATACTATACTAAACAAGTATTACTTTAATGAAGTATAATTTATTAGTAGTGGAAATATTTGTAACATCACAATTGTACAATGACATACTAATATGTTTATCATTAATTAGTGTTACAGCGTAGTATTGTCGAGTACATTTTCATTCTAAACGCATTAGCTGCCGAATGAGTAACATAATATATATATATATCATGTTTATTCAAAGCTTCCAGCAAATATTTCAGAAAGAGGTAACTTACGTGTAATATAGTTAATGTGACAGCAATAGCAATTTGTATCTGCTATCTACAAAACCATATAGATTTTAGTTTTAATATAGAACAAATATAAAAATAAGAATTAATAAAAAAATAACCTATTTGAAAAAATACAGAAGAGAATAGTAATAATAGAAATATATAGTGAATTTCATTGATTTTTTATTATATTTGAATACAGGATTAACCAATATGCATTCGTTTGGGTATGCATAACAAATTACCTCAACCCAAATCTATTGACAATAAATTAACACTACCATATTCTACGATTGCAACATGTACATACGTATATTGCAACTATATTCCTACGTGTAATTTCCCCAATTAATTTAACGACAATAACATAATACTCCAATGTAACAATGAGATGTTATATTATTGATGTTAAATTTTCATATACTTTAATCAAAATTGCCTAACAAAATATCATATGTTTATATTGATTAATAATAAAATAAGTCCTCCACGCAGACTGCAATTACCATTCCACCTTCCATTTGTTTTTTATATGACAAACTTTAGTGTTCGTTCTACGATTATTTTCTAAGTAATTTTCAATTGCGAAATATTGTAATTATCAAACTAAGGGGTATGTAATAATGATATCATTGATTATTAATACAATTATCTTTATACATAACCATGTAGGTGTATGTTTTCAGAACTGAATTAATGTTCTTGAAAATTGCACCTGATAACATCGATGGCTTCCTGATTATTCAATATCATTGTATTGTTCACAAGTTTAAAATAGGTACCATTGATAAAACTTGATATTATTATGTATTTGACAGGTGGCATTTCTCACAAAAACATTCTGACAAAGAATATACTTGTGTGAAATATTATACAGTTGACATTCTGATGGATATAGTTGATTGATGAAAAATTAGAAATTGTTTCTTCAAAACAACGAACGATGAACGCAAGATGACTTCGCTCATTTTTACACCGATTCATGTTAATTAATTGCTATTAGATATATTTTCTTAATTAATCTTAAGGTTTTGTGTAGCGCTAATATTATTATTATATAGATATTTCATTAGATAAATAACATCAATATAGGGTCTCTTCAAACGCTTACTTTTACACATACCTATAACCGAATTTTATAAGAATCCCTTGTTATCTTTTTATATCATTAAAAATAAGTCAATCTGATCTTGGGAAATTTGACTCTAGTCAATTGCAACACATAAAAAGATGCTCATGTTTTAAAAGTAAATATTTAAAAATACATCTCAGCACCAGAAAAATTTTCAAACTCATTTGTAGACAAATACTAAATAAAGTGAACACATTTTTCTAAGACTTATCTAAGGGTTTTTCCAACTTTAAGATGAACATTACAAGTACTACTCATGAGTCCCAGGAATGTCATATATCTACGGGGAAAGCCCAAACAAATGTACATGAACGATAAATTCCTTTATTTTATGATACTTGAGTAATCCTCATAAATTTACAGACTACCACTTAAAACTGTAATTTTATTTTCAAGATCACACCTAACAGAAAATAATCGGTTGACAGTGAAGAACATCAGGTGACGGACGGACGGAGTGGTGCACACTCAACAGTCGTTCCGCGTTGTTTTCGTGTGTACTACACTTACGCAAGTCCGCTCTGAAATTAGCGCGCCCTTTGTGACTGCTGCCACCCACTTTATTACACCTCACAGCTAACAGATTCATCATGAATAATATTGAATATATATATATACTGAGATGTATTAGAATATTTTACTATTTTAATACTTCTGTAAGTTTATTTCTTAGGTAAGTCTATTTGGGTCCAATTGAAGACCAAAATGTAACTAATACATGCCAAAATGTAAATAATACGAATTACTAATACATGCAATTACTAATGAACCTATTCACACCTCTCTATGACATAACGCCGCGTTTACTTCGAAATTCATGAATTGTTATAAAACTAATAGAAAATTAAAGTAATATTGCATAACGGAGCACACCACCTCCCACTTAAAAAGTTTGACATAAAAAATGACAATTGACTATACAATTATAAGTATACCATGTCACGTCTTGTCTCGATCCACTGTCTAGACGTCACACACGACTCCAATTTTTTTCTGTTCTCGGTAATACGATTTTTGGCAGAGTAGTTAAGATAATCTTGGCAAACATTAGTAACTTTCATTCGTGGCGGTAAATGAATGAAAGCAGACGGGGAAAATGAGTCATGTTGCCTATCCGGACAACAAGTCCTTGATAACTGTTCGAAAATTAAAATTATGGCATCATTTACGCTTCATAAAACTAATTCACGTAATGTATCAACTCTTTTTGATCATCATTTAAAAATTCTAGTGTAGGCTTATGCGTAGTAACTTCAAGCCCATTCAGCCGTCATTTGATTTTAACATTTTATAATATTCTGCTGCCATCGACAGTTTACTTTGCAAATTATTTTCCTGTTTACAGCAGTGAATTTAGAAGACCCAATAAACAGCAAAGCAGTGCCTCCTTAAGCATAACACTTTAGTCTCCAGGAACGGCAACGCATGACACGACATTCAGCGAAACATATTCTGTAATATCTGTGATGTTCATGTTCTTACACTATAATTACCACTTAAGTTATCTTTCAGCTATGTTTCCTATTAATAAATATATTTTCATTGTTAAAAACGTCCTCATTAAATGTTCTTTTAAGTCTAAGTATTAACTTTTATTATGACCTATATTGATTACTAGCTGCACCCGCGATTTCGCCCACGTAGAATTTAACTTTATTTTTCTACAATAAAAGTAGCCTAAGTTTCTCCTTATTACATCAGCTATCTGCCAAAAAAAGTCCCGTCAGAATCGGTTCAGCCATTTCAGAGATTAGCCGGAACAAACAGACTGACACAAAAATTGTAAAAAATGTTATTTTGGTGTATGTACCGTATTTGTATTTATATGCATGTAGTAAAAAACGATTATTTCAATATTACAAACAGACACTCCAATTTTATATATATGTATAGATATAGTGTGCAAAATAACTACGTACGTAACTTACGTATTTTTAAGTCACCAGGGCCCAGGAACTGATTAGTAAGTACCTTTATTAAACTAATTAGTTATTATTTTGTAAATTATATTATAGTAATTACCTAGATATAAATTTTATACATATCGAAAATTACATGATTTCTAAGAAGCGTCGTTACATCATTTTTATGTTACGCTATAAAATAGACGAATTAAAAACTTTTAAAGAAAAGCAATCATATGAAGTTTATGATAAGATAACCAAATCGTACGATATTGATATTCTCGAGTGTCATAATATTATACATCACAGTTAAATGTCAAACTGAAACGAGATAACTAATGATAGCTACATGAAATTTGAAATTCCAGGTTTATCCTCTCGTCACTTGAATTATCATATTATATGTACATACATGAAAGTGGTCTGTCTATCAATTACATTTTTAATAAACTACTGAAATTATTTTAATGAGATGCAGTTTTGAATTAAAATACATAACGACATACATTATTTTTAGGTAATAATTAACTTCATTACTATTTAATTACTTGTCTATGACAAATTGAAGATCTCGGTTCTTTTCGATTTCTAAGCTGCTGCTGTGAATTACTGTATATTCTATAGGTATATCTTCTAACTATATCTATAAAAACATTTTAATCCGCTGATCATGTTTTAGTGGTTAGACGTTATCAGCCAGGGCGATCGATCAGCTTCGATATATCCAACAATTCTCATAGTACTATTCTCCTTTTTGATTCCCAGGACAGTTAAAAAAGAGGGGATGATTAAAATATATATTTGTTATATTATATTTTATATATAATTAATAGTTAAATACACATAGCATACACATACATACTAGTTAATATATAATGTAATAGATTTAATATTCATATATATGTATACATCATATATTTACATGCAAGGAAAGATGCTTCCTTATTTCAATTGTATTATGATTTTGCAAATTTATATATATATAGTTATAACATTTTGTTAATGTTTTTAGTTACAGACAATATGCATTTTCGTATTTGTTGCATTTATTTTCTACCTGTAGGTACTTAATCATAATTTTAACAATACGCAAGTCACATGCAAGTTTACATAACCCGTGTCTTTGCCCGATAACGCAGATTGTATCATCCTGCGAAAATAGATCTTTGACATGCCTCTTCTTTGCCGCTCTGGTTGATACAGTGACGATGTATTACCACTTTCACGTGGTATTGTTTTTATTATGGCACCGAAGTAACGACCGTATCGCCCGCTGATAACGATACGCCTATTGATAAACATAAGTACCTACTTTAAATCAACCGAGACCGCGTTACAGTTCGCATACGAGCCTACTACATGTAATTAATAGATCTAGTCACCAAAACAACGCATATAACGAAGGAATGCAATTATTTACATAAACACACGTGTCGTACCCGTTCACCGTTTAGGTGTGCGTGTTCCAAATCGCATCTGATAAAATATAGATGCGGATGCAACGCATCGGCCGTTAGATGCGGCAGATTGATGTGCGTTTAATTGCAGTGGGAGTGTTAGATTATATCGTTGGCAGCGACCACTCACCGGCGGGACGTATAGTCCGTCTTGCGGGCTCGTCCTCGCGCAAGTTGGGTGCATGTCGACGCGCCTCGGCCAGGCCCAGAGGGGCTGCCAGCGCCAGGAGCACCAGCGCAGGCAGCATCGCGCCACCTGAAGGTACCACTAGTAATAGCAACGAGTTTTCGCTCCCGGCCGAGCTCACTTATTTTGGCCGCGCGCGCTATGTCCGCACGAGTGCAGTTCGATTATAGCGTGTTCGCGTGAGGCGTGTAAACGTCGTCGTGCCGCGACGGCTGAGCCAGACTGAGCCGAGAGCTGCACGATTTCCCGGCATTGGCGGCGAGGGGGCCGGCGTGCCCCTCGCGGAAAAGCGCACTCGCGCGGCCCACGAGCGGTGCGGGCGGAGAAAATTGCACTGCCGCCACCAGAACCGCCCGCCCCACCGCGCCCGTCCTACCGCCCGGCGCCCGTGCACGTCATTAGGGCGACACAAACATTCTACATACACCCAGTTTCACTGATTATATATTTCTTATATGCATATATTGTGTTTAATATGTATATAATTTATATGCATGTAGATTTAAGAATAAAAATAAAGTGAACTTTAGTATGGTATACATTATTTTATAACACAGTGGTAATAATTTCTGTTTATTAATTACATATTATTAATCGAAAGCAAAAGATTTTACTCGAATATTCGAATACACTATCTATATAGGTATTTTATGAATCGTTGAACTCTATTGTACTGCTGCAAAGCGGTTAACGATTCAATAACTCCCAAAATGTTCCTTTTAACGTTATATCCAAAGAAAAATATAAATTCCAGTAAATTGTACAAAGAATACGTGCCAAGTCCTGAATGAGGAAAACGTAAACTGTTATAATTATTGAAATGTTATAATTAAAAATATAGAGCATGAACTAAATAGGTGTTAGGTTTAGGTATTTCAAAGCTTTCATCTTTAACTAACAATATTATGGATATAAAATGCTCATCACGTGCTAAACTTGTTACTATTATTGATTTGTAGAGTTGTAGACTTCTATAATGTCAATCGCGTCAGAAAATGTAGTCTTCTAAAATTATATATACCTACATTAGTTATTGTATTTAAAAAGTCCAGTTATCTGATAGCGTTATTTTTTTCTTTTTGGCAAGGTTTGCTTGCTCTTTCTCTTAAAAGGTCACCACTCATTCCTACGATTGAAATAAATAAGAATTCTTATTATTCTTATGATGACAGCCTATGTATTAAAAGGCCCTGGGAAGGGAATTTCTTTGTCATGACTAAATTGTATCCCATCTAGTAATACGAGTAAAGAGGAAGGGATTTTTTATAGACGATAATGGAATGATGCACTCGCCTTCGCTAACAGTTTACGCTGGCAGGGCACCAGTGGAGGTTAACAAAATTGAAACATGAAGGTCAGTTAACCCATCTTGACAAATTCTTCAAGAGTTTATCATTATGGTTTCCAGGGGGACCGCGTGGAGGTACCATCTGACATGGTACATTGCTAACAATGCTAACAATGGGCTCAACAGTCCACATTACTTGTAACAATCTTTAAATTATTTGCAATGAATACTAGTACAATAAAATAGAATAGGAACCCCTTTATTCGAATAAAAATAATAATAATAATATTCGAAAATTTAACTTTTGAATATTGATAGTTATTAATTTTAATCTATCGCTTATTGGGAATGCTGTCTCATCACAAGAACGAGCAAGAAATTTGCGTGTTTCTCTTTTAAATAATCGTTGTAACGTTGTAACGTGTGTTGTTATATTTCTAACTTCAAATATGTGAATACAGACTACCAAGATGGTAGTGATCTTGTTGCGAGTCATGTTCTTCATCAGATCGATAAATTATTGGTAAATTTATCACGATGGCCTAACTGATTTAACTTCATGCTCACCCCACAATTCTGCAATGTACCCGCTAATGTATACCGTTAGCATAGGCTGGTACCATTACATACATACCATTCAGTAACAATGAAATAGGTAATAATGCTCTATACAGTCGCAATAATAATGGGAATTAAGTGACTCGAATTTTCAGAATAGGACAAGTTAAGTGGGATATGAATGTATGTTGAAAAATGGATGATTGTCTTATCTCTTTTGGCTCCGACTTACAATTAAAAATATCATTATATCAGTCTTTTTTAATATCAAGGCTAATATTACGAATGCGAAAGTGTGTCCATCTAACTCTGTTACCTTTACACTATTAAACATCTAAACAGATCTTCAAGTCAAATTTTATTTTCGACGTGAATATCGATTGAGGTTCGATCGAGATTCGACATTAGCTACCTTATCAAAAAGTGAACAAAGACGCGGGTAATACTGCACTTATAAAACCACGGCATTTAGCATATATTTCTGAGTAAAAAAAGACAAACTCACAACTTTACTAAATGTTACACAAATTAATGTACTTCTAAATTGAGCGGTAGTTGCTAAAGTAAATTCAAATGTAATAATTTACTGAATTACATCTGGTGCTAAACTCAATTTGGCAAATGTCCCAAATAATCTATATATCATATTAGTGGATAAATAATAGAAACATGAATAGTATTATTGGCCAACAAATAACTGCTTACTTATCTGTAATGTGTGAGTTATATTATCTGACACCATATTGTTATATTTTAATCATAAAACAGAATGTAATCAAGGACTAATCTAATGCTATAATAAAGAGATGTTTATAGGTTGCATCTTTCAACCAAACTAACATGAGAGTAAAAACTATTGTTTTGCCAAAAGAATTACCTGCCGTGAAGATACCAGATAGCCATAAAAATACGATCATAAAGCCCAATACTCTTTGAAATCGATAGAAACAAAAATAAAGAACAAGAGTGATGTCTTTTGTTCTTATAATATACAACACATGTTTAAATAAAAGGCATCATAGAAAAAGAGTTAGATGTATACAAAAGCCAACAATGAAAGCTAGTATTACCTATACCTAGTAATAGTACCTATACAGAACCAGAGAGTTTATAGATCTAGAATCAAGAACAATGTACCTAAATTCCTTGATTTACCTTTTATCCGTCTCATCAGAGATGTACTGAAAAATTCGTCTATGTGGATGTCGTCTATTTCAGCGGGCAGGCAGCTTCCTTTGGTGTACGGTGCAGGTTAGGCAGTGAAATTACAGGATAAGAATAATGGCATCTTAGTCCTCTGGAATAGCCACCATGAATGGCATTATGGGCGTCACACATTGGACGTTGTGCTTTTCATGAATTTAAGTAGCCACTACAACTTAACATGTGGGCCAATAGGTCGTTTGCCATTCCAATGAGATAAAATAATAATACAATACGAATAAAATTAAAACTACATATGCATTAAATATACAGCCATTTCTGCTTGTCTTCCACAAATAAAATATACCTCGTTCTTCTGCAGGTGGGTAAAGAGATGCTAACAAGATGCCGTTTGTCGAACACCTACGCTTTACTCGTCTTGAGACACGTTTGTTGACTTTTTATCAAACTTTGACTCGTCGGTCTATAAAATCAAATCAGCGTCCAGCATGTTCCGACAGAATTCAAGTCGCCTTGCTGGATCTCCTTTTTCTAACGATTATACAGGCTATTAATGATAAGGATGTCGGCCCGATAAATATATAACAGACCAAACTTTCACAGCCAAACAGACAAACTTTTGACAGAAAGTTTAACGCAGTTGACCGAATGAAAAGCACATTTTCGTCACGGATTACAAATACTGAAATGCGAAAATGTGTCCGTACATGCATTCGAAATCAAAGGGCTCATATTGAGCAAGATTTATAAAAATAATAAACATTTATTTCTGTATAAATTTGTTTCATTTATCTGTCCAAAATGAAGTAACACCTTTTAAAGATTCTCCTTACCGTTAAAATTATTCTCTTTCAGTTAAATATCGACTATTATACCTTTTTAGATAGCTTATTAGATGAGATAGTTTGATTAGTATTTTGTCAAAATATTTTTAAGCTACATGGCACTTAAACTCAAGTAACGTTTAATTTATCAAAAACAATAAAATCGTTTGTAGTCATAACTATTACTTATTAAGCTTTCATGGGTATTTTGTGAGTTATTATGTTTTGTTACCAAGTCCTCTATACATAAAAATTAGGTTGAAAGACATTCCACAAGCCAATTTTTTTTAATAATGTTGTAAAGACGCTGAATTGGACATTTTTTAAAAATCACAAAATTCAGCATAACTCTAAAACTATTAACTTTCGGCCAAACATATATAGGGTCAAAATTATTGCATTTGGGCTTCCCTATCTCTTCCTGACGGGAATACGTCGAGTCACCAGTAACCCTGTATATGTAGGTAAATAAACATGAATCAACAAATAGGCTACAGAAAAAAAAAACCCAAGGAGCAAAATTACTACCTTTTCCCTATTAACTCAAAAATCTGCCATTGAACTCTAACAACAACTGTCAATTTATCTTTTGTATAATTTATCTGTTGTATATTATAGAAATGACCACACGGACGAATCTCAAGCACCACTGTTGTAATAGGTAGGTCATAAAGAACATTCTTTTTGTTATTAATAAGCACTAAGCAGTTTTCGTAGTTTTAAGTATCCACTTTTTCTAAACCTAATCTTCAAAATACCGACCGAGATTGATATTTCAATCATGCTAAATGTTTGTACTTATGACTAAGCCTATGTGGCTCATAGTACGTCTGAAATACTATAGGTATGTTTAAAAAAAATTAAGGATTTTTTCAATAGATACAATAGTCGGTGATCTCACTCCGTGTGCAATCAGTATAAAAGCCCAATAGACTTAGTCTATGGTAGTCAAGATTCTCGTCTAATTATTATATTGTCTGATGTATGTTCACTTCGTATTCTCGCAAGTTACACCTCAACACTGTCATGTTGAATAGTTAAATACTCGCCTCGCTTCCACGCGCGAACAAGTACTCAGCAGTTGAAATTAAAGAGTAGCTGTGAGTAGCTTTTTTATACAATATACAGAATGTTCTCGATGAATAGGCAAAGTAACGCCTATGGAACATCTCCTCGGATACTACGACAGATTTCGAAAAGTTTATTAAACGATTCTTGTGTAAGAACTTGGTCAATTGTGAACCATTTACATTACTAATCGGCAGAATTGACTGTTGTATAGGTACACTATCTACTAATTTAGTCACAAGTATAAACATGCATCCCATTTTCCAATGACGAAGATAGCACGATACCAAGAACTTGGACAAAGCAATAAATCCACAGTACATTGCTAGTCGACTGCCACAGCTAGACATATTTATGGATATCATTGATTAACCAGTAGATATATTTCAATAATAAGTTCTTATATATTAACGAAGAAGGCATATTATTTCATGCAAAATGTCTATAGGTTTTTTACATGGTAAATATTATTAGCCATTTCTTTATTAGCTGTTTTATACTACAGAATACTTATTCACGTTTACAACAGAAAGATCTAAAGAGTAATATCTCCATATTTTAACACATTATTGTTATCATTAACAGGAATTGTTAAAAGCAAAAATCAAATATTGGTGAGGATATTTTATTCCATAATACAGCATTAAGACAACCGGAATGTCACATATCGCATTTCCATTATTAATTCTTGTTTTCGAAAATAAAAAAAAAATCTCTATCCACCACATTTTGCCACATAATGGTATACTTGAAATGTATTTTAACAATTTCTTCTAAATTATTATAAAAATGCTAAGTTACAATTAATTGTGTAAGAGCAAAGTACCAATGAGAGTTCTGAGTACTGTTTCCCTGCAAGTGGAAACACTTCTCAAAACAACACTGTGTTTATCTAGTAAATATTATTACATACCTAAATTACAAGTTAATCTCGGTTCACCATGAGAAGTTGACGGTAAATGCAAGTCCGTTACAACGAACCGTTTAATGAATGGGAACCATCTAAATGAACGGTGTTGAATGTAAAATACATAACAGCTTACTCTACCTAGTTAACTTCCATAAAAATAAACTTCATCAATAATCCTCATACATATAAGTCATTCAACTTCTTAGTGGAATATGGATAATAATAAATGTTGGTCAAACTGTAGAACTTAAAATAAATTAATTCAAAGTCACAGAGCGATGTGAATAGGCTGCGGCCGACGTGTCGACGGCAGCGGTCCTCGCGCACTCTGCTGACTTCATCCTACCTATAAGAATACCACCACTCGCAGCTGGCCTAATTGCAATTCATAGGTCACAGGCGTACTTCTAACAAATTAAAGTCATAGAAAGTTAATTAACTTTAAATACTTTATTACGACAACTTATTCCACATTATAGTATACATATAAAACATGTTATGCTGTGATTCACTTTATCACGTGTCAGCTACATACCTATCCACATCACAATGCGCGATCACTCAATAAGTGTACACCGTTTCTTCCATTAGTTTGTTGATAATTATAAACAAAATTGTAATTTTGCGATAAATTTACACACTATGTTTGTTTTGTTCAACGTCATCGGAGATCGAACAAACAACGCACCTCAAATGTGGACCCTAACAGCATTTCACTAAGTACAGCATAACGCAGAAACACCTACTGAGAACATAAACTATGTTAACGGCGCCAAGTCCCACTGGAGCAGAGGGCGTGCAGTGTTCGACTTCTGTTGCGAGTGGTTTGTAGAGAATGCGATGCGAGCTCGGTCGCCGGTTGACGCATCGGTAATACATTTATGATTCCGCACATAATACATTGTATTTAATAGCAAATAAAGTTAACATATTATCTTAAACCATAGTCTCTTTCAGTAACCATATTTGCTGCGTGTAGGTATCGCACAGGCGGTTAGCGGTTGGCGTTCTTGAGTTGGTTGGAGAGCCAGTCGAGCCCCTCGTAGAGCCCGTCGCCGGAGGTGGCGCACGTCGCCTGGATGTACCAGTTGCGGTTGCGCAACGAGTGCAAGCCCAGCTTGTCTGTTATCTCAGCTGCATTCATTGCGTTTGGCAGATCCTAATGACAAATATAGTTTAAATTTAAGTAAAAAAGACTCATAATCAGAGGTACCTCTTATAGCAGCCGGTATAAACATAATAATTGAAATTATTCATTGTGCATCAAATCCGCATGTGCATGTGCATCAAAGCTGTCGGATATAAATTTTATTTCTAAATGAGTGTGTATATTTTCAATCATCTTAAATATCTATAGAATAATAAAATCTACTTGATATGAAATATTATTCAGAAGAAAATAATAATAATTATGACTGTTGTTATGTTGATTACATATTTTTATATACCTACTATTATAATAATAGGAATATTTTCAGGGAAGAACACAGTCTGTGTTCTTCCCTGAAAATAATAGTAATCCAGGCTAAACTTCCACACCTTTAAATTAATTAAATTAAAATAAAATACACATAAAATTCGCTTTTAAAAAAGAGGTAACTTGCAAATCTTATTATTCGATCATTTAAATTACTATATAACATTTTAAATATACGTAATTACTAAAATGTAGTTTAAAGTATGTTTAAGAAACAGTTAATAACAGCGAACTTAAAAGCAGCAGCAACTTAATCGCCCGCCAATTTGGCGCGCTTGATTGTAATTATCTATAACAAAATTAAAACAAATCCTGAAATTTGTAATAAAGAAATATGTTACTTTACTGCAATATTACACTGTTTTCTATTTTCACCCAATATCATAAGGTCATTTTCTAAGCTTTTACTGTTAGTTCTTATAAATCTAAATGTAATGTAATGTAATGTGATTAGAAATGGCCGATAAAATCACAATAAAAACAAACTCTCCTATAGAAACACAAGATAGGAACTTGGTAACATTGACCTTGACACTACTACGTACTACTGGATCCAATGTGAGATAACTCGGAAATGATAATTTTTCAGGAGATGATAAAACGACCAATCACTTTTTTATTCGACTTATGAAACAATTTTATTTTAAATCACTAATAAGTTGTAAATTGTCACTCGTATAAACTGGAGAAAAGAATCAAAATCTACTCAATCTAAATTAAAACTATAATATAAACATTCATACATCTAAACTATATTTTTGGGTTATAGTCTTCTACGTTACTTTAGCTCTGAACAATAGTGTCGTGTTTTAAAGAATTGAAATTCCCGTAGTATTTTAGGAGTTTTCAAATATTAATTTCTTGGTCAAATAAAAATAAAAAACATTAATAGGAGCTTAGTTCTAAAGTGAAAATGTATTAATATTTTACTCATGCACATTTCCTATTCTAACAAGATTTTAGTATTTTAAATAAGTTTTAAAAACATTACTAACTGGCTTCAACGGAATAAAAGAATACACTTATATATGATTTAGGGATAAGACACAAGTACTCACCTGTTTGTTTGCGAAAATCAAAAGTACAGCATCTCGTAGTTCATCTTCACTTAACATTCGCATAAGTTCCTCGCGTGCCTCTCCGATACGCTCTCTGTCATTACTGTCTACAACGAAGATGAGACCCTGAAAGTGCAATGTTCAGACCATTACATAAACAGGACAAATAATAAATATCATTGTTACAGTACTAGTTGTCCAGTAACTACTACACAAAACAACTGTAAGAAATCCTTTTAAAAAAATATATAAATTAGTGAAAGAGATGGTGAGCAGAAACGGAAGGAACGGTTCCATTTTTAACACTTATAGCACTTGTATCACATCATACAAGAGAAACAAGTTAAAACTACAAAGAATGCAATGCAATAGATATATTGATTCTGATGTCCTGATCTGCATTTATATCAGATTCGCAAATAGACTTATCACCTTGAAATATTGCTCTAAGCAATTTAGTCTAAACAGGTCATTACATGTATATATGTACAGTACATTTACATGTATATATGTATATGCTTTTTCAAATTGTGTGACTATTTAGTTTGTATAAACAAGGAAATTTTATAATGTGAATAAAGTATATTATATGACTATAAGTAAAACCACTGAAGCTGTATAAACATATTAAATCATTTGCAAATAAACGGTACACATGTTTTACTAATAAATAAACTTTAATAAAAATATGACATGATGTCACATCTATAATTTACTTTTAATTACATAGTAAATACTGACAAATATAAAATAACGGTTTTATGAGCAACAAGAGATAATTCCTAAAAAGTATTTTACCAGATAATGACCTATGCTCACATATTCACATTAGTTCAAAGCTCAGATATTGAAAGAGATTGTAGTTGGAAATGTAATGGGTAAAATAATATTAGTGACTTATTAATTAGTGACACAGTGATTTTAGTTGTCACTACTATTTCAAATATAGTGAAGTGATGACTAAATAGGACATAACATTATTCATAATGCCAAAATTATCAAATAAATTTATTAACTTCAAGTAAAATTAGGCAACATTTTTAAAAACCTCAATGTTAGACATACTATAATGATATCATCATATGTCACCCATACAATGAACACACAAAAAACTATTTTTTTAAAATACTCAGAAAGAGTAAGAATGGATAATACCTATACCTACATATTCTTGTATTATTATTACTCTTGTAAATAATTTCTTTCTTTTTTGTAAATTAAGTATCAGTGGCGATTTTTATATGCTCATGATTTATGACCATTTATAGTTACACTGCAGACAATCTTATCTGCCATATACTCATATAAAATGATGGGTCAATTGTGATCCATCCATCTGTTTCAACCTTCATCTACATTATAACCATCCATATTCATATATAACTTTGCCTTTAAAATATTCCTGTTTCAACACTACACCATTGACAGTCACAATTATTCAAAAATATTTACTGCATTTAAATAATACTAAACAAGTATCACTATTTCCCTTTTTGATCATAGTTTATTACAATATATAATTTTTTGTCTTGCTATTAATTCAGCATTACAGTCATCTGAATTTCATACATTGAGACACTTTTATATGATATGCAATCAGTATGTAGTATAATCAATATAATATTATCTTATGATGTACATGTCCACTGACACTTCACACTTTATTGGCTGGTTTTATGTAATATTGAATATAAATTGTACTATTATAAAATTATGTACACCAGGGTATGTAATTTTAAATGAATTCATACTTGATAAGGTCATGTTGTAGAGAAAACATTGTTTTTTAATATCAAACCAAATACAGTACTGAATTCTGCTATTAATTTCCATATCTATCCATTACAGTTGAAGTAATATTAATCCTTAAATATAAATAATTTCCACAAAATTTAATTTTTTAGTTGTTTTATTGCAATTTTTAAACCAGTTTTCATAACTATGCTTTTAATAGTTAAGGAACCACTAGCAGTGGCATGATAAGGGTGCAATATTCATAACATATTACAGATATACATATACATTTATTTCCTTTTAATCTTTCTGAATAGGGATTATGTACAATAAGTGATAAAAATAATCTACTTTTGGTTATTTAAAGATAGATTAAAAAACTTACACTGAATATTAATGTTTTTAATATCAAACCAAATCTCAACAGCCAAATCAAATGACAGGGTATTATATATACAGGGTACCGCTATAATCGTTTTTCACAAGAACTAAAATATTCCCATGAACACACTGTTTTGCATGAACTAGCCTAAAATGTTTGCAGCAAGACTAGAAGACTGTACTAAACCCTATAATATTATATTAGCATTACACAACAAGCTATTTAGTTGATTAGAGTACATAATAAAAAATTCAAATTGCACCTTTGTTAACATGGAGTATATTTTTATTACCCCAGTTGTAACAAAATAATTATATAATACTAAACTAACCTGTGTATTCTGGAAATAATGCCTCCACAGTGGTCTAATTTTGTCTTGACCGCCAACATCCCATACAGTGAAACTGATGTTTTTGTATTCTACAGTCTCCACATTAAATCCTGAAAAATAGAATAAATTCCTGAATATAGTTGTTATTTAATATTATAAACACAAAAGTTTGTGACTTTTTGTGTTTAACAGATGGTGTTTATTACTCGATTACACAAAAACTACTCTCTCATGTGGTTGAAACTGCAGGCACAGCTAGTATTACATGCTTTAAAAGTGTGCTCTAAGAAATATGAGCATATTGGTTATTGGTTTTAAGTTTCCAACCATAGTAACAGTCTCAGTAGTCTGGTAGTTTAGCACACCACCTTTCATCTGATTGTCACAGGTTTGATCCTCACATATTACACATATATTTTCTATGTATATTACATATATATTTACAGAAAAAAAATGTGTTTAAGTATATACATCAATATCCATATCTCATTCTCTGCTTAGCTTGGGACTACATGGTGCTGTGTGGTTTGTTGAGAATTATTACTATTATAATAACTCAATAAGATATTTAAAAGCATTATTAACATTAATGAGTATTCCACCAGTTAAATATTGATGGAAAGTAAATTTAAATTATACCAAAACTCTGATCTTTATTTAACACCTCAACAATAGACTAGTGTCTCCCCACCACAATCATATTGCGTGAAATTAATATTAAACTTTAGTTGCAGAATTTTTACTTGAAGAATGTATTTTTACTAAGAGATACTATAATTATTTTCTTTTTTATATTTCATCTTTTTTATATTATTTTTTAATTAATAATAGAACATATTTTGCCAAAAGTTACCCCTGCATCACCATTGAAAGAGAAAATTATCATTGTATCAAAGTAGTAAAACTGATTAGGTAATCAAAGATCCATTATATCTTATAGGTAGATTAAACAATCTTTAATATTTATATTAATACAACATATAAAAATGTTAAACTGTAAGTACATAAATCGAATATTAAAATAGTTATCTATAAATTAAAAGATTAACTTAGTTGGAGAGGTAAAATTACAATTATCAACACAGTTAATGCCATAAACTGTTCCTATTAAAATTATAACAACTGTTATAAGGAGTTTTCTATTGATATAATAAACATGTGCTTTATTCAAAAGGTTTTCAATATTGAAATTCATAAAATCTATAAGTGTATTTACAATATTTCTTATTTAATTATGTGTACTCTACATTTCACTCAAATGGAAATTAAACTGATGAAATACTAAATTTACAAAAAGCCATTAAGTGAAATTCAACATCTGTTTGCACTCATCATCTAAAATGAAAGTAATACAGTTAAGCAATCAAATTAACTGTTTTTTACATAATAGAGTATTAAATTGAGTTACTCACCAATAGTGGGTATTGTAGTAACAATTTCACCTAATTTAAGTTTGTAAAGAATTGTGGTTTTACCAGCAGCATCCAAGCCCACCATCAGTATTCTCATCTCCTTTTTGCCAAATAGGCCTTTAAATAAATTTGCAAACATATTCCCCATTTTGCTGCTTATATATAGTCTGAAAGAATTAATATTTGTTAGAACATAAAGTCTGAGTCATACTCAAACTGCACGTTACTTCAATCAATGATAATGACATGGCAAGTAGGCGCTGGCATTAAACGTATGACGAATGTTGCAGAATTTACAATTGAAAGATAAAAAATCATAGAAAAGCAATACAATTTATAGAAAACAGCATTCACTTTACAATCCTATAATAATTTTTGATGTGATGAAAGAGTTTTACAGCAAGAACAACCGAAACCGCTGTTGGTCTTTTGATATGGTCACCACCCTCTGTTATATTTTAATCAGAACGTAATAATTTTCATAGTATATGTCGTACTTACAATGTAAGTACCACTATTAAACAAACTAATATTGTACTTACACTTTCGGGAGCAAATAACTAAAATACCAAGTAAAAACGTTTCACTTCAGTGGATTCTTTATAATTCGTTTTGATGTCAAAATGGCGGCTAACGTGGAAGTTGTTCATACCTATGCCACGTATCGGTAAAAGTGGCCAGTATGAAATAAAATTAAAAGATTAATTTAAATTATAAATATAATTGGGTATATTTTTTCCTTTCACTCATATCAGCAATATAATGCTAAAATAATACTACTTTTCGCTCCTATTAATTATATAATTATAAATGTATTATAACGAATGCCGAAAGAGACAACCATTTAAGAAGCATGTCTCTGTCTAGGGTGGTAAACAACAATTCTATCTTATAAAATTTTGTTATGATTGAAATGACGCTTTTCTATATACATATTTGATGATTTTACTGATCAAGGATACTTTATACAAAGATTATACAATGTCGACTTCAATAAATAAAATTTGTCATGCATAGTTACTAGGTTTAATCAAATTTATTTTTTAATGTAACTGTCAGTCATAATTTAATTACTACTACCATATTAAATTAACATATAATAATAAAATATAAAAAAAAAAACTTAACGTAATATATTCTACGGCGTAGGTTCGGGCCTCGGTCCAAGCCCTTTTGTCCCGGCACTGACTCTAACAAAATAACAACTCCTAGGAGACTGAATTTAAGCACGAAATTTGTAAAATATAGGCTTATCTAGGATATAATGGAAGTAGTGATACTTGACGATATCTTTTTTATTTCTTTAATACTCATCTGTAGTAACACATTAACATAAATATTGTAGCTTTCACTCATTAAATCTCTGTCTTAATGGCTGTATGGGCACAGTTCTCTTTCTTTGAAAGAATAAACAAAACAAAAAAAACAGGCCGACTGACCGGCAGTGACTGTCTTAAAAAATGTCTTTGTCAGTTTGTCAATTCCTGATTTGTTTACTTTTTGCGCTGTTTAGATTCCGAGTCGATAGTGTTTATTTTATTATTATTTATTTTGAGTGTTTACTGTAGAAACTGCTTACTAAATATTTTCAGACATTTATGTCTAAAAATAAATTTTATCCAATGATGCAAGACATCTATGAGTGGTTATCAAAACCTCCTAATTATACAACTTTTAGAATTAATAGATTGAAAAACTTCGACTGTCAGGAACTGAAAAATATTCTTCTAACTGTAAGACATTATATTAATTATACCTAACGTAGGTAATAAAGAATTCCCACATTTTTCGAATCAAATTATTAATTTAATATCAAAAGACACAATAAAAGTAGATAGATATTCGATTGAGAACTCGTCGATTAGATTACGGAATGGTGAATTGGTGAAATAAATTTACATTTTTTGTAAATTTATTTCATACAAAAAAAATAGTTATATTGAGAACCTTTTTTTCTTCATATAAAAAAAAACCGCTCGGCATTGAAAGTTTTCTTTATGTAATTTAAGTGGGTATCTAAGTTTTTTGGCTGAAATAGATGAAGACTGATACCCATGCAGATAACATTTTAGTACACCTCTGAAATATTTTGAATTGCCTGAATGTTTATGACTGTACTGTCTGGTTATTTGATCTTCTTTGTTTAGATGGATGTCCATATCCATCTAAACAAAGACAATTACAAACAAAATACAATTTTAAAATTGTACCTTATTCAAAATAAATATATAGTACAATTACAATATAAGAATACTTCATATTCTACTACTATATAGAATAATTTATATTCTTACCAACACCATATTGTAAATATCTAAAAAATAAATTAAAATTGTGTTAACATGCCATGTTATAAATACATAAATATTTTGAATAAGGTACAATTTTTAAATTGTACTTTATTACTTATTTTATATGCTTCATATAGAATAGGGTGATTTAGGTGATAATTTCGGTGATTATATTTGTGCTTGGCTTCAGTTATAGAACCACCATTGTATGTGCTATTGAAATCAAGAAAAATGCAATCATCTAAAATTCCTTAAACTATTCCAAGTATTATAAACAAATAATAAAATAAATTAATACTCACACCACTGTATTTTTACAGCAAAGTACAAAATTGAATACGCATGAAATCCCTAATGTCTATCTCCTGAGGCCTGACTGTTTAATACTTGAGCAATGGTCTAATGATATAAATTTTGAAAAAACAGAAAAAGAAGTAATTGTTGATGTTTCTTGTGCAGCTGCAGTCTTGAGAGGTGCACATGTTTTTGCTCCTGGAGTTATGGGTCTTCCTGCAAGTATGTATATTTAATTCAAAATATTTAAATAAAAGAAATAGGCAAATATATTTCTTTAAAAGTTACAATGTAATCTATGGTAATTGAACTAATACTGGTCATTATTTCTGACATTAACATGGTCAACATAAATGTTGTATGACATGTTAATAATAAAAAAAATTTGTTGCTCATTGTAAATACAATAGAACATTTTGTAAAAATGTGCTTGATAAAAGATAGCCTTTGCACTTAAAGCAATCTGTAAGATTCATTAATCGGATAATCTGAATCATAGGAATTTATTGGTAACCTTCTATTAGGTGAAGGACTTACCATACCCCATAATAGAAAAAAAAATAGTCTACCTAGCAGAACAAACATCTTGGTTGGCCCTTATTCCTAGTTTTTCTTTTAATATAAAACTAACACAAGGTTTATATATACTCATAATGTATGGGACAACAATTTTGATGCTATAAATTTACTTTTGTGGCATGTTCTGAATTGAAATAAAAATGTCCATATTATACCTAAAAAGAACAAGTAAAAGGGAACTCAATATTTATGAAAATAATTTTATTGTGGGGTGTCTTATTCATTTATTTTAATAATTGTAATTTGTTTTGTGCAGATCTCCATATTGATGAAAGAGTAGATATTTATGGAGACATGGATGGTCAATGCAAACGAGGTTTAAAAATTACATATGATCATAAAAAGATGTATGTCGGAACAGGATATCTAAAAATGTTACGAAGTGATTTATATGACAAGGGTGTTCACCCCAGGTACTTTCATAGAATAATCTATTTTTAATAGCTTCTTTATATGCATATTTTGTTGCAATGTTATCGCAGGGTTTCGGTTTGACACTATGTTTCTAATGAGCAAAGATGTGTCCTTTCTTTTGCCATAAATGTGTTATTTTCATCAACGTCATATGGTTGTATGGAGTTTATGAAAATAACACATCTATATATCATAAGTTTCAAATAATGAAAATATACTTAAATAATCCAGAATAATTTACACCGCGCCATCTGGTGCTAATGTAAGCAATGCTTGTTTTATGGGTACTAGACAACTGATAGAATTACTTCTTTTTGTAAATACTTAATAATTTAATTTTTCTAAAGCTTCCCAATTCCTAAGTATTTTTTTACCTGATGATGCAACTATTTGTTCTCAATAATAGTACAAAATATAGGAATTGGAATGAGCTTGAGAAATATATTATATAAATAAATATACTATTATGTAAGTAACATGTTAATTGCACCAATCTAAATATGTGCAACGGCTTTGGATAAAATATGCGACAGATACCATAAAATCATCAAATATATTTTAATGTTCCATACATACAGCTGTATACAGCTGTCGGGTATTATTTTATACAAAATATAAAAAGTATTTATTTCGTATTTCTATTGTATCTCTAGTGGCATAGCTGTTGAGACATTGCTTCCAGTATCAAGACTTCCTGTTATCAATGAATCTTTTTTTAATAAAGGCGAGATCTTATTACAAAATTTGCCATCAATTGTCTGTGGTTGGGTCGTTAATGCGCAGCCTAATGAATGTATCCTGGATATGTGTGCAGCTCCTGGTAACAAAACCACACATCTAGCAGAAATGTCTAATAATCAAGTAAGATAATAGAGATTTGTTTTTAAATGTTTCACAATAACAAAATAAATAATAAGTATTTTCATAATTAGTCCAGATGGCTTTAAAGAACACTTTATATATATGTATATATCGTCATACTATGACCGTGTCAACTCTGTACACCTTTGTTAGTATGTTGTAATGTAATCTGGAATCTGGACATTTTCCGCAATTAGCCTCTCATTTGGGCCGTTGTGCGTGTAGAGCCGAGACTACTAACGTAGCCAGCCAAGCTCCTCCCAGAAGCGCAGAAGACTCCTGGCGTCTTCACAGGCTTCGCGGAGCGACCTTACCGTTCCGAGGATTTGTGTTCGTTGTGTGGCCACCGCTGCGCACTCCAGGATTACGTGAGCGGCCGTTTCTTCGGCTTTAAAGCAGCCCCGACAATGGGAACTGTCTGTAGCACCGATTGTGTACAGATGTTTGTTTAAGAGACAGTGGCCCGTTATTGTCCCTATCATTATTTTAAGGTTTTGTCTATTTAGATTTAATAGACGTTTTGTCAGTCGTGGGTTTGTTATTCGAATTGCAACCTTCGATTGTTTACACTCAGTGGTTTGGGTCCATCTTTGGTTTTGTATTTTTGTGGATCTCTGGCGTATCCATCTGCGAGAAGGGGAGTGGTAGAAGTGGCAGAGGGCCTGCTACCGCCATACCTGATCCTCTCCTTGCTAGTTCGTCCGCGGCATCGTTGCCATGTGATCCACATATTGAATAGTGACTCGATTGTGCGAAGATATCCTATCCATGGCGTGGCATTCGATAATCATTCTGCTGTTTGATTTTCTGTTTTGTAGTGCTTTTAACAGGGCTGCACTGTCAGATACGAATCTAATGTTGAAATTGTTGACACCCAGCTTGTGAACGGCTGTTGCCGCCTCAGTTAGGACCACGCATTCACACTGAAATATCCAACTGTGTTTGCCGAGTGCGTGTAAGTTTATGTTAAGGTCTAGGGAAAATGCTCCAGCTCCTGAACCATTCTGTGTTTTAGAGCCATCTGTGTATATGCGTAGTTTATTTATTGGATTGGTCCCTTTCCTTCGGTTTCATTTGTATTTGGTATTTTCTGTTGAATGAGTGATAAGTTTGAGTTTTATCACACAGAGCAGCAATCAGTGGTTGTAGTCGAAAGCTTGGTTGGTAGGTGTGTGAGAACTGTTATGGTTTTTACCCCATAAACCAAGATGATAGTCTGACAGCACCTATGGCTGCCTCCTGCTGTATATATAGCTCAAGGGGTGTTATGTTTTTTTTTTTTTTATATTTAAATACATTTTTCCACAGACATATTCGTCCGTGCCTTTTTTAATTTACTTTAATATTATAATATTTATTTAATTTCCATTTTTATACAACTCCAGCCGAGATGTTACAATTTGCCTAACAGTGACACCGAGGCAGACCTTATCCGTCTGGCCCAGAGCCACCGCTGGCCGGCCGGGTGAGTTGACAACATGCAGTGTCACCCATCTTTATTTGGAGGATTAGATTTATCAATATGCATATACAATTATATAAATCTTACACTACTACTAATTTCACAGTTTTCATTACATTGTGCAATGTAAGAATTCATAATGTAACAATACACATTATGAATTCTTACACTGCATATACAATTATATGAAATCTTATTTTAACACTATTTTCAAAGTTCACTATTTGTTATAGTCCAGGTTTTGTTTAATTATTGATTGTTTAATTTCACAGTTCACTTTTTGTCGTAATTCAGCAATTTTTTTTTTCCCCTTTTTCACTTCCCTTTCCCCTTCTTTCTTTTTTCTTTTTTTTTTCTTCCTTTTTTTTCTTTTTTTTTTATACTTTTAGCGAGCATGTTCCGGCCTTTCCAGTCCAAAGCGCCCCGACGATGCATCAGCTGTTCTGGTTTTCTATGTGCTGATTATTTTAGCGCAATCAGCGCATCAACGATCGCCCTGTCTCTATTTTTAATCGCCATCTGCAGTGAGTACTCACGAATGTCCGAGTGAGTCGCGCCTTCGGCCTCTTGTATAAAACGAGCAACTGCGTCTTCTCGATTTCTCGTATAATATACGCAGTCGCCTGTGTGCCTGGTGATGGCTATGTTGCTGTTGTTGGGGTGGTTTTCATACATCCAGTGATTGATGAGCAGGCAAGCCTCTGAAAAGACCTTAGCCTGTTGATCGTGGCCGTGAGTCTCGTTCTCATCCACCAGACCAGGGCTCCATAGACCAGCATTGGTTGAATCACTGATATGTATAACCACAGGGTTATTTTCGGAGACATACCCCACTTGGTTCCTAACATCTTTTTACACTGATAAAATGCAATTGTGCTTTTGTTAATTTTGTAGTCAAGATGTTTGTTCCAGAGAAGTTTGCTATCTAATATAACTCTCAGCTTGGCTTCTTTTAGTTTAAGTTCTGTGTTAAAGAGTTTTGGTACCCTGAAAGCATCTGTAGCTCTTTTGTTTGTAAACATGATTAGTTCTGTTTTAGAAGTATGAACAGAGAGTTCGTGGTTGTCACACCATCTCTCAATTATTCTAAAGGCCTCTCTCATGTGATCGCATAAGGTTCCCTCAAAATTTCCTGTTATGAGTACAGCAATGTTATCTGACATCAGATGACATCATGCCCGTTGTTGTTGAGCTCCACCATGAGTTCATTTGCAACTAGTTACTAGTTAGTATGTTTTCTCACCTGTTGGAACTTCAGTGACTAATTTAACCAGTGATACCAGTTTTCATTTCATTTTCATTTTGCATTCAACTAACTAACCTTTCATTGTATGATTCTTATACTAATATATTTTGTTTTAATTTTGAACTTAAAATACTTATTATTGTTTGTCCATCACTCTAGCAAATTAAATTTTAAACTAAATCTGGCTCCATTATTACAGTTTTAGACTATTTTAAGTGCTTTAACAAATTTGGTTCCTTAATTGTTTTATATTATTATTTTTTTTTATCTGTGTGAGTAGGTGTACTAATAATACTGAACAATTACTTTTAATTTACAGGCTTTTATTATTGCTATAGATAAAACTACACAGAAAGTTGATAGAATCAGAGAAAAGTGCGAAAGTCATGGTATAACATGTGTACATGCTTATGCCTTTGATTCAACTAAATGTTACAACATAGAAAGTAAGGGCATGCAAAATGGTCCACCATATCCATCTAATTGTTTCGATAAAATACTTTTGGATGCACCTTGCAGTGGACTAGGACAAAGGCCTCAATTAGTTAATAACATTACTCCAAAAATGCTTCAATCATACAAATTTGTACAAAGGAAATTGATAACAGCTGTGAGTCACCACTATACGTATTTATAGTAAAATTGACTAACCCGCTTATTTGGCTAGCAGAGGAATCTGATTAATAGACCTGTATATACAACCATAAACACTGCAATATCACGTTGAAGTTCTCATAATCTCAATACCATTCTACTTTCATATATTGCGCTATATATATTCACCAATATTAAACTAACTTAGATATATGAAATCTATTCTTGTCAAATAGTTTTGAAATGTCTAAATTATTTAAAGGCTTCGTATTCATTCATACAATTTCTCCGTAAAAAAAAAACAAAGTTAACAGCGTTACGTATATCGTACCTCTAACTTTGTTTTTTACTGCTTACGTACGAAAAATTCAAAACAAAATCGGCATTCTGCTCGAATATTTGGTTCTCAAAATCTATCACGCTGAGAATGTCGTGTGTGAAAAATAGTAATACTTATACGATAAGCTAATTCGGATATTTATAAAGAAATAATATCTATTCGCAGGCCGTAGAACTTTTAAAAGTGGGTGGAACTCTGATATATAGCACTTGTACTGTAACAGAAGACGAAAATGAACGCATGGTAGCATGGACACTTGAAAACTTTCAATGTTTGAATTTGGTCCCTACTGAACCACTTCTCGGTGGACCTGGTTTACCGAACTGCGGACTCAACGACGACCAGAGGTATTTTAATCTTTTTCATGGTCCTTCATAAGTGACCTACACATACTTGCTTTTTGTCTGATATGCTATAAAGCACGAAGTATATAGATATTTTTATTATTGTCTTATCTAATATGTACATGTGTTACTAATGAATCGCTCGATTGTTAATCGCTGTACTTGCTGTCAAAAACACAATAGTACCTAATGATATATAAAATAGTTTGGTTTTTAATTTTAGTTCACTTTGCAGAGACATGGTCGTTGATAAATTTAGTTTAAGTAATATGAAATTAGATATTGTAAACGATTTTTGTACAACTTTTTAGCTATCCCTAATAATTTGCAAGATACATAATCAGTTTACTTATTGAAACTATAGTAGATAGTTTTTTTTTTATTAATGATATAGTAATGCAACTTCAACATCGTTAATTAAACAATCAGGATACCAGTGATAAATGATAGGACGAATATGAAGTAATTCTCATTTGCATTAGGCTATTGATGCGAACTTACCAGATTGGCTATTATTGTCTCACCTGGTAAACTAAACGAGGTGGAGGTCATCTTGAAATAGTAAATTGCTAGTTGCCTGCCCACTAGTCCACATTACTATTAATGCTCTTCTTGTTGTATTATGTTCATAATTTATTATACCTATTTATTATTATGGCTGAGATAATAAGCGACGAACTTCCTAACATTCCATGGATTCGACGTGCAGGAGCCAGGTCCAACGTGTGGCAGAGAGGGGAAACTCCGGGCTTTTCCTGCGATTTGTTATCCGGGTGTAGGTTTATGGGACCCCTTTGCCGACATACGTCAACACTCATCTTCACCGCACGTCTTTCTCTCCCCAGCCATCTATCCCATTATAGTAAGTCTGCTAGAGCTGCTTTAGATACAAGTTCTACAATAGTATAGAACATACTGCAGTTCTAGATAAGTCAAGATCTTTTAAATATAGAGAGATTTCGCTGGTATACCTCTCGCTCCCGCTTCGACATATAAATAAACCATATAGCCATTTTTCCTTAATTCGTTTATTATTTTGTAATATTTATTTGTTTTTATTGCATGGTATAATACAATATGAGTTAATGTAAGTCTATATCAATTTTTTTTCAGATCGATGATACAACGATTCAGTCCAAGAGATGATTCGCTAAGACCTGTGGAACAAATTTATAAAGATACCATTGGCTTTTTCGTAGCTAAATTTATAAAAGTGAAATAAATAATAACTAATCGTTCTTTGTTAATTCACTATACGTCACTGCCCCTAGAACCTGTACCTACATGGAATTAAATGTGCCGTCCATAAGTTAAATATAAATATGCCACAAAGACGGATCTTAGATAGCTCAGTGAGGGGCATTGTCAACTGTCGACGTCGTAGTCAGGACTTAACGTACTCACTGTGGGTATGTTAAGTTGAGCGAAATGTGTTGTGGGTAACCCTCAACATATGTCAAAACAACGTGGTGCCACCTTTTCCTCTCCGATCAATACCCCGTCCTATTCAAACGGGAAACGGCCTGAGCCGAGGTTCGAACCCCTAGCGGCGCTCTCAGACTAAAGTCGTATCCGTCAGGCGGCCTTTAGCCGCTTCATAAGTCCGTCCGTGGGTTTGGAGTGCATCATCCATCTGCACTCGCCACCTGTCGTCCGGTGAAGCTGTAAAGGCCAGCTGCGTGGTGCTAAAAAAAGTGCCAGCTATTCCACTGCTATCTCGAGAATTATTTTTTATACGCTATTGGTGTTTCGTTAACCGAAGAATCTTGATCTTAATATAAATTGAAATGAAAAACTTTATTGAATCTACATACATATTTATCGCTACAGTTTTCAATGCAATTCCTAGTTATAGCAATGTCGATCTCGATTAAAACTAGTAACAGTCAGTTTTTTAGTTTTATCGTTATAGAAAAGCAAAGAATCGGACCCCATACAGCCGTCTAATCTGCAGTATGAAACATTGAAAACACTATTCGATGACATTGACAGTTGTTTTATAATTTGATGTTCACATATATTTTGAACTGTCGTGGTAATATGTGAATAGAAATTCCAATGATAATAGTTACGCGAAATGCACCAATATTTATAATTAATTAATTCAATTTGTAAATGCTATTATCTCGGTATTGGGAACTGTAATTATATTAAAATTTGCAGACCATGGGCAAAACTTCTAAAGACAAACGAGATATTTACTATCGATTGGCTAAGGAAGAAGGCTGGCGAGCCCGGAGTGCTTTTAAATTATTGCAAATCAACGAAGAATACAACATATTTGAAGGTGTATTAAGAGCTGTTGATCTTTGCGCGGCACCTGGTAGTTGGAGTCAAGTATTAACGAAAAAACTAAGATGTAATACAGAAAATGCAGACGACGTTAAAATTGTAGCTGTAGATTTACAGGCAATGGCAGCTTTACCAGGTGTGAAACAAATACAAGGGGACATAACTAAGTTGTCTACAGCAAATGAGATAATAAAGGAGTTTGAAGGAATGAAAGCCGATTTAGTTGTGTGTGACGGTGCTCCAGATGTAACTGGATTACATGATATAGATGAATACATACAATCCCAACTACTCTTGGCTGCCCTGAATATAACAACACACATTTTAAAAGATGGTGGTGTTTTTGTTGCTAAAATATTTAGAGGCAAGGATGTAACTCTGCTATATTCTCAATTGAAACAGTTTTTTGAAAATGTAACAATTTCTAAACCAAGAAGTTCGAGGAACTCTAGTATAGAGGCTTTTGTTATATGCCAACAATACAAACCACCTGTAGATTATGTGCCAACTATGTCTAACCCATTATTAGATCATAAATATTGTGATTTCAATCAGTTTACTGGGCCTAACAGATTTATTGTGCCATTCAATGCTTGTGGTGATTTAAGTGCATATGACTCTGACACATCATACCCATTAATATTGGAGGGTCAAACTAGCTATGAATACAAGGAACCAGTGCAAAGCCCCATTGATCCACCATATAAGGAGATATTAGAAAAAACTAGAAATATGCAAATAAACAATAAATAGTATTAAAACATTGTTAATTGGTTTATATTGTAATATGTGCCCTTGTTAACCTGTTATACAATGATTTAGGACCAACTGCAATATAATGCTTCTTTATAGGTGCTTATAGATACTGATCATAAGAACAGTAGTAATACGATTAAATCAAAGAAAATATTTGTATATAATTGTGTATAATATCACATTTTTAAATAATCACAATTTGAGAAGCAATGGTAAATAACATTTTTATACACTTTTACTTTTTCTTAACATTATTTTTTAAACCACCACCTCCGTTTATTTTGACTATGACCACTGATCATGTCAACAATTTGTGTATATAATTTGAGTTTAATGTTTTATATGTGTACTGCAATATCACAAATCAGTAAAATCACATTATATAATTTGAACTTTTCTAATTAAAAATTACAATTCTTACTTTTAAGTAGAAATAATTGCAATAAAATGCCATAAAGTTGTAGGAAACATGTATAAATATAGAGGTATATAATTCTTAGTCTGCCAATTTCTGTATACATTTCTTCTCTTCATGTCATTTACACACATTTAGTGGATGTATTATAAATGAAATGAAGCGAAATTTACTAGGTATATAGAGACAGCCTTGTATGCTCTGTATTCTCATTTCAATATACAACTCTAATTTGTGGATATCTATTCTTACCCTGACATTTACAAATTTACTAAGGGCTAATATACACAAACTTAGCAGATAATAGTATAAGTGCATGTGTATTATATAATTACTATTATTAATCTTATAATAAATATAAAAATATGGCAATTTTTGTTAACAAACATTTTACAAGCTATCAAGTCGAACCCACAGGCCACCCTCAGCTTTTAACAGAACTGCACGCTTATTGAACTCGATAGGCTCTCTTGTTTTAGGACATGTCGTAAACTTGAAATTCTTTAAAAGACTGACCATAGCCAATTTCGCAGAAAACATGGCAAATCGCAGACCTGCAATTATAATATGGCATGTATGTATGTAAAAAGCTGAATGTTAACAACAAATCGAAATATATCCAATCATGTGATCGAACAACAATAGACATGGAACGCTATGATAAAATAAAAGAATAGGTAGTTAGAATTGATAGAAAATGTTCTACTTACATATTTAATTAGACAATTTGTATGCAACAAAATAATTTAATCATAACAGAGTCGTCATAATCAGTCCAGAATTTATAGAAACTACACAATCTATTACAGCATATAGGAGTTAGTCTAATTAATTAAAAAAAAATTGAAGTCGACAGAGATAATACAAAATAGTGCTCAGTTTTGACTACGTACCTATACAATTTCTTGGGCCAGCCCCAAAAGCTAAAAACAAGTGTGACGGTCTCGCGTTCTTTTCATCGCCCATAAATCTCTCTGGGCGGAATTCGTGCGGCTCTGGATAGTGCTCAGGGTCCATGTGTATGCCATATATCGGAATTGCAACAACATCATCCACATTAATATTCACCGATGTACCTGGGAGTGTGTATTGCTTTACGCACTTCCTGTCCACTCGAGACACTGGTGGGTACATCCGTAATGTCTCTGGAAGTGAATTAAATATGGTATTTGATGTATTAATTTCTCCGTGGGTATTTTTTGGAAATAATTTCTTATATATACAGATATATAATAATCTATATTTATATAGATATATGTAATATATAGGTATAAGTTTTATGAAAAATAATCTTTCAAAAAATTATACATGCGTACATACATCACGTGATACATGAAGTGAGTCAGAATCACAATTTATGCCTTGCCATCATCATTATTAAGGATCAGCCCAATAGGCCATTTTCTTCTTTAAGGGATCGATGTAAGAAAATGGCGTACTGGGCGTTCTTCATCCACAGAACCACCATTATTAAATCAATAAAATGAAGTTAAATCTATAGCAAATAATTTACCTAATAGAAAGCCTTCTAAATAAGTGAGTTTTGATAAAAGATCGTAAGACATGTCTTGTTCATTGGTCACTTGTTCCACATGCGCCCGGAGTTTCTCTTGTAGTTCCGGTTTGGTCGCAAGGACATGCACCGCAAAAGACAAAACCGTACTGGACGTCTCATAGCCAGCTAGCAAGAATAACAATGATTGTGCATCAAGGGTGTCATCGTCTAAGTCTGAAATTATACAAAAGCAGATGTTAAATATAAAATTAATAAAGATTACGTAATAATAATAATAAACCAGGACAATTTACACAGAACATCCAGTCCCAAGGTAAGAAGAGATTGTGTTTCGAGTACTATAACACAACTACATGGGATACATAGCAAATATCCAGACTAATACAAACAGTCATATTCATGCGAGGAATCGAACCCGCAACAATTTTGGATAGTAAGGCAGCGTGCTAAACTACTAGATCACCGAAGGGATACCTAATACATAATGAGGTCTGAATGCCAAGGACAATACATTCCTACCTTAGTTCATTCAACTGAGAAGAATTAATTGATATTCAAAAACAAGCATATTTCCTCTTCATCCTAAATATTACAAGTTACATGATAAAATATACGTCATATTGATATTAGTGGCTCTCATCCAAATGTGAATGATAGATCAAAATGACATTTCATAATTATGTTGTATACTAAATTCTGAGAAAATATTTTATAAAAGTAAAAATCAATTGCACCATATTTAGAAAATTTTCTACCATATAGGTACCTAATTTTAATCAACATCAGCATACCAACAAGATTTCCTCGATTTTCCTGTTATTACGCAATCTGATATTACGCATTTTGGTAGATAAATGATTCATACACAGAATTAAGTAGTTGGCTCGTTCTTAAGTAGTCTTATTGAGAATGAGGAAATTAATTAACTTAGGTAGAAACATAACTATCTATATACGTTATGCCTAATTAAAAAAAGGTAATTTAATTTTTGTCCAATTTAATCATTTCCATTTTATATATTACTAGCTACTCGCCCCGGCTTCGTCCGGGTGTACATGTATATACATATAAACCTTCCTCTTGAATCACTCTATCTATTAAAATAAACCGCTTCAAAATCCGTTGCGTAGTTTTAAACATTTAAGCATACATAGGGACGGACAGACAGCGACAAAAACTTTGTTCTATACTATGTAATGATTATCTATACTGGGTTTTTGTTTATTGCTATAAAATATATGCTGCATACTCACAGGGTCTAGTTTTATTTGTTTCCGAGTCTTTTTTTTCAGTTTCAGCAGCGTCAATGAGCAATTGAAGGAAGTCGTTTTTTCTGTATTAAAGAAAAACTTAGAGAATATGTAAGTATAGTGTTTCATATCAGCTTACAAGCAATGCTTAAATATGAAGAATGAGGGACTGGTAGAAGTGAAACTACTGAATTCGGAGGCTTACCACATTATATTCGGACTAGTCATCGTATGAATTTACATGTTTTTGTTATACAAGTCCAATAAAAATATATACATTTTAATATTTAAAATTTAAGAAAGTTCTTGGAATGAATGAACGTAGCATCACTATAATACAGTATGTGTTATAAATCCAAAATATAATTATCCTCACCAAATTGGGATCACCTTAGAAAATATAATATTTTTTACTATCTTATGTTCATCATAATTGATTATTATATTAAGTTACTATTAAACAATATCTTAAACCTCCGAACTTATTGACATACTAGTGCAATAATAAAAATATATATAATAGTTATAGTCTCGATGTGATGTTATTAAAGAATATACTACAATAACAAAATACGTAACACGCTAAAGTAAGGTAAGTAAATAGCTCTAAATAAATATGAAATGTGTGCAAACAATGATACCGTTTAAATCTATAATAGAAGGGACCTGTAAACTAGTACAGTATTTTATTACTCAAACGAAGTTGTGTAAATTATTATACGTAACAGTTTACGATGATAATGATAGGAATATTACCTACATCATAACTTTATGTTTAGATATTTATATTTAGCCAGATATCAAAGTTGACTAAACATAATAGTCAAACGATTTGTATCTATCAAAAGTTATTTTAGAAGTAGGTAGATCATACCAAATAGATATATCTACTATATGATCCATTGTCTATTCTTTAATTTCTATAACATACATGTATATTTTTAACAATTTCGAAATTAAAGTACATAGTAATAGTTCAATTATATTGTAATCAGAATGCCACGAGATACAATGTTCAAAGCAAGTCCGTTATACGCTCCAAACTTCAGCATCGATTGATAAAAACAAATGCACGAGTCGATATGTATTGAAACGTGGGCCAAATAACTAATCAGCGTTGGAAACTCGTGAATGTATATGAGCGTTAAGTGAGTTGACGTATTTTTTAAGCAAATGCCATTAACAGAGATACGGGAATGTTATATGACTATACAAGAAATTAACGCAGTTTTAATTATTCAAGCAGTGGGAAACCTTTTAAAACGAATTAATTGTTCGTTAGTTGCCACAGGAGAAAGTATCGGGTACGTTTTATACTGAAGAGAGTCGGCATGCGGAACACCAATTTGTACGGTGTACATATTCCGCAAAAACATCTAAAAGTAAAAACTATGAAGCTAGAACATGTTTCTAAAAAGCTTCTGTCACTTCAGACTAACATGTCGATTACATAATTTGAAAGTAACTATACCTCTCTGTTAGTCTGGATATTGCTAAGGCCTTTGATCGGGTTTAGCACAAAGCTCCTCTTTAAAACCATCCTTCGGGTTGCCTACGAAGTTATGCAAATGGGTCGCCAGCTTCCTCGCTGATCAGAGCATCAAATCGTTGTCGATGGTGCTTGCTCCGACCCACATTCCGTGAATGCTGGTGTTCCACAAGGCTGTGTGCCATCTCCAACTCTGTTCCCTCTGCATATCAATGACATGTTACAAATCAACAACATTCATTGCTATGCGGATGACAGTACCGGAATTCCTTGTACAGCGGCAATGCTAATATATCGCAGGCAAAAGTTATAGAGTACCGGAACAAACTTGTGTCTGAAATCGAAACTTCACTCCATCAAGTTTCGATTTGGGGTCAGGAAAATCGTGTTCAATTCAACCCCAAGAAGACACAAGTTTGCGCGTTTACCGCTAAAAGGAATCCATTTATCGTATCTCCTCAGTTTCAAGACACTCTCCTTGATGTGAAGGCAAATCTCGAGGTCCTTGGCGTTGATATATCCAGTGACGTTCAGTTTTGCGGTCATTTGGAGGCCAAGGCTAAAATAGCTTCAAAAAAGCTTGGTGTGCTCAGTAGAGTGAGACGGTATTTCACGGCGGACCATCGCTTACAATTATACAAGGCGCAGATCCGGCCGCATATGGAATACTGTTCTCATCTCTGGGCGGGAGCACCACAATACCAGCTACTTCCAGTTGACCGCATTCAGAGCCGAGCAGCCAGAATCATTGGTAATCAACGTCTATGTGACAGACTTGACCCATTGGCTTTGCGGCGAGATATTGTATCTCTGTGCATTTTCTACCGCATATATCACGGGGAGTGTTCTGAGGAATTGTTCGGATTAATACCAGCTGCTGAGTTTCACCACCGTACCACCCGCCAGAAACTAAAGTACCATCCTGATCATCTGGATGAATGGCGGTCCTCCACAGTGCGGTTTTCTAAAAACTTTTTGCCACCCACAACCACATTGTGGAATCACCTTCCAGCAATTGTATTTCCGAACCGATACGATATTGAAACCTTCAAGAAAAAAGCTTATTCCTTTTTAAAAGGCCGACACTAGCGGAAATGCAAGTACGTTACTTGCATTTCCGCTAGTGTTGCGGGTGCTCATGGGCGGCGGTAATCACTTACCATCAGGTGAGCCGCATACTCGTTTGTCTCCTGCGTTATAAAAAAATACCTAAATTTAAGTTAAAGCCACTCACTTAACTCCTGTCGACCTCCTTTCTGCTTTGACCGTTTTCAACATTGTAACCAATTCTTTCATACTGTCCTGATTCAAGAATGAAATATTCAAATATTTTAACAGTTGCGGTGTTAAAATCAATAAAGAGAGTATGAATATCCTCTTCATGGTGGACATGTCGTTAAATTTTTCAGCAACCTGAATAAAAAATTATATTTTATAAAAAAACATAACACTGCAATTAATTTATATTGTTTTTTAATTATATGTATACAGAACCTTAACAAAGTGTGCATTTTCGTTAGTGAGAGCATCGCACTTTATACCAAAAGCACATGCACCTATAGTTTCTAAAGTATAGTGTCCCAAAGTGTCTTTCATATCTATGTCTTTTCCATCTGTAAAAATACGAATAAGTTGTAAAAATAGAAAGGAAAGTTTGTTTTGTTGAGTTAATAAATACCCTAGATTTATATAGTTCATACAGAGGCTAAGCAGAAATGAACATTTTTAATTACAATAAGGGACTATCAAACATTATTAGACAACTAAAAATGAAGCTATGAGAAGTTAGCTAAGTGGTAGGTGATATACACAATGCTATATATTAATTTTGTTAATGCATTGAATTAAATAAAAAGAACATATTGATATTATAAAAAAAATCTTAAATATAATAAAACTCAGGATAAACTTGAGAATTGTGACTTTACTAATCAACTTACCATATTGCTTTAAATAATCTACCAATTGGCTAGAGCACAATTGTAGCAGTGGTAACATATTCTTCAGTCTAGCTGAACTGAATGCAGGAGTGAGTATACTACGAACACCTTTCCATTCTGTTCCCTAGAAGTAGTCATATCATCTCAATATATCCAATTTTAATAATCTGTACACGTTGTAACTATTTTATGAGATAGAAAATATGGTACTGAGAATTTTTGTGTTTGACTGTGATTTGTCTATGTTGCGAACCTATAACATGATATATGTGGAATGATAACCATAATAATTCCACAGACACTTTTGAATATTGAAATCGAGTATACATGGGGATTTCTATTACATTATAAAAAAACGCCTGACTCAAAAATTACTGAATGGATTTTCGCCATTCTTTAAAACTTGGTGGAAAAATAGCGATGACGGTTAAAGTCATCAAAATCAAACGTCCGGGAGCTTTCTCCGAAAATGCTAAAAAACAATCTATGTGGGAATATTGCTCTTTTATATGTATATAACAATACACGTCAGTCAATGATAGCACATTGTGCTTACCTTTTAAACATAGTTTACTATACTTACCCAAAGCTTAAAAAAAAACCGTATATATACATATAATGTGAGTGCTAAAGCTACAAGGGCGAATACGATTTAATCCATAACAAAAAAAAATATTGCAGGATGCAGCCCTATGTTTGACTATTCGCTGTTAATGCTTAATATGCTCTACTACCCGCAGTGGATCACTAGTAAAGTAAAATTAATGACCAAATTAATAAGGGAACAACTTACTCTTAAAATTAGCAAAGAGCGTCTTAAATAATTTGGTTGCCTGCTATCCGTTGTATTTCTATCAACAAAACAATCGAAATCACGTATTGTGATAGCTTTAATTAAATCTGCATCCAAAACATATAAAACTGGTTTTCTTCCTTCAAAAAAACCTGCAATAAATTATTACCTATACAGTAGAATATAGTTAATGTTGTGAGATATAAATATTTATCAAAGGAAGATAATGGATACTCGTATTTTTCATCACATTTCATTTGTCTTTTTTATTTCGCGCTCACCCTCGTTTTTCTACTTGTTGCTAAGGTTAACTTACAATTTAATTGTTCAAGCATATATTTTAGATAGATTCTTTCAAAGAAAACTCAAATAAAATAGGTCATTACTACATATGGGACAAGTTATTTGGATTGGGACATATTGAACAGTTAGATCATAGATGTAGAATCATAATGTCGCAACAAGTGTTTTATGGTGTTTACCCTATTTTTAGAGTAAACACCATAAAATAAAGCCTACTTTACCCAAACCTACTTATGAAATGAAGATAAATTATTAAGATAAAAACGTTTATTTGTATGTTTTATTTATGTCTACTAGTATGTTCAATTGGTCATCATCATCGTGATGTAGGTACATTCGGAAATAATCACTGGGTTCTGAGGCGTTTTAGGTAAGGAAGCACCTTATTAGAATTCTTACGAATATAAAATTTGCAGACACAACACTCATATCGAACATTTTCGAATATAGACCAGGGTTCCCAATCCTTCTTTGCCCCTCAAATTTTGTCATTATAAAATATATCTTTTAATGACTTTAATTTATTACTAGCTGACCAGTGGAACTTTTATGTATTACATTTTTATGCCTTGCGAAGTTGCTGTATATACAACATAAAATATTCATTCATGACAATCTTCTCAACTTATTTTACTTTTTTCGTGAGTGACAATGGAATGGTATTTACACTTGCATACATTTACATGACATACATCTTTGCTATAAGTTTTAAGTATTCAGGGCAGGCATGAGAATCACTACTGGTCAATAAAATTTCAATGCAGAAAATTGGAAACTTTAGGGAATGTAAATCAACAGTACAGAAACCAGGATGCAACAGAAATATATTTGCATAATAAGCAGGTGTTATCATAGCTTATAATACTATTGGCAAAGATTATTAATTGGCATAGGACAATTTAATATGACAAGTAACATGTAAAATTACACTGTTAATCTTCGTACAATAAATAAATAAACTACAATAACTAAAAATGGCTCTATACTTATGTCAGAGATATGGACAATCCAAGATTTGAAAAAATGTGCGCAAGACATTGAAATTATAATGAATTATCAGAATAACAAAAAAAACCTCTTTACAAATATTTACTGCAAAATTTTAATTCAAAATTGCACGAATGCACTTGGGTGCTGCAAGGTCTCTAAATAGAGATGAGACTGAATACACCTACATCATATTTTCATTACACGGACACACTCTTCTTTATAGGGATTAGTGGTCACATTGCGAGTAATGAGTCTTATCAAACTTACATACACACATTCTTAATATAAAACATTATGATAATTTTTCTGTGAATTTGTCAGTCATGATCAGTAATGATTTCAACTTAATTTTCGTCCGATTATATTATCGTCTGGTGACACCACACAGATATACACACCTGTCATATATAGATGTGGGTATATCTTGAGGACATATTAACACCTTTAATGAGAGTGCACGAGTTCACATACATCCACTAAAAAACAATGTGAAACCCTTACTAATATTATAAATGACGATTTACATCTGTCTTTGAGTTATTTTTTCACAACTGATGAATAGAACAGATCTTACGTAAACATAAATATAAATTGTACAAAAAGACCGGTGTTATACATTTTATATTACAACAGTAAGTTAATAATAATGAATACACGAAACTCACCTCCAAAGGGCCTTCCTTTGAAATAATTGTATATTTCTAATTGAAAAGCGTGAAACGACTGTTTACTATTTAATCTTCTTCCCATATTTCCGACAAATATTGTGGGTTTCATAAATTTAATGTTTCGTTTCTCAAAATAATCGAAAGTGCTTGTATAATAAAAATAAATTGCAAATATTGCCGTTAAAATCAGCAATAACATCCAATCCTCCATTATAAACTGCAGTATCTTTTTTGTACCCTTAAAATAATCTAGCATAACATTCATTATGAAATAAACACACGAATGATAAAAACTTTAGGAATTATTTTTGCTATTATGAATACAATCAAATTTGAACATGTAAGCGAGAATAAGTATTATAATTACAAATCAAGAAAATAACGAAAAAAAGTTTTACTCTGCTCTAGCCTAAACTACATACGAAATTGATGTATTTATTTACACACAATGACAAGCACGATATGAAGTTATAAGATATGTCACCGTGACATAACATAATCCTGACATTACCCAAACACAGATCAAGATTTTTATAACATAAGAACGATTTTCAACAAAAAAATAAGACACAATACCAAAAAAATAAAACCTTCATCCAAACGCCTATTGTTCATTTTATATTTAGACTCACATCAAGAAATCTAATGAATCAATATTCATTTAGTCTAAAATTTTCTTTATATTTCTATTACTTTCTATCACACTTTCTATCAGTCAGAAATATTATATGTTTAGCGTCTATATTGTTACCGCTATTATTTGTGTTTATGTTGTGTTCTTGTAGCAGCAGCGGAAAAGAAGGAGGTGAAATGATGAGTCCAGATTGTTGTTATGTACATATTTATAATTACGAAATATTTACAATGAATATATAGGTACAAGAAAGTGATTCGATCTCGAATGACAAGCTTGTTATTCTTCTTGCCCCATCGTAACTAGGCAACGGTGTTGCCGCACGATGATAGTAGATTCGCCACACCACCCCCCCGCGGAGAGAAAAAGGTGAAAGAAAAAGAAGAGAAACTATTAATCTAAAATATCATCAAATAAAACTCTCCTTTCTGACCTGGTAACCGATGGTTTTGTGGTTAAAGCACGTTTATTGTATGAAATGGTGGCGAATTGAGATCAGTGCAAATGATGAAGAAGTGAAAGGAATAGAGGAAGGGTGGATGGTAGTGAGGGCTCATGTAAGTGATGAGCAGGACTCAAGCATCCCGGCTTATCCTCATTCTGTTCTTCTTCTAGATGAAGTGGAAGGAACAAAAGATGACACTGTGGACCGTAGTGAGGGCTTATGTAGGAGATAAGCAGGACTCACAATATCCCGGCTGATCATCTGTTCCGTTCCATTCCAGATAAAATGGAAGGAAATAGAAGTGAAAGTGTGGATCGTAGTGAGGGCTCATGTAGGAGATGAGCAGGACTCACAGCATCCCGGCTGATCACTGTTCTTTTCCCCCATGATTAATGGCTTGGTGGTAGATGACTGATAATGAATTAAATGTGATAGACTCAGCCATGTTATCTCAACCTGTGTGAACTGTAATGCCGTACAGGTCAGGAGGGAGGTAATTAAAAAATAAAATATTTAGGTACCTCCGGGGCAGATGATGTGGTTACGTTGAATGTGCCGAATTGATCATTGCGAGACGAAAAATAAATCAAAATTTACAAATAGAAAAATATACAAATTTACACAATGAGTAACTGAAAATGTTGTCCATCCGGGAATCGAAGTCCAACTCGTAGTGTATTGACTGCGTCGTACTGGCCCGTGTCGTAGTTCCCTTGTAGGCGACGGTGGGTACTGCGACGGTATATACAGGAACGGTCAGCCAATAGTGACGGTGTGGTCATCGGTGATGAACTTGAATGGATTACGTCTGGTTGGCGGTATGAATAAGGAATGAAGGAAAGATGGCACCTGGACTGGAGTGAGTTCTCGCTTTACTGTGGCTGCTGTGCTGGAACGTCGTGGGTCACCAATTTAGCGTCTATATTGTTACCGCTATTATTTGTGTTTATGTTGTGTTCTTGTAGCAGCAGCGGAAAAGAAGGAGGTGAAATGATGAGTCCAGATTGTTGTTATGTACATATTTATAATTACGAAATATTTACAATGAATATATAGGTACAAGAAAGTGATTCGATCTCGAATGACAAGCTTGTTATTCTTCTTGCCCCATCGTAACTAGGCAACGGTGTTGCCGCACGATGATAGTAGATTCGCCACATATGTATCAATTAGCACTCAAAATTTTTTGACGATCGGTTCTAGAGGTGAGGGAAGGAAATCACTAAACCCTAATATACTCAATACGGACGACGTAAAATTATGAAAACTATATCAAATTAAGCGTGAAGGTATACAGTAGTAAGTACTTTGTCTTCCATTCCTTCTTATTTATTTTAAATTATTCGTAATAAAAAGACCAAAAAGAAAGAAATTGCCTATTATGCCGTGCGATGTAGTTACCGACCGATGCTTCGTTTAGTGTAAGTTGTAACATAGGTAATACTGGTGAGTACGTAAATTTAAAAAATAATTACATTTATGTTCTGAATTCCGTCAAAAAAATTATGAAGACAGATGTCAGACAAAATTTTGTAGTTGTAGTAGTAAACCATATTTCAAAATTTTTTAGTAATTTTATTCAAATATTTTCATAAAATACCTACTTGTAAATTATTAAGTTTTATCAATATGGGGAACTTTAAAATGCCTGCTGTGCGGCAATTTCTAAAGAAAAAGGTGGAAATTGATAGTATATTATTATACTAACTCAGACATACTAAAATATATGTAGGCATATACTGTAACGTATTTTTCAACCGTTTTTAAAAAGAGTACGAATTCTCAATGCGACAGTTGTTTTTGTTTGTAACGTCAGAACTTTTATAATGAGTCGATGATGAAGAATTTTTTATTTAAAAATTGGTACTTCTCACTTAAGTACTTAACCCCATATTAATATGACTATGATCTGACTAGTAGGTATTTAGTTAATAATGCGACTTAGCATATACACGTATATCATGTCTTTAGTAGATAATAGATATACATATTATTTTTACTATTTTAGACTATTTATGGACCTAAAAAAGATCCAGTGTGGGTTTACTTAGAACAGGAAATGAGGGAAAATATTAATAAGAAACCTTACAACAAGGAAGTGGGTGCTTGGTTGAAATTTTTGAAGGATTTAAAGTATTATTTTTACTGTGAAGGTATGTGCAATCTCAAGAACTAAAAAAAACTAGAATTTGTTTATTTTTTCTTCATACTTTATTAAGGTTACGTATTAGGGTTCATTCCCGAGAATTCCCGGGAAATTCATGGGTTTTGTTCCCGGGAAATCAAGCTCGAGAAAAGTCGAGAACTCGAGAAATCATGTACCTATATAGAAATTTAATTGCCCTTTGTTTTATTGCGTGGCGGCGCAATATTTTAAGATATCAACGTTTTTGTTTTCTTTCATGTTATTTTTTTATTTTGTAGAAACTATTTTTGTTTATGTAGTTTTTTTTTTCTAAATAAGCAGCCAAAAATGGTGCTGTCATTATAAATATAAGGTCCTAAAAAATCGAAATTGGCGTTTTGTAAGGGATTAACCTGAAGTATTTTTTTCAAAACAATATATTTATTTAATGAAAGTATGTACCATTTCTATTTATGCACTTTTGCATTTTGTTTTTACACTTTGGACTGCCCATCGGAATTTAATATTATCCCTTGCAAGAAGTTATTCAAAATTTCTAAAAAAAGGTAATCTGTTGGAGCAAGGTCCGGCAAGTTTGGTGGTTGTCTTAGACATTCCAATTGAATCTCTTCTAATTTGGTAACTGTCTGTTGTGCAGTATGTGGTCAAGCGTTCTTGGCGATTGACCAGTCTCCGTTGTTTAGCAGCTAGCTTTTCCATCATGGATTCTCAATTGCTGACAATACACATTTGCCGTAATCGTCTGGCCAAATTTAAGAAAGCCGAAGTGAACAACGCCGGAAATAGTCCACCAAACGTTCATTTTGTTGGTTCGCCAGGGTTTAGCCATTGCAATGAGCGTTAAGCGTCCGATTATCGTATTAGATCCACTTTCCATCGCAGGAAATGATTTGATTTAAAATCCCTTCATTATTATGCCGGTTTATTAATGTAACGCAGCAGGCTACGCGCGTTTGTCGATGTACTCCACTGAATTCATGGGGGACCCACTTTTCAAGCTTTTTCACCTTCCCAATTTGCTAAAGGATTAAAACAGTATTGTCACGAACACCGCAGCCTGTAGCTAACTCGGACGGGTTTGCGATGGATCCGCTTCCACAATAGCCTTCAATTCTTCATTACCTTGGATTCCGGCCGCCCATGGAAATTGTTTTGCAGGTCGAAATTTCCAGAACGCAAACGTTGGAACTAAAAATGCATGTGTTTGCTTTTGCGAGACCACTGCCATACACATCATTAATACTTCGAGCCGTTTAGCACCGTGTAGCACTGGTGCCACAGCGGAACTCGTACTCGTAAATAACGCGGTACTTTAAGTTTTTTCATTTTGTATGCTGTGAGTGATCCAAAGTGAATAGCTGTATAAATTTGGAAATGGAATTCCTAACCAAAGAGGAGATATTTGAGATCAAAGTGGCCAGTACGACAAAACGCCAATTTCATATGTAAGGACCTAATATTATTACTCTCTTTTAAAAAAAAAATTTATTCATAATATTAATGTTTTTAAATATACTCAATAAAAGTTATATTTAATACTTTTATTTGAGAGGAAAACCACTGAATTTTTTGACGTTATTGGAACCAAATAATATGAGAAAACGTACGTAAATGTAAATTTCTCGACAACCCGAGAAGACCCGAGAAATTGACCTCGAGAATTCTCGAGACCCGAGAAATTGAAAAGCTCGAGAAATCATGAACCCTATTACGTATGGTATTTAGGTAAAAGAAAGGCCAGAAGATTGGAAACGGAGACTGGTCCCTCTTGGTATTGCGAGCTGTCTAGTAGTCAAAAAGAAGTGCTCAATGACCTCAAAGCTAACATACATCAAGATTTATTGGAAGACTTGCCTATAAGGATACGGAAATCATTATCAGATCTAGGATTCACTTTAAAATTGCCAAAATCTTTGCTAATACGGGCAATGAACGAATCAATTGAAGATCCTGGTGTGTTTATATGGAATTTATATTCAGCGGTTTATAAAAAACTACCCAGCGAATTAAGATCAGGTATTATTAAGATCTTTGTATTTTACCTATTTAAAAATTAAACAACGATACCATCTGCGCAGGGTTTTTTAATGGATGATAATGGTATGGTGCACCCGCCTGCGCAAACGGTTTACATTGTGCGGGGCACCAGTGGAGGACGATAAGATGAGCTTGAGGTCAGGTCAATTAGCCCATCGTCACAAATTCAGTAGGAATCTATCACGATGGTTTCCGGGGGAACCGCGTGGAGGTCAACCTGACATGGTACATTGCTAGCAAGGGGGTCATCAGTCTAAATTACTAGTAATCCCCGTCCCCTCCATCTGCGCGGTTTTCTTTCTTTATATGGAATTTATATTCAGCGGTTTATAAAAAACTACCCAGCGAATTAAGATCAGGTATTATTAAGATCTTTGTATTTTACCTATTTAAAAATTAAACAACGATACCATCTGCGCAGGGTTTTTTAATGGATGATAATGGTATGGTGCACCCGCCTGCGCAAACGGTTTACATTGTGCGGGGCACCAGTGGAGGACGATAAGATGAGCTTGAGGTCAGGTCAATTAGCCCATCGTCACAAATTCAGTAGGAATCTATCACGATGGTTTCCGGGGGAACCGCGTGGAGGTCAACCTGACATGGTACATTGCTAGCAAGGGGGTCATCAGTCTAAATTACTAGTAATCCCCGTCCCCTCCATCTGCGCGGTTTTCTCAGTGTCGCCTATTTCAGCCGCCAAACAGCTTGATTTATAACCTATGTATCAGTTCTAGGGTGGCAGACAAATTACAGGTTTAGAGGCATGGGCATCTTATTTATTTGGAACAGCAGCGCATAAATGGTATCGCGGGTGTCTCATCATAACGTAATGTAGTCCATACATCATCAAGTCAGTCGTCAGCTTCTTTGCCATTTTAATTACAGTTTTTTTGTTTTAGAATATGATATGAATGCTATGATTTTGATGTCAAGTTTAGTATTTGTTGATCTAGAGGAGTGCATTCAACGACTTGAAACATTAACGCAAGTCAAAAAAACTGTACCACCTGTAGTGCAAATAAGTATGAAAAAATATTTTATCAGATCTATAGTAACTAGTAGGAGTTATGTAAAATCGTAAGGGTTAAGATAATAATAATATAATTAATATAAGATAATATTAATACATAATACAAATAACCCAGAATATCTCACACAGCGCGATATAAGCAGCTAAACTAAGCAAAGCTAGTAGCTAGTATTATGGTTGCTAAACAACGAGTACTCGCATGAGAATACAAAGATTTGCACCGTGCGAGAAATCGAACCCGACCATCAATTATAAAGCGGTGTGCTAAAACGCTACTCCACCAAGATCGTCAACATAGTTCACAGAGATGAAAACTAGCACAATGATATAAGTAGGCTGCCTATTGTACAAAATTTTATCATAGCAAAATGGTTAATCAAAATTTTGTAATGTTATTACATTACTAAATTTTGATTAACCATTTTGCTGTCTGTGAGTCAATCATCTCAACTTGAAAACGAACACATGTCATTATATACCTAGCTACTATAATTGATAGAGGGGGATTGTTAGTAATGTGTATTGATTATCTTATTGCTAGCGATGTACCATGTCAGGTTGACCTCCACGCGGTTCCCCCTGGAAACCATCGTGATAAATTCTTGGTGATATTGTCACGATGGTCTAACTGACCTGAACTCATGCTCATCTTATCATCCTCCACTGGTGCCCCACCAGCGTAAACCGTTAGCGCAGGCGGTTACACCATTCCATTATCATAAAAAAAAACTATAATGAGAGATTGAACAATATTATTCTATAATTCTATGAAGTTATATAGGACGTAGTAATGTACTCTTTTAAATTTGATGCATATCATTATTTACACGTATGATTAGTAAATAAAACACAGGATCTTACCATGTTTTATTTTGAATAATAGCAACAGACGAGGACGTATTGTAGGTAGACGAATGCGTCTGCCCATGATGGCCATGAAATTATTTTATTTTCCATCTGCCCGCTGCTCTTCAATTTACCCGTGATCATGGCGGTTGAAACACTGTTAAAATATTATACAAACCGTCCTTTCCTCTTCTCTAATTGTAAATTTGTAAAATTGTAAATGAATCTCCGAATTGTCTAATAAGATCAAGACGACGTCGGTGGTCTAGCGATCTAGCATACCGCTTTAAGTCCGATGGTCGCGGGTTTGATTCCTTGCATGGCACAAACATTTGTATTCATGAGTATGATTGTTTGTATGGGTCTGGCTATTAGAATAGAATAGAATAGAAAATCATTTATTCAAATAAACTTACATTGAAGCACTTTTGAATAGTCATAACGTTTTTTTTTTTTAATCTACCGCTCATTCGGAATGCTGTCTCATCACAAGAAGAACAAGCAAGAAACTTGTGTGTTGCTCTTTTAAATAATTTATTCTTACTTACAATTTAAGTTTAAGTGTGTGAATACAAACCACCGATTAGCACTAATTCAATTAAATACTCAAAAAGAAAAAAATATTGAATAAATAACCAACTGGTTAAACAATTAATAAGAGGAAATCAGTCATAGTGATTAGAGCAGACCAGTCCCTACAAGCAGCACCCGTTCACGAGTATGACGGATGAGCCAGCCATCACTGCGCTCGACCATATTTTAGGGAGCCCAATGACCCGGCCCACCACGCCGCCACAAGTCTGGACATTTTAGTGAGCATGACTACTCAAAACACCAGACCACGTCATAGCTACTCACAATTGCCATCTGATGTTTATAGTATTCACATTTCACATAAGAATGCATGCGGCAATTAATACAAAACCCGCTACGCTTTCATATTTCTAAAATAATTGAATCAAGAAAGCAATGAGATAAACAAATTATAACGTTGTATGCTAATAAACTAATTATTTACTTGATATGTTGTCTTCTATGAATTCGTCTATCCTATAATAGGCTTTCTTACATAAAAATTGTTTAATATAAGATTTGAATTGCCTCTCTGTCAGATTTAGTGCAGATTCTGGCAGTTTATTATAAAATCTTACGCAATTACCATAGAATGAATTACTGACTTTGTGCAGGCGGCATTTAGGTAAAATTAGCTTATTTTTATTGCGTAAGTTTCTATTTGTACAGTCTTTAAGTTTTCTAAAACTGTCTAAATTCTTCCGTGTATACATGATATTCTCATAAATGTATTGTGAAGTAACGGTGAGGATATTTGAATCTTTAAAACACTGACGTAATGACTCTCTTGAACCCATACCATAAATAGAACGTATGGCTCTCTTTTGTAAAATAAATATAGTATTTATATCGGCTGCTTTACCCCACAGTAGTATACCATATGACATAATGCTATGGAAATAACTAAAGTATACAAGTTTAGCCGTCGCCACGTCTGTTAATTGCCTAATTCTTCTAATTGCATATGCAGCTGAACTGAGTCTATTGGCCAATTTTGAAATATGGGGCCCCCATTGTAATTTCGAGTCCACTGTTATACCTAAAAAAACTGTATCATTAACAAAATTTACTATTTCGTTATTAAGCAATAACTGTGTATTTATTGGTCTTACATTAGGAAGTGTAAATTTTATACACTTTGTTTTGCTGGAATTTAATAATAGATTATTACATGTAAACCAATTTAATATAGCAGACATAGCACAATTTACATCGTCTAATTGATTAGTTTGACGTCCAATTTTAAACACTAACGAAGTATCATCCGCAAACAGCACTATATCTGCAATTTTCTCTACCATAAAGGGTAGGTCATTTATGTAAATTAAAAAGAGAAAGGGGCCTAAGATTGACCCTTGTGGAACGCCCATCCCAATATCAGCTCCCTTAGATTTTATACCGTCAATATCTACAGTTTGGACCCTATCCTCTAAATAAGTTCTCATTAATTTTAGATCATTATCTTTTATACCATAATGTTCGAGCTTGTACAAAAGTGTTTTATGATCCACGCAATCAAATGCCTTTGATAGGTCACAAAAAACTCCGAGTGCATCCTGTGACTTCTCCCATGATTGGAAAATATGTGTTATCAGCGCTACACCTGCGTCAGTGGTAGACTTGCCGGCGGTGAAACCATATTGTTGACTGTGAAGCAGTCGGTTATCCCTGAAGTGTTGTAACATTTGATTTAACATTATCTTTTCAAACACCTTACTTAGAACTGGCAAAATAGATATAGGTCTATAGTTCCCTGGCTCAAATTTATCTCCTGATTTAAATAGTGGGATTAATTTGCTAAATTTCATTAATTGTGGAAAAGTCCCATTATCAATACATTTATTAAAAATAGTAGCTAGATATGGAGCAACAATATCTATGAAAGAACTAACTACTTTTACAGACATGCCCCAAAGGTCTTCTGTATTTTTTAAATTTAGATGTTTGAATATTTTTATGATATGAACGGGGCTAACATGTGAAAATTTAAATCTTAAAGCACAACAACCGATATTAGACTCTAGTAATATTTTTGCTCGAGATGGAGATGAGTCCAGAGAAGATGTAATATTAATCGGAATATTAGCAAAAAAATCTTCAAAAACATTAACTACATCTTTTGTTGCTGTTATTAATTTATTATCATAATTTAATGCAAATTGATTATAGGCTAATTTAGATCTTCCGGTTTCTTTATTTATAATGCCCCAGATGGTTTTAATTTTGTCAGAAGACTGGTTAATTTGTTTATTAATATAATTAGATTTAGCCGTAATACAAACTTTTTTAAAAATTTTTGAATAATTTTTCACATAAGTGGTTAATTTGTCATCAAATCGATATTTTTTTTGATCGTATAAATCAAACAAAATATTTCTACTTCTAAGTATACCTACTGTTGCCCATTCCGTGAATTTCGATTTAACATAAACTTCTTTTTTCTTGAAAAATTGTTCATATTCTCCTGATAGAATAGTAATTAGCTTGGTGTAAAGATAATCAGGATTATTACTATATTGTAACAGCAAATCCAATTTATTTTTAATCGCGCTTTTGTATTTGTTAATATTGTAAACATTTATTTGTCTTTTTGATTTTTTATTATTGTTGACTTTATTGATCTGACTGTTAAACTTAACAACTTGACCACAGTGATCTGAAGGAAGTTTATTTATTATGAATTTTTCTGTATACTCACAGTTACAAAAAACATTGTCAAGACAAGTAGCAGACGTGGCAGTTACACGAGTGGGTTCATGAAAGACATGACTTAAATCAAATGACTGAAATAAACTAATAATTTTTGTACATGTGGGTGTGTTACAAAGAATATCAACGTTAAAATCTCCACATACAATAATTTTTTTAATATTATTAAATATTTTTTTTAAAATATCCTCCATCACCCCTTCAAAAACATTGTAATCACTATTAGGAGGCCTGTACACACATATAAGGATATAATTTTCTAGTTCTATACAAGATAATTCTATACAACACTCAATAGAAAGTCTAACAATGTCAGCACGTTCCTTTACTTTAATATTATTTCTTGCAATTATCATAGACCCGCCTCTGTTAACTGACTTTCTATTGAAGCAGCTGACAACGTTATAATTATTTAAATTGAACATCATATTGCTCTCTTTAAGCCAATGTTCTGTGAAACAGACAATATCAATATTATACTTTTCTAAAAATAATTGTATAATTAACTCGCTGCCGGGAAAACTTTGTATGTTCTGATGAACAATTATTAATTCTGATTGCTTTCCCTTTGTCTTTGTGAGCAGTTTAAATCTGCAGTCATAGTATTTATGTCACAAATATTAATAGAATTATTTGTTATGTCAGTATTTTTATGTTTAAGTTTACCATGTAAACTGTATTTTCTATGTATACTATGTATGTATTTACGATATATGTATATATCGTAAATACATATTTTAAGAGGACAATTTTAATTGAAAAATCGAGTTCCAAAAACAAGTAAATTGAAGTTGCATCAGCACCTACAACAGTTTTATTACTAAATTTTTAATGGCAATAATCTCCAAGTAAGGTACATATATTACCAATTCCCAAAGACGTTAAGTATAGGTATTCAACCGCCTTTAATCGAAATAATTTGTTTATCGATGATTTTATTTCAGGACAAAAGAAATATTATCAACCAAATGTCCGTTATGGCGAATATTTGCAGCAAATTTGTGTACCGTTATACTGTAAGCACTCTTCAGGGACAAAAAGTAAACACAAACCAATGCCCCTAACTTATAAATTTAGGCTCAGGAGCGAAACGGTAAGAAATATTGATGAATATCCTGTATGAACTTCCTAACAATATTATTGTTCGAATCTAGTTAGTATTGAACTTTCTCTACTAACCTATATATTATAATAAATAATTAGATCTTAAAAATATTTGTTTTGATACTTATCAAATTAATATTATTGCAAGGATTTTATTAATATGCTTACAAGGAGAACCCAGCCCCGGCTTAAGGAAATATAAGACATCTTGGTTAATGAAATAAATTTATTATTTATTTTCTAGAGCTACGAGAATTTGCGCAGTGATCAAGTTTTCGTAAGTATTATACTTTGATGCCATAGAAATGCAAATAGTATTTATATATTTTATCCATCATGGTATATATAAATCTTGTATACACTACAGATAATCCAACCTGCTCTTGTTTTGGTATGAATAGAAAGCGTTAGCCGACTATAACAGAAATGTACTTACCAAACGCATATTTATACTTATATGATTTACATACCGATGTAATATTACTAATTACCTATATATTTTAAGCTGGAAAAGCGAAAAGATAGAAACAAGAAAGAAAAACAATCTGAGAGAGTCTGTAATTATAAGTTTTGGGAACCACCTAGTACTTTGCGTAAGTATTTTGAACAATATAAATATTTTATTAAATATCATCATTACATATATATATGAAATATTTTAAAACAGATTTTTTAAGTAATCTATATAAGTAATAAAATGCATGATACCATTCTGACAGCTTAACAACTATGTGCAGATTTTGCCAAGCTGAAGAGGAAATGAAACACATCCTATGTGGTTGTAGCCCACAAATGCATGCAAACGAATAAAAAAATATTACCTTTGGAAAACATAAACCCTATCCTGAGGAGATAGAATCTATCGCTCCCAAAAATATACTTCAATTCTTATATATCATATACTCAGTCTAGGTCTTAGTACCTGACAATAGCCCAAAACCCCCAATAAAAAAATACATATATGTGTATACCTTTCGGACGTTATTGTGATATGTAATTTTTATTGACATCAATGATACCTGCAGATTATACGTCTATTTTTGTGTTTAAAAGTACAAAAGTAACAAATATTATGTTTAACGCTTTTAGGTAGTACAGATCCAAAAATGGTTGCCTATATGATCAAATTAAGGATGCTCAAAAAGAAAGCAAAAGCTAAATACAAATCTCCTTTTAAGAATGTGCAGTATCAAGTGGGAGGTGTTTCTTTTGCCGGCGGAAAACCAAGATATCTTTTGTCTAGTAATGTATCCATAATTGTATTAATTAGTATTCAGGTACACGATACCCGAACGAAACCGAGTCCCGATATTTATAAAAAAAATCAAAGAATATTGAAACTCTTTCGAAAATCTTTCTAAATGACGTTTTATCGGTATAGTAATTTAGTGTCATTTTATTGGTATAGCATTTACTGCTTAAGAGGAATTAATCATTTCACTTATTTTAAACTGTACCAGATAATTCAGATTATAAAAAAATGCGATAATAAACACATTAAAAGCAATTTAATTTGTATTTATCTATATTAAATAAAATTGGATTTGTAATATTGAAATAACCGTTTTTTACAACATGCACATGAATATAAATACGGTACATACACCAAACTAACATTTTTTACAATTTTTGTCTATCTGTCTGTTCCGGCTAATCTCTGAAATGGCTGGACCGATTTTGGCGGGACTTTTTTGGCTGATGCAATAAGGAGTAACTTAGGCTACTTTTAGTTTAGAGAAATAAAGTTAAATTCCACGCAGACGAAGTTGCGGGTACAGCTAGTGTAAAATATATTTTATGTTACTTAATTTATATGGCGTAAATATGTAATAACGTTATTTAAACAGTTTGTTAAACAAATGTTAATAATTTTGACAAAAGATAATAATATCTAGTGGGGCGTAGATAAATCCGTAGTAGGCAAAGATATACATATCTAAGGGTGAAATTATTTACTGCATTTTATGAGAAAATTCAAATCGTTTACTATTGGTTGTATTTATAATTTGATTACATACTTTATATATTCATTTTCAACAAACGGCAAGATATTTAATTCGGTATTAGGTATACACTATTGTAAATAATTTTATAATTATTACTGACCCTGGGTTAGCACTCTCCATTAATTCGACCGTCCGTCAGCTTATTTGCCACATAAAATATGATTTCTAATGAGCAATATTACAAATTTATACTTATAGATGTCGCATTACTTCCAACTGGCTACATACCTATCAACGGCGGGACTGTACCTATAGGTGGAGAATACATTACATCTCTTAATGGATTCTGGAAATTTCCAAAAGAAGTTAAAGAAGAATGTGATGAAACTTGTGACTGTTTAACTAAATGGTATATATTTATATCTAAATTCTGAATGTTAAGTTTGTTTCCTCATAACAATTACATAACTGGACGGATTTTAATAATGTATTGGTACCTATATTCCTACACCAGATTATATTCTACTTTAACTTCTTCATTCAAAAACTTATATGAATTATCAGTCTACGTAGGTCTTGACAAACATTGGTTTTGACAAAATATTTCCGATTGCATTATTTTTATCACACGATGATGCATGCAATGGCATGAACTCTCAATATCTATTAGAGAATCTGTGGAGTATACAGACTAAAAGAAATACCTTGAGCAGGTAATTGGAACTTTATTGAGGTCTGACATCAATAAGTGTACTAATTCACAAATAAGATTGGTCTCATTATTTATAAAATAACAAGAAATTACTAATATAGCTAGGATAACTTGAAGTAGTTTCGTTTCATATACTACTTAAAGTAACCGTTACTGTGATCGTATGTTATTATCTATCTATTTCTTTCGCAGGGAAGAGCCTGTAATGCAATACTTAAAAGGATCAAAATGCAAATGCGGTCACTTGTATGATCTCTACCATGAAGGGAAAATAAAAGAGAAATACTTTCACCAGGCTACAAGACATGGCCCATTTTGGATTGATAAAGCTAAAGTTTATCAAATGGATCCGATGGATGATTTTATAAAGGATACAGTCAAGGAGGTATTAATGTCCGCCGAACCTACGGTAATGCCCAAACTTAAATGCTCTAATTATTATATGTGAGTACTTCTGTCTCTCCTATATAGACCGCAAAGCAGGTTGCTTTGTAAACTCAGTTTTGATTTGTAGAGTGATATAAATTGTAGAGTTACGTATGCAAGGTACCTTAGTCTTCAGGAATGGCTACACATATGGGCTACCACGGTCTACAAATAACGATGTAATGTCCGTAGTGATGTTCATGTAAGCGACGGTTGCCCACATACCGTAATATGGGTATGGGTCGACAGGTTGTTTGCAAATCCAGTGTTATGAAAAATTGTTATATGACAGTCGCTATTTTTAATGTTCAACTTCCAGCCTCAACCGTCTACACCGACAATATCGGCTACTGGACTCAAGGAGAAAGATCTTTTAGCGGTAACTTATACGAAACTTTGTTCTGTTTAAATGCATTTGTTACTACATATTACTATACATTTACTATTAATATATCTATAATTATAATAGTGCATTATATTGTAACTTTAAACTATGACGTTATAGATTATTTAATTTGAATATACCTATTCAAAATTTGCATACCCATAAATTGGGGCAATTTATCAGTTGCCAATAATATTATTACCTGGACATATTGCCTAATATCTGAATAACTGTATAATATGCATATAAAATTTCAAATCATTTCGTTTCGTTTCATTTCACACAAATAATGATTTGAACTCGCAATGTTTTTGTTCTATATATAGATATCTTCATGGGTAGTATATTGTTCCGATACGGCGCTCTCTCCTACTAATTTATAGAAGTTATAAGGACATATGAAAATATTTGGAAACTATGTGATTAATTTTGAAAACTAATATAGTAATATTTTTGACCAATGCATAAATAAATAAGCTCCATTAATCTTGCAGGCGCTTTTAGCCGATTTATCAGATACTCCCCTGCTAATTCCTCATCTACCACAAGCGAATCTTTTAAATAATCTACAAGAATGGGTAAGGAATCGAGTTAAAGGCAAAATAGGTCCAAAAGAACATAGTAAGTAGATAATAATAAAATTAAAATTAATTCATTTAAACTTAAATTTTCGAGTAGTCGTCAAGATTCAGCCAAGTAGAAAGAGTAAGAGACTTTGTTTTGTTAAGTTGTTCTAAATGTACTCCTATAGTTTAACGTATTTATTTTGAATCCTACCGACCAATTCTGTTTACGAGACCTGCCATTAAATTTAATTAAGAGATTGAAACAGTATTTATTGTGAATTAAAGATGTATAAGTGTAATATATTTCAGAACGATTAATTCTGCAATCACAACGTAGATGGTTAGATCTGAAGCATATGGATTTCAGAGCTCGAGCGTACAGAATTCCATTTACTATGAAACAACTTGAACATATGAATTGGTCACATCGGCAGTTGGTTCAAAATCTGGTATAACATGTTATATTAAGTTATTAATGTCCATAATGTGTTCAATAATGTGTTTTTTATCTTATCATATCTTGCAGTTTGATATATTACTTAATGATTTCGTAACAAGAAATAAAATTAAGCAAGTTGAGCAGACACGTCTCTGGTGGTCTACAACCAAGTATGATGCGTATCCGAGTAAACCATTTCTGTAAGTCGTTTTGTTATTTACAGCTGTATGAACTCATTATATTTAAAAGTAGCCTAAGTTACTCCTTATTACATCAACTACCTGCCAAAAAAAGTTCCGTCACAATCGGTCCAGTCATTTCAGAGATTACCCGGAACAAACAGATAGACAAACAAAAATTGTAAAAAATGATATTTTGGTGTATTTACCGTATTTATATTTATATGCATGTAGTAAAAAACGGTTTTTTCAATATTACAACCAGACACTCCAATTTTATTTATATGTATAGATGTATAGATAGATAAGCAAAAAATTTTTTTGGTTATATCAGTTTTTTTCATGTTTCAGTGACATATATTTTACATATATGCCTGGAAGAATGAAAGACACGTTCCTGATAAATCCTTATAGCTCTGATCTTACACCAAAGCATGGAGGGAAAACTTGTCTTTTATAAAACGCTGACAGTCGGTACCCAAACTTCGTTCAGATTTTATTATCAAAACTAAATATAGAAAGGTGTGTATTGTTATTCTCTAAAATTATATTTTAAGAAAATATTTGAGACAGAAGGTGTACTCAGTGTTTTAATTTTAACTTTTTTGTTTTTTATTAACTTCGTCTAAATTGTGTTCGTTTTGTATGTAATTGGATTGTAAGTAGGTATAAAAATATAAGGAATCTAGTGTTGAATTGTTTACAGAATAATAAAAAAATATATATCACTAATATTTAAATAAATATTATGTAATGTGATCCTTGTTTTAATAATTGTGTATATACAATTGACGAAACTTTGAAAAAATAAATGTACTATCTGGACGAATGAATGATATTCTTCGGATCTGGCTGAAATGAAAAGCTTTGTGTATTAAGTTATACTAGCACTGGCAATGAACAGAATATAGGTATATGCACGTGTGTGTCAAATACACGGTGTAGTGTTATTATGCATAATTTAGAAAGAATTAGCTTTCTGCATGCACTGCTTCTATATATAAAATATTTGTGCGAAATTTCGTTCTCTTCCGTCAATTCAAAAATACTTATTGACATTATTATACCTACTCATATTAATTTAAATTCAGTTTATTTCAACAAACCCATGGATCCTCTTTTGTCCAATAGGTACATAATTGCTATTTTGGACAGAGAAATACTTTCTCATGACTTGTTTATAATGAGTTGTTTGTTGTCAATCAAACAGAGATTATACTGACGAATTGATTCTCCCTTTGGATTTTCGAGATGGCGGAAGCGTGGGATGTGCTCTTCAGTGTGATGTATTTCGGGGGAAGTTTTGTCGCTTGGAGTGTGTTCAGATATATCATAGTTCTTCTATGCGACGAGTTCTTCTGTCCGGGAGACTACTTGAGGTACTACGTAGTCTGCCATAGCAGGGGGCGTGTCCCCTGCTCACTTCACGAACTATTTAGAGACTCAAGAACATTTTTTGCACTGTACGACTACATTATTTTAACAATTTAAGACATATAAAATAAACTAAGCAATAAGCAAAAAATTAAGAAATTCAAAAACATGCAGACATGGCTGTATGGGCACAGTTCCCTTTGCCCTACCGTTAAAGGATAAACAGAATAAAAAACATAAGATTGACGACTGAATGAATGACTGCTTAACTGACAAACTACTGACAACATTATCATTTCGTGTGTTTTAATATTTTCCGTCAGAAAATAATTCTTACATTTTCGATGCATTATTTTTAAATCGAATACGAAAATGTCTACAAAACAAGCAATACAAATTGGAACCAAAACTGTAAAGCCATTGCTGTCTTTAAATTCTGTTGAAGCCAGAAAAAGAGTACTCAACTTGTACAAGGCTTGGTATCGTCAAGTTCCACACATAGGTCGGTATGCACTCTATTATGTCATCATATTAAATATTGAAATCGATAAATAATAATAATAAAATACATATTTCTTATATTATATTTATACCTCCCATAAACTGGTGGTACTATGTTTCTATCACTTATATAATATGTAAAAAATATGTGCCCAATGTATTGATTTATTAGCATCATATAGTGCTGTTGAATTTTAAGTAAATAAATGAATTAATTTTAGAAAACAAGAGTTATAATCTTTATGTGCTGTAATTAAGTACCAAAAAGAGTCACCTTTAAGCAGAAAACTCAGAATAGCAGTGCTCTTGTATGTCTTTGTACTTTCTTATTTTATTATAATGTATAGGATATTGAACATTCTGATGTTTATTAAATATAGTTGATGTAGTTCTAACTTTTGGTTAATAACATGACCAATTCTCGGTGCAAGGAAGTTTAATAACTAAACTAGTTTAATATATAATTTTGTAATGAGTAAACAGTAAATTAAATAGGTTTTTTAAGAAATTTGGATACATTTTCAGTAAAGGATTATGACATCCCAAAATCTGAAGAACAGTGTAGAGAAAAATTGAAGGAGTTGTTTATAAAAAACAAAGATGTCACTGATATCAGAGTTGTTGATATGCTTATAATTAAGGTACCTATTTTTTTTTATTTCTTCTGAATATTCTTAGAGTGAATGTAAATTCAATGAATAATATACTGTTTTGTTGAAGTAATTCAGAGTTGAACGAAAATTATTATACGGAATCAAATATTTTTGCTCAATTACCAAAGACAAATAAAATAAAAATATTTGAAAAAAAACAACACAGTAGGTTTAACCTAATTGAAGGCAAAAAGTGTTAAGGGTAATGATGTCCTAGACATTTTTTCCTATCATTTGGGTTTGATGTATGTGTTGGTCTTATTTAGTCCTATGCCACATAAAACTTTTGAACTTGGTAACTGCTACAAATTGCTACTATACTTATTTTCATATAAAAAAATAGGACATATCTTTTTATATGAAAATAAGTGATAATCACATAGCTAGTACATCTACAAATGTCATTTTTATATTGTCATCTTATCATGCAAGGCTTACATAGTCAATATAAATAATGAAATAACCAGTCCAAATATCAATTTACTTAACATAACAGCTTCTGGGTAGGCATTGCTAGTAGGATTTAGATTTGGATGTACCACACTCCACTAGCTCCTGCACATATCAAGTACACTCATGTCTGAAATCTTTATTATGTTATGGCAAGATAGAGGACAGAAGAGAATTTATAGAATACAGATAATACATAAATCATATAATAACCACAGTACATAAAAACTGGTATGATTTCAGGGGCAAATGGAGCTACAGGAAACGGTGAAGTTGTGGAAACAAAAAGGTCACATAATGACTTATTTCAAACCAACTGAAGAACCTAAACCAAAGGATTTCCTTTCAAAATTCTTTTCTGGAAATGAATAACAATGTAACATATATTTACCAATAGTTTCAAATGTATTATAAGTAAAAAGTTATGTAAATAGAATAGATGTTTCAATTCACAAATGTTGGTGTCATTTACTATATATATGTTAATAGCCATATGAAGATGCTTCGACTCACTGTATGGTTTGAAGTTAGGTATGTTCAGCTTTAATATTGAGGTTTTAGCTTTAGCAATGTATTAAACATACTAAAGGCATCACAATATGGGCACATCTATAAATTACGTTACATGAATTTATTACTTATACTTATATTAAAATCTCTTACTTCTAAAAATTACTGTCAACGTAATTTATGAATGTTACCTATTCTATGTTGTGTACGCTGTTGTTCATGTATATAGACAACAGTTATCACTTCACTTACGATTTATACATGAAGAAAATATATATATATATTATCTTTTGTATTTTCGAGACTAAAAATACTATAGGTAAATTAAAATTTGATTTTGAATGTAATAATAAGAAATATACAATCAGTTTTTATTTGATATCTCTAACTTTTATCGTGTTATAAAATATTACATAAATAGGTACTTACTGGCTATAGATAAATTGCTGAAAATTACATGTACTATTTGACATTAAGTTGTCAATTATCGGCAAATATTGCTCCTCAAAATACTTTAGATATTGTTCTGTAAGTTCTGTTTACCATATAATAACTTGAAATCAACATGGTTGCACAGGGGACTATAAAAACTGCTTATAAAAACGTGAGACCTTTGATGTCAAGAGATTTCTGCGAGGCTCGCCGAAAGGTTCTTGGCCTCTATAGGGCATTTTATCGCTACATTCCATATATAGGTAAATTAGATTTAGTACATATCTATATAAAAGTGTATTACTATACCTACTTGCCACCGTGGCTTGCAAAGTATGCTAAGCCTAGCACACAACCACTCTATTCAAGACGTCTTCAGGATACCCTTGGATTCCACTAATAAACATTTTCTCCTTAGAATACGTTTATTAGTGGAATAGATTATGACTGATGTATAAAAAATATTTAATTTGTGACTAAATACATACGAGCTACACATAATACATTGTCTATATATAGCAAAAATAAATATCAAAGTCGATCCAATTTTGACATAGCTTAATATACGAGTATATGACCACAAAAGAAACAGTGGAGTTGAGTATCTATATTTCATTTTTAATATCGGTGAATATTAAATTTATGATTCTGTTCTAGTTAAATATTACGATATTCCTAAGAGTGAGGAAGATTGCCGCTGGAAGATTAGGGAATATTTTTATAAAAATGCTTGGGTAGCAGACGTTCGCGTCACTGATTTGCTGGTGATTAAGGTGAACCGTTTTATTTCCTATCTTTGGAATCTTAATCTAATCTATTATGTAGCAGAACAACTGCCTTAAATATAAATGTGCGTAATTTCAAAATAAATCTAAAATAGCTAACGTGTGTGAAATCAAATGCCTACGAAAGTTGCAGTTACGGCAACACCTCTGCATAGCTGCGTTGATATGATAAGCAACAAAAAAGATTCAATTAGGTACAAGTCTGGATTCGTAATTGAATCCGAATAAATGTACCTAATATTATCTAAATACTCAATATACAGTTTACATAGGTAAATGTAATATTCAAAGAAGTATGAAGAAGAAATGTAGTTTATATCTACGACCTAGTTGTGGGTACTTTGCACGCCGCCTTACTTCCGATTATAGCGAGTTCGAATTTTTCTTATTCAAAAGTATATAATATGTTTGGTCAGTATATACAGCATAGGGTTAGCATATTTTATATATCTGTTGATAGGTAACTGAAAAACTCAATATTCACCAAAATTCGTATAAGCAATTAAAAATAGTATTTTTTTCATTTTTCATTTTAATTCTTAAAAAAAAACGTGTGTATTACAATGAATTTTCAGAATAATAAAAAAAACCTTATATTTACTTACAGCTATATATCTATAGAGTAAGACAAACCGAGTAGAGTGAAACGTAAATATTTACAGCAAAATCTTGATCGAAAGTATTGCTATCAGGCTTGGGTGAGGGACACGCAAGAAATAGACGTATAACGAATATTGAAGAATACCTACATTGTAATTTAATTGCGTGATATTTCTATTAGTGTTTAGTACCTATCCATTACGCAAGCTCTTTTTAGGTTGGTACTGTTTGAATTATGTTGGGTCATTTACCTATATCTAGTAATTTTCATTATTTAAAACTAGGGTTATATGGAGTTGAAGGAAATAACACATCTATGGCAACAGAAAGGACACGTCATTGCTCATTGGAAACCTACTGCCGAACCGAAACCCTATGATTTCCTCGGCAAGTTTTTTGCGGGCACTGACTAATCAACAGGAAGGAACAATAGAACCTACCAAATATTTAATAACAAAATTGTAATGAAAGTTCAATGAATGATACCAAACATAGCTTTTCGTATTTTGATATTGTTTTAGATATACGTTTAGATCGGTTAATTATAATTATAAAAAAGTTACCTACTTATCAATATTTATTTTTATTTAAGTATCCCATATCTTTGCCCATTAGCTTATTTGCACACAATAAGCGTGTCTGGGGTGAGGGTATTGTTAATAATGGAGACTAATGGCTGGACTATAAATAGTCGGGTTATAAAGGAGCATGATTAAGGAAGACGGAATATGATTAATATATATAATTTTTATTTGTCTGCTAAGTATATATACTTCATAAACGCCCTATTTTATTATTCTTTGTATATGTTTACTTAGATAACTAATGAATAGAATAAAATATGAACTAATAGTAAAATGACAACGTATAACAAATTCCAATTTTTTATTCATCACGTTCATCTCATTACATGCCTTTCAAAGCTTACTTATTGCAACATTTCACAGAATTACTTATTGCAAATGTCAATTCCAATTTTTATTTGGTGGCTCTAAGTCAAGCAGTATATTTAGGATGTTGCTCTAGACATATCTAAAGTAACATCTTAAACATTTCGCAACTCGTTTAATTGTCACTGGTATACGAACATATTTATATATGTATAATATTAAATTACACTAATACTGAATTATAAATACTCAGTTTTAGTACTTAGGTAATATTATTGTATTCATAGCAAGTTGTTACCTCCTTGATTTTTATAGTTAGTCATATACCCAAATACAATTAAGATTTGCAATAGTTTTACATATCTATGAGTTATTATTATTAAATTGAATTTCTTTTGTACAACATTCACAATTAATAGAGTGAAAAAATATTTAAACATCAAAAGCATAACATGGTATCTAATATTTGGTAAACTTATTCTTCACAACCATAAAATGTTTTTTTTTTAATGTACATCAATTGTCACACTGATGTTAAAATAATTGTGTAACATTCTTATCGTGCTATCATATTATATATATGTGTAACACGTGTGATTATTATTAGTAATGTCTTGAGACATTTCATATCATAGTTCTTCATTAATATATATTTATAGAAGAAAATAAATACAAAACAAAGCTCATGAACATGAACAATATAAGTGTAGGTATATATAATAAAGCAATAAATAAACGTCTAATACCTAATATAATATTTGCACTCTTAGGTACATAAATATGTAGTCAATGCCATATACATATATAAAGACATTTACTATTTAGTATACGTATGTTAGTTTATATTTTTTTAATAGGTATTGGACTTATGTATTTTATTCTATAATACAATTATGGACGTTTGAGAATTACTTCCCTAACTTTCATAGCTGAATCATTATTTCAACAATGATTAAATACGGCATGAACTATCTGTTGAGCGATTTAAATAACTTGACCTTTTATTTTAAATTCATAACAGTATAATTAAGTAAATTTACATACTATAAACCTTAATTTGTTACAATTATTCAATACAAAAGTATCTACTTCTATGTACAACACATGTAATATGTATACCTATCTACATTCGGTTTAACAGGTAAGTAACTGTTAGGTACCTCTTCCATTAGGTACTTAAAAATGTATAAATACTATCATGGATATATCTATTGATTATTAAATAATATGCCTTAAATTGATTCGTATCTAAAATAAATAATTTCGTTACTTTGGTATAATTACACATCGAAACCATATACAACACCAGAACATGAATTCATTTTCTTATCTCATCTACCACATGTTTTACTTAAAACATATAAATTAATGTATTTACATGGTTGCTCAAAAATATGGAAGAGTTTTGTATCAACATGAGTGCCTAAACAATACTACGACGCAACGTCTCAGGCAACCTAAACACTCGGCGGCTGCCATTTGTCTTTAAATAATACCATTACATCTAATGAGGTCTTTCTCAATAAGGTCCATACACGTTACAGCAACATCTTCACAAATTCTGAAAATAAAGTAGATTATCTATACCAATATTATTATTAGTTTGTCATGTCCGGGATATTCTCACATATCGATTCTATTTTGAAAATATTTATTGTGTAGCATATCCTATACTGAGCAAGGCTGATATAGAGCAAAACTAAATAACATCAGTCTAAATAACGACCAATAGGAGCAGAGAAAGAAAAATGTTGCAAGTCTGGGTAAAATGTGGGATCGACCAAGTTGCGCGGGTCAGCTATAGTTGTGTTATATAGTACCTATGTATATAGGTACCTATATATTTACGTAGATATAGTGTACTATATAGCACACCGTTTTAATTCGATGGTTGTTGGTTCGATTACACATACGACGCAAACATTTGTATTCATAATCATGATTGTATCTGTTTGGGTATTTTCTATGTAAGTATATTACATATGTAGGGGAGATGGAGGTAAGATGGGGTAGTGGGTAAGACGGGGTACCCACCAAAATTTACAGTTCAAATTGATCAATCACGCTCTTTCAATCATCGTGCGACGCGCCACCATGAGACTTATCAGTCGACGTATGTTTAGTGGTTCACAAGTGCACAGTGTCGAAAAAAATGCAAAATAAGTGTTTTATTGCAAGTTGCTTATCACATTTTCTTCTGGCTTAACACGTGACTGTGGTTTGTTAAATATCGTTAGCTGGTGAGGTGTTGTTGTGATTGATGCTTAAACTAATCTATAAAAAAGTAGGCATTGTGTTCTTTAAATATTATTGACTGTTTTGTTTTTATTTATTTTTTTTTTTATATAAAAGGGCTCTGCAGGCAATATGGGGTAACTGATGAGAATAATTCGGTTCTAGTTTGTTTTCCAAAAAATGAGTTCGTTTTTGTGAGTTTGTCTTCTTAGAATGATTCTACGATTAACGTCGTCGGTCGTGATCCGAAGAATCCATGCGGGAAGCGAAGAGTTCAAGCGGTTTTGGATGAAAAAATAGGTTATAGAGAGAAAAGTTAAGGCTTCCTAAGGAAATTCTCTCGTGTTGCTAAAAAGCGTGGACACACAGCAATTATCACGTCGCCTCCTACAAAAAAGAATTAGAAGTCATCGCCCACAAAAAAAACAGAGCTGAACAGAAAAACTATAGAAAATAGAAACAAAAAAGAGAAAAGATGAATATAAAAAAAAACAGAAGAAAACTATTACAAAAGATCAAAAAAAAATTAAAGAAGAATAGCCGATCACCGAAAACAGCAAAACAATGAAGAGTTTCAACATCTGAAGATGAAAGTGAAGATGGGGGAACACACCATGTATGTATTGTGATGAAGTTTGTTCCGTTTCCATTGAAGGGTGGATATCATGCTCATTAAGTGGAAGATGGACTCATAATAGCTGCGTAGAAATAAGATGATGATGATGATGATGAAGTCATCCATGTCTACGTGTTCTGCCAGCTCGAATAATCATTGTTCTACAGAGATCATAGGATCATTCTCATCACCCCATCTTACCTCAGGGGGGTACCCCATCTTACCAGCACCATGGGGCAAGACGGGGCAAAACACCTTTTCTTTATTTTATTTTTTGTCTCTCAAATGTGTTACCTAAAGTTCCTAATGACACCAAATATAAGAATAATAATAATTAGTTGTTATTTAAAAAATAATTATGATTGTTTCACTATGTAATTTTTTATATTACAGACCTTTAAAGCTTAAGTACCCCATCTTGCCACCACCTCCCCTATATATTATACAAATGTATTAAAGTATTTCTATCAATTACTTAACCCATAACACAAGCTTTACTTAGGACTGGCCGGGTTGATGAACGGCTTAGTGTAAATTATTATTAATATTAAATATGTATAATAGGACACCTTCATAATCAATCCGTCCGTCGTGATCGATGTCTCCGAGCGCGAGGACTTGGTTCAGCTGCGCGTCTGTTACTGGCTCACCAATCATCTCGAGAGCCGTACGCAACTCGTCCCGGGTTATATATCCATTGTCATCCCGGTCGAACACTCTGAAAAGTTCATAATCGTATTATTTTTCAATAGTTTTTATGTAACTGGGATTTCAAGCAATGACGGCCGACGGAAAGGTGTCGGCTATACACATTAGCAGAACCAAGAGCCCACTTCATGATATGACGCTAATGGTACAAAAGAGTTACTGCTCAGGACTAATATATTTTTCATCCCTGTTATTTCACTGGCATATATTCACCAAACATAACAGAACTTACAAACAAACAGCATGGCGGCTGAGCCTGAGGTACCCTCACATATATATGTATGACTTTATACAAAGTCTACTAGTCTGAAATGTTTGTTATGTTCTACTGAGACACATAGATTAATAGCCTATGTCATATAAAGTAGAAACCATCATTAATAGACATGCAAGGACACTGTGTTTAGCCAAATCTAGTTTATGCCAATGTGACTTGTAAAACTTGTATCAATTATAAGACGTGTGCTATTCCTGAGCAAATTAATAAATTATGGCAAGAAACGGTTTGTTATCACTGTTGAATTATAATAACAGAAAATGACTCACTTGAAAGCGGCGAGCAAGTCTCTTGTAATCTCCTCTTCAGAATCGCCACCTGCTGCAGTAACATCCATTCCTTGCAATGCCTGTATTTTCGTTACCCACTGCATAAATTCATTCTCATCTATTAGTCCATTGCCTGGAAGCAATGAGAAATTTATATCATCAATACCTAGCTGTTAAGAGATTTCGTCTGCTTTGTTGAGATACATTTGTCGGTTCTCGTGATATCACTTATTCTTCGATTAATGTATTTTTTAATATTCATTGATATCCGTTGAGACTTTTTTATTTATAAAAAGGTAACGAACAGACAAACTTTAACACAGACAAACAATCAATATAAAGTAGGTACATAGTATAACACAAGTACATTACACAAAAACCCGAGTATAGGGTTTGTTTACTATCAATTTATTGATATGTTATACTTTTGTTTACTTTATTTATCTTATCTAACACCTTACCTAAGTTCTATCAAAACACTTCAATTATTGATTAATAATGAATGTAAATATCCGTGTGGTCGCAGATTAAGAGTGCATCAGCACTACTCATTTTTATCCGTAGAAATAACAATACACTATATGTACTATAAATATAAAATACAGAAGATGAACATGTAATAAAAATTTATATCAAGCCGAAGAACTTATAGACTGCTGTGGGCGTTAATGAGTTGTTACTTAGAGCACAGATAAGATAATATTACATCCTTATAGTGCTTATAGTGTCCTAACATAAGTTTCATATTATCTATTAATTGCAAGAAACTACCTATATTTACTTGAAAATATGCTTATATACAAGATGTTGCTTATCTTGATCACAATATTTCATAAAAAGTGCGTGTTAAAGTTAAGCATTCTGCATAATAATTGTAAAGTTTCACCCTAGCAATGTGTAACAAAATTTAATGCGACAATCAACAAAAAGGGCTCAGGTCGTTAAATCTTAATTAACGTTGTGGCAGGAAAAGAGTCATTAAAGTCGTGACGTCAGCGGTTAACTCTGCATAGTATTAGCTTTCAGTTCATTACTCTCATTATTATTATCAATACTATCTACTAAAACTGCGCAATACTACAGAACATAAAATAATAACATTTCGTAGCATTGCCTTTAATCTAATCCGGTAATCTACCGGATAGTAAGCAATTTCTTATAAATACTTAGTAAGTATATAAGGATTACTATTTTCTAGCAAATAAAAAAACCGTTAGTCTTGTTCAAGTTAAAACTTAGTTTTGTTAGTCTGCACATGGCGTTACCTTCTTTCGTTTTCTCTTAGCAAAAGTTTAAGTAGACTACCTGTCTCGACTTATTTAGAGATTGCTCTAATCTACTTAGAATGCAAATGGCTTGATAAAGTCAATTCTCTAATTGAGTATAGGAGGTAAGCTCAACTGGCACCATAACCTTGGCACGACACGGGGTCACCCTACGGAAACCCGCCTCTTACCACCCCACACTGCACGCCATTTTACAATAACCTCCTGAATTAACTGTGAATATATTATCTACATTGAATTAAGCGACATAAGTTCACTTTTATTGCTTCTTAGCATTCTATATAAACTATTTGAAATAAGCAATTTGTGTTAACCGACTTTAAAAAGAGTTTGTAGGTAATAAATGTTACCTAGAGCACTATTATTGTAGTTTACTGTATCTTAGCGTAAGTTATCTAATGACACAAACTTTTTGCTTACATCAGCTATAATTAATATATTTACATCACTTGCATTTCTACTAGTTGGTCTGCATTCAATTTATGTAGCGTAGTAACTAGTGACCCGTCCCGACTTCATACCACCGATATTCACGTTATTTTGCTTAGTGAGTTACTAAAAGTAGTACATAATGGAGAAATTTTGGATATGATTAAGGATTTGTTAAATTCCGCGTACGCCAGTATAAGATTTTACTATTAATATTTTTTAATATTAATAATTTTGAAGACGTATTAGACGTATTGTAAGATCTCGGAAAGAGCTAGGACATCTTTAGTAGATTTGGACCTATTTGAGACTCCAGACTCTCACAAAAAATAACTTGAGAGTTTAAACATAATTTATTTACATTCCTTGGTTCCTAAGGTTCCTTGTGAGCAATAATATATAATAACATAGACAATATAATATAATATTTTACTACTATATCTTATCTAATCTTTTACTATTATTATTATATTATCGAAGTTATAATCAGCCCTAATATTATTGTAAATAATTAATATTCTATCGCCTATATTCATCAGTTTTAATGTACCTATAACTCTAGTTTACGAATTTATTTATTACAAACAATTCAAATTTTCCTTTTTATAATATCAGATGATGTGAATAGCTGCAGAGTATGTAGCTAAATTTCCTGTTTAAAAAGGTTTAATAACCTAATCCATATTATTTATGCGAAAGTCAATTTGTTTTTTCACAACTAGACTAACTATCATCAAAATTTGTATATAAGTAGTATCTGGGATGAAGAAGAGTTAAAGCATTTTATTATTCCGGCCAATCTCGGTCACGCTGGCGAAGTTGCCGGCAGAAGCCGGCTGACTATATTTTCCTATATTTATCTGTAGTCTTACACGATCATTATTCCATGCCAACCACAATACGGGTACGGCGTTAAGTAAACGTAAACAAATTTAATTTTAGCCTGCTGTTCAGTAGTTGTCGGCATATACCATATTTACAGCTACAGTAGACAGTGAATATCAACATGTCACACAACATAAACTGCTGTAAGTGTTGAAGCTTGTGATCTCATTATAATCAAAAGCCACGTGCTATGTTTGGCAAATATTCAAGTGAATGTGCAAAGTGTGTGGAGAGCGATACTCAGTTTTAAGGCAAGGCCACAAACATTTATTTTTAAATGCTTATTTTTGAAGATAAGTTTTGTTGTCCACATACTATTACGAATTTACGATATAATCTTTCTCTAATCGGAATGAGGTGTAACCTTGGGTCTAACCTTCAATTGTTTCAACGTCCAGCATAATACCTAAAGTCAATTTCGTAACCTTCACATATATTCCCTTGACCTCACTTTTACACGCAGTATTACTAAGGCACTTTCTCTAGGAGTACCTAAGTTTACTAGGATCCAGTAACTTGTATGACACGAGTTTAAAAAGTACATTAATACATATATTAATATACATACACATTTCTTTTGCCACTTAATAAAATCATCAAAGACAAATTAATATTACCTATAACCTATTAATCAACAACGTAAATCTATGAATTGAATGAGAATCTTTGCAAGCATTAAATTTTGCAAGAATTTCAAGTAATTAGTCACTATGAATACTTTTTTAATATAAAACACTAGACTACACCTGAGCATCAAAGTTAGTACAATACATACCTAATAACTAATAATACAAAAAATATTATGTCATTAATAAAAACAATATAATTTCGGAAAACCATTTGTAAAGCCTAAACAAGCGGAGGCAATATTCATCCATTAAAAACGATATTACCAATATAATTTTTTCAAGTCTAGATATTTATTGAAGTTATAAACAATACAAAAGTGGAAAGACTCTTTAGCTGAAATATCAAGTGATAGATCGTGTACACTAGTGTACAGTCTTATACGTAATATCCAGAATTTACACAGTTCGCTACTATACCTACTCGTACACGTGAAACAAGCAAGTAAGGTCGACCTATGAAGAGATATAAGTACTTGCAGATAAAGTCCTTTAAATGCTGGTTCTTACTTCCTATTGAAAGGACCTAGAAAGATAACAAATTCTCTGTCTTCATATCTCCTACAAGATAACTATGCCAATAAACTTGATTGAATGTGGTGGTACATTAGTAAATAATTTTCTCCGTAAGGCTCAGAATTTCTTAGTTGAATCTTAATGTACCCAATTTTTTTTTAATTATAAGGTAACCGACCCAAATAAAATTGTTTGCGGTCACTGCTATAGCGCATAGTGTTATTTTTATATATATTACAAAGAAATTTCGTATCTTCATAGCATTAAATTTATCATAATTACTTCACTATGCAATACATGTAAATAGGTCTTTATTTGGGTAGAAAAACTCTGACCAATTGTTTCCAAAGACCAATCTCGTCATAACGGGTTGCAATTATAAGACATAATGCTGATTATATTAAAACATGAGAAGACATATGAGTTTTCGTATTCTCTGGAAACTCTTCAAAACATACAATCAAGTGACAGTTAGTGATGAATACGTTTTCAGTAGACCACAAATATTGTTAGCTATACATCATAGATACAGTGTATTCTGAAATCTGTCACTATAAAATAAATATTTATGTATTAAGATTAGGACTCTAAAAGGATTTTTTCCATACTTTTCCTATTCGTTGACGCAATTTCGACATATTTAAACGATGTTAATCAATAGGCTTTAATATTATTACTCCTCAAAGTATTATTTTATTTAAGAGATATTTTCACTGTAAAGTATTGCTGTCGATAATTAGTATTTTCAATTATTACTAACAAAAAAATATTTACTTACCTAATAGTCATAATAACATTTAAGAACTACTGACAGAACACAACTCTAGATTTCTTTGTTAGTTTTTAGAGCTAAGTCTCTAAACTCTACCTACTTCAGTAAAAAGGCGTTAGGCGATAAAATATTTTCAGAAAGCTAGGGATCTGTATGAAAACTTCGGTAATATAACCCGACATGTGTAAAAGATATCTACCAACAAAATCCTTATTTACTTATATTCTAACCGTTTACGCTGCGGAAATTATTGACAGTAGAGCAAAGTGATGTACCTACTTCAGTTTTATGGAGGACATGATATACATGGACTATTTTGTCTTATGGATAAGACAAAAAAGTCCCTAATGGCGATACCATATGTCTAACTTAATAGTTATCTAAATTACGCCTATTATTCATAATTCTCGTTAAAGAACTGCACGAAGCCGGGGCAGACCGCTAGGTTTAAATAACTTTTATAAACATTATTCATTTATAACGTCGATTACATTATAATTAGCCCTATAATATTATTATGCGACTGAAATAGACATTGGTCAATAATAAGTTTATTCAGAAGTATGTTTTCATTTTATATATGGCTTATGTTAATAGGAGAAGAAGCTTCATCCACAAAGAGTTCTAACGAAAAACAAATAGAGGCAGTACTAACCAGATTTACTGGCATCTTTGATGAGATCAGATATGAGGTCGTCGCTGACCTCTATTCCGAGGTTACGCAGCATGAACTGCAACTCCGCCGGTGTCACGTGACCATCGCTGTCCCGGTCCAGAAGGCCGAAAGCTGTGCGGAGGTCTGTAATAAATGACAACAGAACACCTGTATTTATGTAATAAACTTGTTGACTATAAAATAATGTATTGAGACAAGAAATTCGAAAGAGGTTCATAGTGATATCCGTTAAAATTATGTTTACAAATGTGTTAGTAAAAAAAATAGGTATAATGTACTTATAAATTGCATACATTTAATAACTTTTAAAAATGTATCCTCTCAATAACTGTATGGAACACACAGGAATATAGTGCATACCTGTGCATTTAGGATAGAGTTGACTTGAGTAATTATTTAAAGTGATCGTCAGTAATTTATGGTTTGCCATTTATTTAAGAATATATCACATTAGTTCTACCATCACTCTAGTCCTTCTGAAATCACTCTAAATATGAATTACTCGCCACAATCACTTCATCCTCATTTTATCACAATTCACTAGAACAAACCAGCAAATGCCGTTATACGAATAATTTACTATATAGGTGTAGGTAAGTAGACAAATTTCAATGGATTTGCTTATTTAATCAATAGATGTATATCTGTTGGTAAGGTACTCACAAAATTGATTATCCTTTTTAGACATGACATATACTTTATGTGTCGTATTAAAATCACGTTAACTGGAGTAACAAATCGAACATTTTTTAGAATAGATAATTTTGCTTTAGTTATCTAGTGCAGGTATCTGCCGCGCGAGGTAGTTTTATGAAAATGCCAGCCAGCCGTCACCTACCATCATATAAAGGCAATATTGACAAAAGATTACTTATATCACCTTCCTTATCTTATAGCTCTTAATATTTTCATACATCTCGTGTAGATGCGCTCTCATCAATAATAATATATTATAATATATGTATAAAATATCTACTATTAGCGTAGAGATGGTCAGATCTGACAATGGAAGCCATAGTAAACATAATTATTATTGAGTGTTTATTTATTTTTGATAATTGTAAAACCATCAAAAATCTATGTATCGGAGTAAAAAGAAATTATCAGTAAAAGTGGGTATATAGTGTGTAGGTAGTGGTTACGATATCACGTATTATATACACAAAAAGTGTACCTAATATTGTTATTTTTCTGCGTTTGACACTCGGAAAGAATTATTTTAAAATATACGGCACATTTGAAGCTAATTCTGAACCTATTCTAATGATTGATTATAGCGAAATTTATCTACACTCATTTCGTACAATCAAAGAGATATATTAATTAATTTGTAACACAAAATCTTAAGTTAAAAATATAGAATCCTATAGTTTACCATATTTCGTTCCAGTGAGATGGGGTTACAGATATGAACAGCTTATCACAACTATAATTTTATAACTGTAACAAATTCTAAATAAATACAAAATTGAGTCTATGTAACTGTGTTATCTGGTTTATATTCATTATCATTGATATCATAAGGACATCTTAGCAGTGTATTCTTCGTTTGTATTATAAAAAAGGAATAACCGATCCAAAATACTAAAGAAATTTTTTTTAAACAATAACAGTCAACACTTATCCATCAAAATTAATATCGTAAAATATGTTGTTTGCCACAGAATATGTACCTATGGTGTTACGACATGTATTCTGGTAGAAGTACGTGTCCAAACATTTACACATCGCAACATGTATAAAACTTGGCACAAACGTTTTAGGTACATTCATTGAAAATATATGAAATTAGGTTAAAACATGTGCAACATAAACTGTAACTAGGTACACCTCAATTGAATTAGGCACATCCCCTAACCTGGCGATGAGAAACCCGATTCTGAAACTTTACGTTTTAACAGTAATGATTGATCATCTAAACAGTAGATATTATTCTCCCACGGTATTCGGCGCATAGTTCCCAAAATATCAATCACCTATATAATACGGAACGAGTTCGTGGAACCGAGTTTTTCTTGTTACTTGGCTCGTTTTCCCTAATTTTACTTTAGTTTATAACATTCCATGAGTAAGATTTAAACGGTGCCAACGATCTGGTGATTAAGATTAAAAAATATCTTTTGAAATAAATAGTTTTTCTTTTATTATTTAGGCCACTAGAGTCGCAGTCGCGTGATAGCGAGAAACATAGGTACTTAAAATACTTCGTGAGCAATACACGACTGTTAAAAATATAAAGAATATAACTGTTCTTTTATTCTAACTGGTTTAAAAAAACATTTAAATCATATTAACTTAAAATATTAACAATTAGTTATTTAAAACGACATGAAATGGCTTTAACATGAATTCAATGATGTCGAAGAAACTTGAAAGTTTAATATTAGATATTCTCCTATCTGTGATATTAGTTATTATACTACGATAGATGTTTAATGATCTTAATTTATATATGAATACATATAGGTATAGCTACTACATATAATTATATCCATATTTAATATCTTTGTATTATTTCATATATTATAATAAGTAGAACATATTATTTCCCATTATACAAGTTATTAGTTTCACATTCACATGTTCATTATTTTTTTACATTGATACTAAATGGAGGAATTGATTAAATCAAAGACATTATGATACATATTTCAGAAAAGTATGTGCTTTTTTTTATATTCTTATTTGTTTTAATTATATGATGGTTCAATGTAAAATTATTATATATTATTATGACTATTATACTACACATATATATAACTAAAAACTATCACATTAATTTTATAAATAAAATCACTTTTACAATAAATGGGATACGATCTTTTGCGATGTAGAGTCAAATGGATGCGAATACGTGCTCATAACTTAAGACTGTTCCCTCCTACGGGAAATTCATAGTGAAAACTGATTACTAACAACAAAAACTTCGTCTTGTTCTAGTTTCTAGAAATATTCTGACTATAAAGAAAGTTTATTGCTGTGTTTTAGACAGCAATCAAGACTGCGCTCTATTTTATTACACTCTATTATTTAGACCTTATATACCTTTAAACGAATATATTGAAATAATATTAATTAATTATTTGTAATATTAGCAAGTGAACGGTTGAAATTATTACGATGTACATGCTTTAGAATAGGTGACATATGCCGGTACAGTCGTTAGTGTCGGCCACACTTGTCACAAAGTAAACAACTTATAATCCTCAGTCACGCTCCACGGTCAGTGTCACTATTGCCTTGCTGTATGGCCAAATGCATAAGTTTCCCCTATTTATATCTACGGCACTGATGCAAACTGTTTATCACACGCTACCGAATGATAAATTACTTTATCTTTGTGAAATAAGATATTTCAGTCGGAAGGAAAATGTTAATATCAATATCATAATATAAGTCTATGAGCACCATGAGAATTTATTTATTTATTGTTGACTTTTGTTTGTTTGAGATTTACGTCCATAAAATATACTAGGGAATTCCATATCAAATATTTATTCCAAGTCCATTTGGACTAAATAATTCATAATAGTCAATATGATTAGAACATACTGATTTCAAAAAGAATCATTGAAATGAATGAAACAAACCAGCTGGCGACTTATTTGAAAATTAATTGTAGCGGTCAGATATTCCTGCTTTGGCTTAAAGACTCGCAGTAATGCTTATCCGCTAGTTCGTTCCAAAAGTACATACATAGGTATATCTGTTAGTAGTAGATATACAATACTCGTAGATTATATTAGCAGTAAATATATTAATTTTTCCTCGGTCTGTGTTGCTCGCCATCCACTACGCTATAATATACCCGTAGATTTTTAAGATGCTTGCCATCTTATCTTATTTAGGTACACAGATGATGATGATTCGCAGTCATTAATCATTATAAAGATTCTAATTGCTGTAAGTAAACAAGGGATAACGGAAATTCTTTGGGTTTAAGAGTTTCAGATAACGCAATTTTGAATTTTTATGGCATTGTATGAAACAAAGAATATTTTTATAGTATAAAATATGGAAGATGACCAAGGTATATCAGAAATTAACTATAATAAATTGCCGAACGACAATTTTTCGTTGATGTTATTCTGTAATTCCGTGCCAATAAGTATTTTGGTTAATGGAATTTCGTCTGATTTAGGAGTTGAAGACATCGTAATGAGTAAGCATACGATAATAACATAAATTTCATTACAAATATCAGAAATTAACACTACCTACCTACTTATTTGTAAATTCATTTTGCAATTTTATATCCGTTGTTGTTTAATCAAAAATTATTAGTGAAGAATTTAGTGAAATAAAGAAATTTATGTAAAAAATTAGCAATAAAATCAGGTATGTAAATCTATAGATACCTACTGTTTATCTGAAATTAATTAAATTTAAATATTGTAGAATTTGCTATAATAGTAATAAACTAGGTAAACTGATGTATTAACAAAATTTATATGACAAATAAAACAGTATACACTTACTATTGAGCATTGCTTCGCTAGGAGCTGGCACCGTGGGCCGTTCGTCCACTGGTGATGGTTTTTTCTTCTTTTTCTCGTCATCTTGCTGTAAAACGAGATCATTTTCGTTATCAGACATAAACGCTATATTACATATGTATATGTATTTGCAATTCTCTAAGCGGCCACCTGTAGGCTCGCTATATTACCAACAATGACTGTAAGAAATTATTACAAACAGATACTGTTTTTTATCAATTTGCTAACCTTATCAATCCAGTCATATGTTTTATCGAACTATTGTCTGATCAATAAAATGTAGATATCCAACGTTTTTTAATAACACCTACCAATATATGAATGCAGGAAGTTTTCAGATAAAATGATGATAAACATATAAGTACTTAATTAAAATTATTTAGGTATATAAACTTTGTTTTCTTTTGCTTAAAGATGCACACTATATCGACCATTCATTACTGATTATTTGGTATTATAACAATCCATCAATGACTGATTGATAAATTTTCGTATACAAAAACTAAATTTCGTTAAATAAATCAGCGTCGATCATTTCGATAAATCTCAGATAGTTATTTAAGAGTAAACTGGGTGGTACCCAGTTTATTCTTATATGACGGTTATAGTTATTATTTATATTAATCATTTATATAGCCAACATGCTGACAGCCTATCTGACCGGTAACCATCGCTCTATGTAAACATGCCATATTCATGCTTTTGCATCTTTTACATGCAGTCTTATTTTGTAGTTCACTATTGTAACTGAACTGTACGTAATACATATGTAGGTACTTGACAACATAATTAAACTCAACACTCTTTGATTAGAAACTTTGTTATAATTGTTTGCTATTTGGCAACAAGACTTACAAAAAAAGCGTGGGTAGCTATTCAGCTATTATTGCAAATTATTTCATAAAGGTGCTAAAAACAAGATGGTCTTACTCTACTGATATATGATACGACTAACAAAAAATAATATACTGCAAAAGGAATCCAAACATATTTCGCTAAACCTATTCCTAGTCGAAAAACATACTTTTTAAACAACTTTTTTATTAAAATCTATTTGTAGGTAGTAAGTATGTATAATTAAAACTAGAATATAGACCGTGCATTCAGAATAAGCTTCCGTTTCCAGTTCTCCATACAGACAATTTTCAGCACAAAGCTTGCGGAATTCAACTCACCCACTGACCACGAAAGAAAAGGAATGTGTTGAGTATCCTGATATGAGAGATCTCTCAAAGAATTCGTGAAATATAAGAATGGTATTCATGAATAACACGCTTACAAATATTATTTTTATTAATTACTTAGTATAATTAAAATGTAGGTATGTAATATAATAAAAACTTAAACGTAATAATTCATAAAAATCACATGATAAATCTTGTTATTTTTTCCCAAATATTTTTAAACGGAAATCCGGAATAGAAACTGTATTATGTGCAGCTGCCAAATAGCAAACACGGTAAAGTGCTTCTAGTGTTTTTATTTTCATGAATGATTTTTAAGTGAATATCCCTGAAATATAGTAATACAATACACATATATAGTAGTAATTCTGTAGCAAAGAACTTTAGAATAAATTTCTTTATTCTTTAGATATTTTTATATTTCGAAAATATAAAGCTTTACATTGCAAAACCAAATGCATTACATTGTTTTAATTCCGGCCTATTTACAGAAGACAATTTTTAAGTAACAATACATAGTACGCTATAAATATGACTGTAATTGAATACAGATTTAGTTACTTTCAATAAATTGTACAGTAATTACATATCAATACTTGATGCCAAAACTAACTCGAACTCTTAATCATGCCAACCTGTATTGGTAATTTGGATACCAGCCTGTAACGACCTAAATAACTTTGTCTTCAATTGTAATAGTATATTACATCAATTAAATTAATAATGTATATATATAATATATGTATATATTGTAATGTATAATGTATGTATATATATAATATATTTATATATAAATATATTATATATACATTATTAATTTAATTGATGTAATATACTATTACAATTGAATATAATTATCTTAGTACACTGTGATATAATTATCTAAACTAACATTATAAAGAACGTTTACAAAGATTTTATGTTGCGTACGTATCTATAAACTTAATAACTCAATCGCTTTTATAAATTCTAACCCCTATAAAAAATACCACCCAATATAGGTACTTGCTGATTGGTAATATTATATTATATAGGTATATCGCACATCATTCGATTTAATGTTAATTTATTAAAAAGTGCGTAATGAAAAAACAACTTATTTAAGTAGGTATATGTACATGATAAACTTATTATCAACCAAAGATTTTCAGCTCTAATCTATTTATATATGTATAGCGTAATTTGTATATAAGAAACTATCTATAATCTTATCAGATATTTTCTGAGAAATTGAATAATTTTTAAGAGTAAAGAAAACTAATATTATGTATTTATTTTTAGTACAGAATTAGTAAACAAGCTAACGGCATGTATGTCTCCTATATTATTGATCATATTATACATTGCCATTCCTGAAGATTAAAGTGTCACCTATATCTCAATATTTAAACGGAAACTTAGCTTACAAAATGAACAACTTGGCGCTTAAAACAAAATTACCTATGTCACTTTGTAGAACATCTACCTCAGTTCCACTTAAATATGTTTCATATTTTTAAAATGTGTTAGAAGGTATTATTATATAGCTACACATAGGTATATCGACAAGTGCTGCGCGACTGAGTAAAGATTGCATAGAAATAGTTTGTCGCGTTTGGCACCGCATCAATTCGCGACAACGCCGTAAACAACTTCGCGCCCCAGCCTTGTGAAAAAATATGACAGACCGAACCCAAGGTAAATAAACCACATAGTGATATATTGAACGTAAAGAAGATAAGTAGCTTTGTATACATACACTGAGATCGTCTTCAAAGACAATCCTAAATCAACCCGGTTAATTGCAAACACTAAATGCAAAATGTAAAACTGTAAATAAGATGAACACCTACCTACTCAGCGAATGAACTTATAAAACGGAGCTAGTTGCTTTTGCGTAAATAGTAATTAGTAATATTTATTATTCACTACAAATTAAATAGGCAACTTATAGTAGATATGTGTTCATATTTTATTTTAGATATCTACTAGCAAAAATGTATTCAATTGACGAATACATTTTTGAATAAGAAACACAAAACAATATTTTAATACAATCGTTTGAGATGAAAACTATAATTCTAATTTACTTACTTTTAATAATCAGAAAAACAAACTAAACCATGTAGTCCACAATATATATATTTAAATAGGTAATATAAACCTAAGGTACATTTTCATATATTTTTAACACTTTTTCATTTAAATGCTGGTCTGAAAGTAAGAAAGACGTATTCATATTTTTGGATGTAGTACTAGCTTACATAACCTCTCAAGGAAACAGTTGTATACGAAATCGGGAATGTTTGAATGGGACATTCGTCAGGGTATATAAATTGGAGAAGATATTATTAGCTATTTGTACTAAATGATTCTTGATACAAAACAAACTTATGTTGTTCCGTAAAATAATAATAAAGAAACCTGTATTTAATAAACCGGAATTATTTTCATTATCACTATTTAAGCTAAGGATTATTCTTCTTATACAAGTTACATATGATTATTTACATATATTATTTAGTTAGGTACAGAATACAACTATAACTAAATATAACTAAAGAAGTAATTAATCTTAGCCTAAATACAGCGTAAATAGCCAACTCAGGCAGTAAAAATATGCGAATATTTCATAGACAGATATTTAAAAGGGAATCCTTTTAAATGTCTCTACAAAATTTAAAAACGTAGTGCTTATTTGCTCAGTGCGTTGCTCAGCGATAAAATGTAGAGAAAGATCGTTTCCTCCGTACGTTCAGCTAGCTATATTCTTTTTTGTTTGCTATAGTTTCAAAACAATAACGTGAACTTTTTAATTTATAAATCTTAGAAGAATGACGTATTGTCTAAGAACGTATTTTTAATGCTTAATATGGGGTATGTCGTTGCATTTTAACCAAAATTAAATTTTTGTATTTTTCTTTTACAGAACCATTACTGATTCTAATAATGAAAAGTTTGCATGGTTTCACATAATATTGTTTTGTTTTAACAGAGGCGGACTCAGGAATGTACAATAGATTGCACATATATGCGGTGCTAAAAAATGTTTATTTAGATTCAAACAACAAAATTTTTGTTCTCCTAGGAACAAAGCAACCCTTTCGAAAGACTACCTAAACGTAACCGTAACCGCCGCTGCGCAGAAAACGCATTAAGCGCATCGACCCTGTAACCTTGATATTGTAGACTTAAAAGCTGCTGTCTTGATTCCGAGCCCGTTGATTATTGCATTTACCTTTTTGTAATTGTTGTCTATTTGTTCAATGTTCATTGAATCATATAACAGTTTATACAAGTACCTAAACCTTTTGTATTTCCGGATTATGTATCTAAAAATCGATATATTTCATATGCAGCATTATTTAAATATTACTCAGGATATTATTATAAAAAGTAGAGACACTAATTTAGTTTTATTATTTGATATACTCCGTAGTTTCTCTGTCAATTTAGTGGTACGTATAGTATATATATTCAAATTTCTATAGTGGTGTATAAAATTCAAACGATACTGTCATATTAATAATAAACAGTAATTTACGATGAATACAAAAAAAAGTAAATAAAAACGTCAAACAACGGGGACAAAAGGTCAAGGCAAAATAGCATCATTGCGAATGTTTTCATATATAAAATAGTTTACATGGCCGTGCTCTCGAACAGGCCGGGCACTACGCTTTGACGAATTCCATGCATGCATGCATTCCTGTCTTTTCATGTGGAGCTATGAACCACTGTACAATACACAAGTACGCACATATAGGTACATATTTATAAACAAACATCTTCCAAGCGTTTATTTTAATAAAAGGACTTATATACTTTAAAATAATTAAAATAAACAATACCGTTGGTTATCAATATATCAGTATTCAGATATATATACTTACTTAAATATTTTGATTACTACACTATTTTTTCTTCTAATTTATTTAGTATCTAGTTTATTTTATTCTACTAAAGTCTTCGATCTATACCCACCCCGTTTCACACCATTCTATCTATTCCTCTATGAAACTATTCAGAGGGCAGTTTTTGCAATTATACTCTTCAAACAAATATTTTTAAAGAATTTGCTAAAATAGACGTTTTCACTTAATAACGCATTTAGCAATATATTAATTAATACGTTTTATCATTAACTCATAATGAACTACCTATGTAGATATGCTTACATATATTCCTTAAATATATAAATTGCCGTATTGTTGTGTAAAAAGCATAAATAAACTATAATTTCATATATGTTAGATATATTTTCCTGCACTCCTGCTTCGCCCATCTCCTATATCGATTTAGTACAAGATTCTGATTCTGTACAACCTATTTTCAGGAATGTGTGACTTATGTTCTATTATGTTGTATTTTAATATACTATTAATTAATAAAATAAAGCATCAACTTGCCATACTTGCCTTTCTTCTACTCCTCGAAGTAGTTGCCATACCCTGAAAATAAACAAAAATGTCAACAATGTTTTAAATACTCGTATTCATTACACTTTTTATGTAAAAGGGACAAAATATTGTATTATCTATAATAATTAAAAATAGATTTTATAAAAATATTTGTGTTCTTCCTACCTCAAACATAAATTATTCCTCTAGATACGTTTGAAATACAAAAAGATATAGAAATTATATAGTACTAGTTTTGCATATGACTTCTGACCAGTATAACAGTAGAACAAACAGTAAAAAATTCTAACAATCTTTGTTTTGCTTTGATAAAGTCCTGCAATAGTAGTTTCACCTACTCCTACTATATATACGTAGTCAACGATCAGTTACATTTTTATTGTATGTATAAGATAATATTACATAATTATTATCATATTTAAAGAGCGACAACAATTGTATTAAACTACCTGTACTAATAATTGAATAATAAAAACAATTTTAACACTCTAGAAGTTTGTATAACAGTGAAACAGACATAACCAGAAAGAAAAGGACTTGCTGTAAGTTTTTTAATTGTTGTTCTCTCACAAGAAGAATAGATAAAATAATATAACTGAAAAATTTAATTTAAATGTAGAGATCCAGGTAAGCATGGGTGTATCAAGAGCACGAGTAAATAGATGTATGTTTATAATAAATATATAATATGGATTTTTATAAATTATTATAATTGCTCTTAAATATATAATATTATAAATAATAATGTAATGTTCTACAGATTTTTTTACAAACTAGTTCAACGGTATTTCTATTACTACAAAAAATTACATCGCATACGCAATTTGTAGTTTTTATATTTAGGAAGCCTATTTGAAATAGAAGTTTATTTATCGTAACATTAGCTAAGTTACAATAAATAAAGTTAAATTATATATTTATTTCCGAATGGCATGTATTTAATTGATACTTTTGAATCGCAATTATAGAAATATTATGTCTCATTGTAAATTGGGAGTCATTACATGTTTTTTTATAAATTAAAATATGTCTTATTACTAATCAACTTTACTATATCATTCGAAATAATTTATTTTAAAATTAAACGTAAATATTCACAATCAAGTATTATTTATCTGTTCTATACACACAGTAATTTTATAATAGTGTTTCTTTAATTATTGATTTTCTTATTTCAATTAATATAATCAATTTTAATAATTTAATAATGCAAGTATACATCTATTGCACATGTAAAGTCATCGTCTAGTTCCTGCACGCCAGGCCCAGCCAAGTGTAAACGTAAATGTTAATAAAATAATTAATAATATTAAATGGATTATTTAATACCTATATTATTCGAATAGAAATAATTATACATACCTATAAACCTAGGTAACTCCAAACGGTAGTTTGATAGGTATGTATAATTAAATGAGATCATCATTTAATTGAGACTAAAATGGCATGGACTTACATAATGTTTGAGTCGCAATAATCCGGCGCGAATATTCTGAAATATTTGACTCCAGTGGCAGCGGGAATTCATCTTCAAAACAAGTTCCCGTAACCTGGTCCTGTTCTTGATTCCGGGACAAGTTCCAATCAGAAACAATAGACACAGTGACCGAGATCACACGATTGTGTTCCCATCATCTATTTATAATCGAGAAACCGAACAGTCTGGTGAGCACACATTACGATATGCGAGCATCTCCTGAAGTCCCGCCGTTGTTATATAGTCATATTACTCACAATTTTTACAAACTCATATTTTGCAACCTGCCTAACGACAAATCCTACGCACGGTCAGTGTTGTCCCTCCCTATCACGCGAATCTAATGTGCTTTGAGTATGTAGGATGATAAATAGACTGCGAACACACTGTAAAATCTGCTTTAAATAACATAAATACGATGTTGTTACAACTTTTTAATAAACAAAATGCTTATTTGATATGTAAGATATATATTGTTAATTTATAATTTTGTTTTACATATAACTAAGTTTTTTTGAGCGTCATTCAAAAAACAATCGGTCAGGTATGTTTTTATATATTAACAGCTCTCAAGGTTTTTCATGTAGCACTTAAATCTTTAAAATACCACATAAACGGAATACGGTATATGAAGTGGAATACAAAAAAATGGATGATTTTGCCAACTTCGATGGCAACGTTTGCCAATTACCTACTTGTAAACATCTATAAAACTATAGTCACGTAGTTATTATAACTTATTTTACGACAAACTATTGACCAAATAGACTTTGTTGTGTGACTTTTCGGTGCGTACTAAGTTGAAATAATTTGAAACATGACATCAGAAATGTTGTAATAATTGACAATGCGTTGAGTCTAGTCTATACACCTACATGTTATTTTCTATGTCAATGAGTCACATATAAACAGTGGCATAAGAATAGGGTGGTCGAGCAGGCAAAATACCACAGGACCCTGACCCGAGGGGCCCGTTGTAGAGACCGACGAAGAATATACACAATATATACATATAGTTAGACAATTTACTAAAAAAACGTTCTTTATCAATTTACAAAACTACGACGTGTAGCCTTTTTTAGAGGAACGTAGATTACTACATATGAACCGCAATATATCGCAATCAATATTCAACGGAACCCAAAAAATAAATATTATTTATATTATAATATTAAACTCATCCTATAATGCACATAGGACATTGCGTTTAGTTAGTATTTAAAACACTATAAGCATATTTTCTCTCCATTACCCAGTCAGTTAGGAAGTGACAAATGGCAGAAGACGCCGCGCCGGTGCACTTCCGAATAAACAGCATTTATCTAGTCGTCATTTCAATAATTTATGCTCAAGTTTTAATTTCTACTATAATATAGAATTAGTAGGGAAAACCAAGGATCTTTATAAATGTTTCAGTGCACCTATCCTTCCCTTGTGATAACGACATGGGACACAATCAGTACGTACATATTAAACCTACCTATGTCGAATAGGTATTCTATCTGCAAATCTATCTTTCTACATACATCGAAACTCGATGCTAAAATCATTAAAATAATCCTGTCAAAATCGAAATATATTGGTTTAAGTAGAATAGAGACTAGAGTAGAGCCGGGTAGAATTTATGACTAAGGAATGAAACGTTATCATCCACAACAATAGTGAAACATGTTATTAAATAAACAAAACGGATTTAGAAGTCCGTTTTAAGAACATGTGTCGCCTTGTGTGTTTTGGTCTAGAAATTTAGAGTTCAGTATGATATTTGAAACGACATATTTTAACATTTCGTGGTAGAGTCACGCTAATGACTATTTATTTATTAATTAGAAAATCAACAGTTTGATTGTAAGCTGTAATTTTCTAATTAATAAATAAATATACTAATCGACAATTCATTTTTTGAGAAAGTATTGAATTTCTCTAAAAAAGGTAAAAATAAAAGTGTCGTAGAAAACAGAACAAAGATTAGACAGAGGTAAATTTAGAAAGTACAAATAAAATAGTGTAAATTACACAATAAAAAAATAATAGAAAACGTTATTTAAATAATTATGATTGATGACATTTATTCTGTGATTGTAGTAAAAATTATCCCATCCTGATCTTATCATCTTTATAATTTTATTGTTACTACGTGCGTAACTTTAACAATAATGCAATTAATTTTTGAAATTTTGAATTCGATTCTCTATTGAGTCCATTTTAAATTGGCTTTCGGCAGTGTATTCTGGGTTGTGGTTCCACCAGATGTTTGTTGACCGATTTTTTTACTCAACTCATTATAGTTTCCATTATGCATAACATAAACGAAATTAAAAAATTGTTGTCTGTTTGTCTTTGTGTTTGTGAACGCTAATTTAAGAAAACGCTTAAACTATTTATATTCGACTTTCACTGATGTATTTCGTATTCATTTATCCGTTTTTTGTATATTTAGATTTTTTCTTTGTTTTGGGTTTACAAATTACATACACGTTAATTGAAACTATGAGTCCTATTGCAGACACTCTTCGGAAGATGTAACTGAACCTATTCTTATTTCAAATGCCATATGTACGAAGTCGCGAGCATAGCTAACAGGTACTTACTAGATACAGTCCTCATTCAATTTAATCAATTTGCTTCTATTTACCTATAAATCATTATTGCATAAAATCATTGTGTAGGATTTTTCCAATACAACAATTTATAAATAAATCTTTCTATTTTATGCTTTATTATAATTTACAATTGTAAACAACATTAGGATATATATGTATTTCTTTAATTCTACTTCGTTGGATAGAGAGAGCAATGGCGTCATGTAATGAGTTGGCGATCGATGCAGTCAACCTTTGTGGTAGGTGGCCCACGACAGACGGTCCTACCTTGCACCCCGCACAAGTACGAATAACTACATAAACACCACCCACCAACACCATCGAGGTGACATTGTAACCGAACCACCCACACCTACTCTATTGTCCCGACAACGATATAAACAAATATAAATAAACTAGCTGACTTTCGCTACTTCGTCTGCGTAAAATTTTCCGTTTTTGGAAGATTGATTTTATGTAGCACATAGTCTTTCTCAATATATGTGCTATACAATATTAAAATAATATTTAAAATTGGATAGTAGAATACTCACGATCTTTATATTTCTTTATAATATTAGTATGTGCAGTTATAGGTAACTGTATAGGTAATTACAAGTGTATATATTATGCAACTAATAAAGCTGGATAAAATTAATAATGAACCAACAAGGAGAAAATTAATACGTCACGTAGTTCCATTAAAAATTACACACAATCTAAAATATGTTGAATTTTTTTCAATCTATATAAAAATTTTATCACGCCTACGCTTAAGCTTCTTCTAATTCATTTATTTATATTCGTCAGTATAATCGGACGATACCCGATATCATTTCAGCTTATTTGTAAATAATGTAAATATATACAATGGTAGATAACCTATAACAAAACAAATATTTTTTTATACATGTACCTGTGTATAACGTAAAAGTTTTTTTATCTAACTAATGATTTTCTCTTTTAAAAAAGTGATAAGACTTTTTAATGGAGAAAATCATTAGTTACGTTTGTTAACTATTTTAGTTTAACAAGTAAATTCATTAATCTACTGAATGATGTCTAATACTTTCTCTTTTGTGTACTTCTATCTTAAATATAAAAATATCGTATAATGTTTTACCTTATTTGTGGTTTAACTGTCTTTTTAAAATCTCGCCCTAAAACTTCGCACACAAGTTGCAACATTTACACTTTCACATTTTTTTTCCTGCACTATTTTTCAGACTATTTGCATAACCTGTAATAGGTATGAGGCATACATACCTAACTACCCTTAAGTTTCGTCATTAACCATTCTACCTTGGCCTTGTCTGCCAATGAATAAATTAGCAGGTGAATCATTTATTTATCATAACGGATTTATCGAACTTCAATTCATGGGAAATTTTCACATCGACGCAATGTAAACCTGTTATTTCATTCACTTACATAATTAAAGTAGTTAGTACTTGTATTTAAAATGTAATTTTTGACCCCATAGTTTTTTTTAAATTATATATTTATATAATTACATATATATAAAATATGAAGTCAAATTTGTTAGACAATCATCATCAATCATGGCGTATTCGCCACCAGCAGGGACCGTGTCGAGGGTAACCTGATATTTAACATTGCTAGCAGCGAGGACAATAATTCCCCTTATCCCCGTAAATAAATCAATCAGTCTTTTTATACCTCTATACAGAACTTTTTATTTATATGGAATAATTAAGCGGTTTTAGACTGGAGAAACTTACTTAGAGTTTCTATTGGAATATGGTCTTCTGAATAAACCTACATTATTATCTATTGCAAAGCTTTGTTAACTTCACTCCCTATTTCCATTCAATGTTTAAACAAACTTAGTCAAAGTCGTCTAGTTGGAAATTACGACGTAGTACGACACACAAATGACATTGTTTATCATTAGGTAAAGTCGCAATATTGATGCTACAGTTCTATATCTACAAATCTGAGTACTAAGCACTCTTATATTTAACTTTATTGGTCAAAGATATTATTGTCACTGAATAAGTAACCACTACATTTAATTATTACTAAATATGAATTGATTATTTGTTATTTTCTTCAATCTTGTCCTTAATATATTTTATTTACTAAACTACAAAAACAAAATTGAGCCAAAGTATACAATCCAAAGTACCTATACAATCACTACGAACCGGGAGGAAAGGGATTATCAGTAATGGGGACTAGTGACCCCATTGCTAGCAATGTACCTTGTTAGGTCGACCTCCACGCGGTACACCCTGGAAACTATCACATTAAATTTCTGATGAATTTATAACGATATGTTATTATGTTCTCATCCTTCACTTGTGCCCCGCCAATGTAAACCGTTAGCGCAGGCGGGAGCACAAATCCATTGTAATACATTTAAAAAATATATCTATATCTTACAATTAGTTATATACCTATATGTTAAACTAAAACATTAGTTACAAAAACTTAGAGGAGTACTTTTGTTAATGATTAGTTATTAAATAAATCAGTTGGAAATTGATAAAGAGATATATCGTACAATATAAGAAAAAACAAACGAATATCAAAAATATATAACACTTAAAATAGAATTAAAAGATCAAAAAGAATTCTGTTTACTTTTGTTAGTATCTACTAGACATAAATTGGTATATGTATGTAGACTTACATTACGGATTACGAATTTAATTAGGTACTTATATCAATTTAAATCATTTAGAAACTAAAACAAATTATAAAGATTGGATCTTATCATTAAATGCAAATAAAATGATAAAAAGTAAAATATTAATAACTCAAAAGTCTTCAACTACAAGACACTAAACACTAGTTAAATATAAAAGAGAAAAATCCAAGTTCTATAAACAATGATAAAATAAATAATTTGAAACTTGTACATTTATGAATAATGCACTTGCACAGTTCAGAACTCAACTGGTTTTATATCACAGGCATAGTTCCAATAGCATTTCATAAACAAAAACACAATTTCCTTGCGCAAATCAAACGAAATATCTATATAGACACAGCAATAATATTATAATGACTATTCATCCATTTATAAAATAAAAGTGATCAACTCTATCAATGAATAAACATGTCAATTATTGTGAGCACGTGGTCGATTCGCAGATGTATAAAAAAACAAACATTCTATATCCCAATATTAGTGAAACATTCGTTATATTTTATTACTTTACAAATCACCGGCATTTTAATTTAATCAATCCGTTTGTTTAGACTGTGTAGCCCGTCGTAAATAAAACATAAGATTATCATATCAATGATAGGAGTACCTACGTCCGATAGTGGATGCGTATGAAAGTAGAGACGTCCGAAGTAAGGATGCGAGTTAGTGCTACTACCGCGAAGCAGCGTGGCCCGGGGTGCCGCTCGTGGTCACCGACTTGCAGAGACAGCACAGCACGAGTGCGATGTCGTTGCCAGTCTTTGTACGTCCCACCTCGATCGGGCGTTTAATGCGCGGGTATTTCGGTAGATCACAGCCATCTGACAAATCACGACCGTGCGACCCGGCCTCAACGAGCACTCTAATAATAAACTTGTTTATATTTTTTTATTCTCCATGACTTTTATTCTGATTCCACGTTACCTACGGCCGAAGCTACTGTTCGAGAGTTACGAAGACCTCGCTCGGTGACCTCCAGAGCCACGTGCGCCTCGAAATAGACAGGCGACGCGACACTTTAATTGTAATTAATTTCTTGTAGGGAATCTACTGAGGACAAATTACGTGCATTGGCGCCAAACTTGAAAGAATTTATCGCAGAGATGAGCGTAGGTGTAAGACGATCAGCGGCATCGGCGGCGGTGGTACGTACCGTGATAGTGTCCGATATGGCGCTGCAGAAAGCGCCAAAGCCGGTGGGTGCGGGAGGCGCGCTGGTGGGGCTGGCCGGCGGGCTGCCGCTCGCGCGGTCCATGTCACGCTACTCGCGCGGTGCACCGGCGGTCCGCAGAGCACTGCCGCCGCGCTACGTTCGCGCCCTCGCGTTACATAAACCTCGATGCTTGCCCGTTGAACGCTCCCACCTGTCTGTTGACGCTTGGTTCTGGCATCACATGCAACTCACAACAATAACATACAATAATTATAGAATATCTATTTTAAACACGCTGATATCTTGCGAGATACCAATTTAAAACAATGTCTTAACCTAGCCCATGGTCAAATGTACGATGACATTAATTGGTCTGATATTTATTGGTTGAATCTATTTATATCAAATACCCTGAAACTATGGTAAGATTATTTCTAATCTCTGTTTAACTCTCAATTTATAGTGATCCAAATAACATGTAAATACAATATCTAACTTTATATATTTTATCAAATTTGCAGTCTGTGATTCTAACTGAACTTTTATTGATCTGTAACTGATAGTTTATAATCCCATAATTTTTAGCAGGGGATACGTTATAAGGAATATCTACCTTCATGTTGTATTTGGTAATAATAATGTCAGAATATAATAATATGTAGATTTGTAAATCTTACATTTGGCCGGCCCAAATCCAGAGTCCAAGAGGTTTAAGATGATATGAGAGAAACATACCCAGACATACTATAGACAGGGAAAATATTAGAGAAAATATCATAAAATTAATTTCCCCTTCCACTTACAAGACACCTGTGTACACATATTTTTATTTCATGACCATTTTACACAATACAATAACTTATCACGTGCAAAATAACACACTCGTTAATTTAATGTTAGTTAGCTACTGATAATTATCGTGTTAAAATGTCTAGAAAATTATTCATAATATTCAGTGTGCTATATATTCACATACTTATAGTGAAATGTGGAAGAGTTAAAAGAGTAATTAATGGGAATGAAGTTGCGTGTGGTACAAACATTACTCATTTGTTTTATCATATAACACGAGATAAACACAGAATTTCTTTATCTATAATAAACTATCACATGAACCTACCAATTTACTACTGTACTAAAATCATTATAACTGACATATTTCAAAATTATTTGACTTGAATAATGCTTGTGATACAGTAATAAGAATTCAGTATCGTAATATCTTCGTCTAAGTATTAGAGAGAGGGGGGAACGTTTTATAGTTTTATTAAGCACATATATCCCTATCTCTACAAGACCACGACATATTGATTTACCAACATAAAAAGCAGCCTATCTCCATTGCCAAATAACATATAGATATACATATTTGTATATTGGTAGTTGAAGTATGTTAGGTATATTTTAGTTAATTCCTTGAACCATCGAGAAATAACAAACCAATCAATGAATGCAGGCAGTAAGATCTATTACAGATGAATTAGGTACATAATGGGATATATGAGTAAATCATATTATATTCGTTAATAGGTGCCCAACCAAGGGTCGTATCATTACGGAATATTACGAATGATCAACACATATGTGGGGCCACTCTACTTTCACCGTTGTTTGCTGTAACAGCCGCCCACTGCGCTCAACGCGACCCCCTTCAGTACACACTCCAGATCAACAACTATTGTCATCAATCGCCTCCGAAAGCCCAGGTGTTGGAAATCATCACGCATCAACTTTATGACAGGTAAACAATTGATTTGTTGATAAGTTGGTTAAAGATAAGTTTAATTCAGTTTTAGGTGGTTAAATTTAAATTAGTCCACGCTAATTGAAATTTAACCACCTAAAACTGAATTTATAATAAATCATTTAAATAGAAACTCATGGCTTAGTTGAAATCTGCTCTTCGCTAAAAATACTTTGAATGTCAATTTATAGGTACTTCTGATTGATTGTCCTGTGATAACATACATAACACAAACAAAAAATTGATCCGAGATACAGCGGTAGGCTCGTCCCCTACTATGTTGGATTGATACCAAAATGCGGACACGTCCGATATTGCGTTCACTATGACGTCAACAATTTACAATATCTCTGACTACTCTGTCTTGGTTATCCGTTATATTATTATTATTATTATGTAGCCATGTATGCAAAAACTATAGATATGGCCGCAGAGGATATATCTTCTACCGATCTGCAACGATAAAAGTGACGGATTGCAGTAAAAAATAACAAATCTATCTCTATAGTTTATGGACACAGCTAATATTGTGTTATTATCCTATACCAATAGTTTTTTATTATTTCAGGTTATCGTTAGCTCACGATATTTCTTTGCTACGTATTAATATCGACTCGGATGATGTAGCATGGCTTAACCACACTGTATTACCGAAATCATCGTTCGGTTTAGCAGGTAACGAACTGATAAAAGATATTTTTACATAATTGCTATGGCAAAGAAGCTGACAGCACTGGTAAACCGATGGTAAATGACAACTGTCGCTTATATATCTAAGTAGGTACTTACATGATCAGCACCACATCTATTTTTGTGTTATTGGAAAAACAAGCTGACGCTCCATCTGGTGGTAAACGGTAACATCCGTGTAACATGTATATCTACATGAACAACACTACAGAAGTCGTTGTATGATACACTTGTGATATCACTAAAGCGTTGCCATCCAAAGAATTAATAAGAGGCAGCTTATATTGCATAGTTCCTAACGTCAAAATAGGTACCTACCTACCTAAGCAATCGTGTTCTTACATAGACCACCTCGGTCAACATCACTACATTCACCTATTCCTCAAACGTTAAAATTGCGGTGATCTAAAAAATGTTCTTGCTATCTATAAATAATTTCGTAAATTAATACCAATGCGAGTGCTTTGATAAATAGACTTAAGTAAGTATTTAATATCAATATTTTACGATATTCATGGTATTATTGATGTCTGTATAGGTACAGCCAATTCTAGTAATCTGTCACCTCGTCATTCCCAATGTAATTTAAATAGGAAAATTAATGGAAAATAATTCCTAATTTTAAATTGTTTCTTACGATTTCAGGTGAATGTATGATTTACGGTTATGGCTATAATGATTTGAACACTAAGAAAACATCTGAGACGCTGTCAGTTGCAAAAGCGACGCTCGTATCTTTAGATAAGTGCAAACAAATATTGGGACCCGTCGCTCCCGAATATGACCACGGAATGTTATGTGCGGTTGGCATTGAAGCTGATTCATGTCAGGTACTAATCGTAATTTAAACCGATTGGCGACCTCAGTAGTATCTATTAGATGCTAGATAGATGCTATTAGACTGTTTAGTATTCACAGTACTCCCAGTTTAATATTAGAAATATTTATTGATTTTATATATTTATTTATTATAAAGATTCTTACAAGATTAATATTTATAAATTGTCCTAAAGTTATAGGACTAGTGTTTACTTAAAGGCTAGTTAGCTACGGCGCTGCAAGTGTAGCGACGTAGCTCTTATCGTGTCGTAGCAGCATGCATGTAATAAGAATTTTCACAATCTTGGCTATTTTAAACATTTTATATTACTGAATATAAAATATGAACACAATTACAAATTTAATTAGATCTGTAAAATGAAATGTAATTTATGTATATATTAACTATCTACTACTTGATGAGGACTAACTATATCAACCAATAATGCGTGGACAGCGACTATTCTGAATAAAAAAAGAAACAATGTGTTTTGCACTATTTATTTATTTATTCTAAATATATATGTATTTACTCTACCTAATTTACGGATTTCTATGACCTATATTTAATCACCTGCACTAAAACCTTGATAATACAATATCGGCAAGCCGCAATAGCATGCCTACGCTCATTAGGTATCGTTAAATACCATTCCATCAAAACTAGTAACTCGTATTCTTCTACATCTGTTTTGTTTTTATTTTGGACACAACGAAGATCTTTACAAATAGTTATATTATGTCATGAAGAACTCTACCCGTTTCATTTCAATTTGTGTTAGGTATATAGTAAACTTCGATTGCCACAAGATGAATTATCTATTCTCGGAAATACTTTCACAAGTTTATGTATATTCAGAAATAGGTTTATACTGTACGTCATATACAGGTACAACTTGGACTTGTTTCCTTTATAATAAAGTATATACCTACTGTCAAAAGGCCGCATTCGTTGAAGTGAAGAAATCTATACTATAGTCAATTGGATCAGTTTCTTTATCGTTTCCTGTACAATAATTAGTGCTACATTTTCTATATTTTATTGCAGGGTGATTCTGGTGGTCCCCTAATATGTAAAGACTCCGAAATTCAAGGAATTAGCAGTTATGGATTAAGCTGTGGAGTGCCAGGGGTACCTGCAGTATATACTAGTATTGGTTCTCATTTGCAATGGATACGTGAAGTTACTAACATCAGATGATTCTAAAACTACAAAAAATATTATATACATTGAAGTCTCTATAACAGGAAAACATAGTAGATAAATATAGATCATCCTACAAGAATATGTAGTCACACAAACACATATTATGTATTTTTTTCTGCTTCTAATATCAAAAGAGACTTATATATACAAAGAGACCGTAGATGGAAAAGGATCTACTTCGAATAAACCAACGACCTCACATAACCTTTCGAGTGTTGTGTATATTAAAATATACACTTATACCCTATTTACCGTCATATAAAGTGGGAATTGTCCTCGGATATTATTATATAGGTTTTTTCTTAGATACAGATCATTTAAATATTATATGTACCCGCATGTTCGTCATCAATATAGGACAGGACGAACCTACCGCCTTTTCTGAGATTAAATATAATAATACTTATGTTATCTGTGATAATACTAAGAATAAAATTCCGACTTCCATCACCAACATTACAACATTTATAGTTTTATTTATGTAATAAATCTATAGATATCGTAAATTCGGTTGGTTTTACTTCATATAGAAAAGCGATGCATTTTGCGATACTATATACAATTTGCATATTATGTAGGAATACTTAGGTACAAAAAAGAAGTACTTAAATTGCAATAAAAGATCTCACATAGATCATAAAATTTAATCAACAACAATATTTCTTAGCACACTAATTATACATTCTAAGCGTCTTTTTTGAGATAACTAAAGAAAATAGACCAAAAGTAACAATAGCCTCAAAGATATTGTACAATATAGGGTACAAGTTATAGCTGATAAGTACATATTTTAAATACAAAAAGCAATACATCGACACATATTGTAAATTTTCTACAAGCTTTTTATTCCCATATTTTTTTCCAGCGTAGAAATTATTGCCATATTTTTTTTCAGCAAATAATTCGGTCTAGATATTATGCTTATGCTGATACACATGTTGAGACGTTATGTTTACCATACATATCGTGATGTATTTGGAGTTCTAAGACGCGTCCTATATTCAATGACACGCTTTTTCTATAGGTTCTTTCTAGGCTTAACTTCCGTCCAAACAATTCCGCATATGGAAATTATATATTTATAGTTTTTGATATAACATCTGAATTTACAGTAGCTAATACATATACATACTTTCATTATGACACAATTTAATATATATGATCGTTTCGCTTAATTTAACTATATATTTATTGAATTTTTTCTTTCATATATAAGGCCATTGTTTTTAATATAAACTCAATATACATATTCAAATATACAGTATAAACATAATATAAACTATAATTACAAATTACTGACATATCCTCTTTTTGTGACTACAACAAAAGATATAGAAATATCAGAAGACAGTATTTTAAAATATCATCAAATTATATAAACTACATATTTACTACAACAACAAACAACTATATTATAGATTAAAAGTACCGAGGTAGAACAACATCTCGAGACTTCCAAATCATTCTTGAGTATATATAGTAAACAGCAGATAATACAATTCAAAGTAGGAAACAAAAACAGAAAAATAATTCGAGACCAGCAAGCTAAAAAAGCTTTAATTAAAGCAATTTTAGCTTATAATATTAAATGCGATAGCTTTAAATATTAGATGTGAATGTTCTTTTTATCTTCGTTTTAAATTTAGAATCCCTAACATCTTTCAATCAAAAAATATGTTACTCTTTTAACTATTCCCTCATTTCAATAATAAATTATTAATAACGTATTACAGTAATCATTAGCATATAGGAGTGGCGTTCCAAAATTCGATATACAGAGTGACGGAGAGTGATCGTTAAATTTAATACCACAATGAAAAGACAAAATCGCAAATTGAATAGAAAAAGCATCTAATAACATCACATAACCACACAACTTTTTAAAATATTATTTAACAGATTATATAAGTACGTTATATAGTAACTACTCAATAGAAGACAACAATATTCTCGTCGTTGAACATACGTTATACATATTAACTTCAGCCACCCCAGGAACAACAAACCTACCCACAGCACTGGTAGTCATTACAACTACAAAACAAATACATTAAACATGTACTAGGAACTATACAATATTTCACATATTACAACAGTGAGTATATACAATAGAAATCGTTATTATAGTCCATCAAGTTTATAAATACGATGTTTACAATAACAAAGTACGGAGAGGGGGTATATTTTATATGGAGAAGTAATAAGAACACGCTATATAACACGCTATATGGTCGCTTTTTTCTTTTCGCAAGAAGGATATTTCGCATGGATCAAAATAGAGAGTTTTAAAAAACCTGACAGACTATAATAATAATTAAAACCCAAGACAATTCACTCAGCGCCATCTAGTCAGGGCCAATCTAAACACAGCTTGTGTTATGGCTACTAGACTACTGATATAAATACTTAAATACATTTTTTTGTAACTGCATACATAATATATATAGAAAACAAGACCAATACAAATGATCATACCCATAAATATAATATGTTTATATCATGCTAGGAATCGAACCAGCGACCATTGAAAGTAAAGCATTGTGATAAACCGAAATTCTCTATATATAATTTCAGTAAATTAATTTACATCGTGTCGTCAGTGGTAAACCAATAAATATGCGACACAAGACTTAAAATTCCTTCGAGGGCGAACAATAATATTGATGTCTATATTACATATATGGACATCAATAGATTCCATGTTGTATGTACTAACAACCAGTGTAGATTTTTGTGATTATAATCCTACCTCATCTTTTCAAAAAGTGCACAAATGATTGTATTTATACTATGTAAAAGATTACGTAATAAAATATAAATGTTCATATAAATACAAATAAATGAAGCGGTTACTTATGTCGACATTCCGTTGTATAATATTCATAAGTTATTTTTCGCAGATTATAGTACCTAGTATATAATATATAGTGACAATTTTGCACATAAAAAAATATTCGTAGCCGTAACCGAATCCGAAATAAAAGTTTCGGATAATATCGGATAGGGTCGGAGCCTTATTGAGACACGTTATGTAACTATTTTATTAGCTTTTGTATTTTACTTTTGATATACCTTAAATAAAAATATCCGTAACCGAAATTATCCGAAACTAACGGATAATCCGAAATAATTTCATATCCACATCTGTATCCGTATCCGGTATAATAATCATTCCTATATCCAAAACCTATCCGTATCCGAAATTTCATATCCATAACATCCCTGCTATCAAGTTATTACAATAATTTATTTAAAAGTCATAATAAAGTGCTAACAAAAAACATTCCTAATAAACATGTTTGCAAAACACTATATGAATAGGAAATCGATTGCGTCAGAACTGTTACATATTGTAATGCTGTTCCATAAATCGTTCCACGGGTTTAGTGTCATCTGCACTCGCGAACGATAGGGTCGTTCGGTGAAGCTGTAAAGGCCAACTGAGGCCAACAATATTAGAATAATTCGAAAAACAAATGCGATGCTAAATAATAGTAAAGTTAATGTAACCATATTGGAATGGTTTATTTCCTTCTAAATAATCGAATGTTTAGTTTAGTTTTAAAATCAAGTCTTTTTAATATAACAATTTATTACACAAAAAAAATTAGGACGCAACTTTACACCCTATTTATAATTCGTATAAGAATTTAAAGAATCGTTAGTTAATGCAGTTTGACCCGCAATTCTAGAATGAAAAAATATAATAGTGGACCAGTAGGTCAATATTATGTCCATCCGGTTATTATAATCAGACGGATATAATGGATGGATGGATGGATGGATGAACGATATCAATAAGCCTATAGTACGGCCACATACTGCATTAGTTGATAGTCATTATATTTGTCCTTCATCTGTAAACGAGCGTTTAAATCATTAACATAGCCATAAATTATGTCATACATAGCCGACCTATAGACAATATAAATTTGAATTATCACTGCAGATATAATACGCAATTGCTTAATCCTTTCTAGGTGAAAACGATTAAATTTTATAATAAAGTTATTCTAAAATCAATAATAACTAGGAGTAATTAGTGACAATACCTGAAGACAAAATTTGTAATTTATTCCGTCGCTAACAAATAATTAATATTAATAAAGTTACTAATTTGTACTAATTTTTTTAACTGAATTTCTTTCCTAAAAGAAATATATAAAATATACCTAGTTTAACAATTTCCATGGATGACATGATAATATTTGAAGGCATGACATGAACACAAATGTTCCCAGAACCAAACCCTGTTTCAGCAGCGAGAAGAGATCAAGTTTGACTCTTGTTTTAATTACTTCAAGACCATGTGAACCAGGACCTTGCCTCAGCCGAAGGTGTAGAACCTGAGCTCTTCGGAGTGACGGGGCTTTTTGGTGTCTGCGGATGAGAATTTGTGGCCGCGTCGCCATCCGGGTTGTCTACTGCGTTCTCTATAGTTGTTTTCAGCTGAAATTCATGATTTAAAGTTTAAAAATAAATTAAATAAAATTAACATAACTGTTACCGAGATAGCCTTTGTACAAAGTCGTGTCCTTGGGCACCTCTATCCTAACTTTAATAGGACAGGAGTACCGTTTACCTATAAGTCCCAGAAATATACTAACATTATATACATATTGTAGGACAATACTAACATTAAAACTAAAGAGTTCTTTATAGCCACCATAGATCCATGAGAATTTTTCATTAGTACAATAATAATTCATTACAATTTTCCTTTTTGTTGTTATTATTACAATGTGAGTTTGTCTTACCTAATAATATAGGATAAAAGTAGGCCTGTCAATGTTTTTGAGATGAATATTTTGATTCAGAGTAATACACTAGTATGTTCGGTAGTTGATTTTAGTAAATTTAAAAATCTTTACCTTAATATTAGTTTTGGCTTGCATTTCTTTCTCATATTCCCTTACATCTTCAATTGTCATGTTGTACCAATCGTCCATCCAAGCAAAAGCTTGTCGATGACCAAGAAGTAAAATTTCTCGTATTGCCTGCAATATATGCATATTTTGAACTCAACAAAATGAAATTAATTATTGGGTGAGAAACTTAAGTTAAATTATGATACCCATATATAAAAGTTCATATAAAACTATGCATAATCTTAATTTAAAATTCAAAATATCACTGACTACTACACTAACTCTGCCTTTTTCGAAAGTACGTCACTAGTACTAGCATACTAGCTATGCTTTCAGATTAATTAATTAAGGTGATCGATGTTAAGGTGCAGGCCAGATTCGATATTAGGACTCTATAAATAGGAGTAGTAAACTACTAGAATACTCTTAAATAATTAGTGAAAATGAGTGTAGATGGACTGACTGTGGAACAAATCATTTTGGTTTCAAACTCAAAAAAATAATGAATGGAATATTTTTAACAATAATGAACAATATGTTATATTTTAAATAAATTTTCATAATATTTGTGTCAGTCACTATGGCTAATTACACCATTTATGAAACAGCAAAACACAATAGCCTTTATAAGTTACATGAGTTAAAAAAATTAAGAGATTGGTAATTGGTAATTTAATTAAGTTAACTAAAATACATACGCCTTGCACATACTCCTCCACTCTGGTCTGCAGGCCCCATACTTCAAATTTCACATTTACTAATTTGTAACAGCACATTATTGGCTTTTGAGTATCTCGCCAGCCCTCGACCAAGGGACCGCGCCCAGTCTTCTCTGATTTAAAAAACTTAGGATCCTCAGCCTCTTTGTAATGATGTGGTTTTATATCATCATATGCTATGTCCAAATAATCAACCTTCCTTTGCTCAAGATCTTCAGAGTTTAATCCCAGGCACTAAAACAATGCAGATTTACTTTACAAATAAAGCATATATCCACAATAATATAATACATATATAACTTACCAAGTAACTTTGAATCATACCACCCATACCATTCAAAATCTTATAAAGAGCTTAAACATTGATATTATTGATTATTGGTTAAAAAATATTTCATTTTATATAATTCATTCCCAATTATTTTTTATATAAATTAATAATTAATAATATTGTTATATTTAAGTCATATTTAAATATTTTTAATCTATTTCTCAGAAGTTATCAATTTATCTTTTACTTTATGCATGCTAAGAAAATAATGTTGTCATTGTTCCAAGGATTCACATCCAACAACATATCTAAAAATATCCATGTCATATAATTTTTATTCAAATAAAAAGACTACAGTCCTCAGAAATTAATTAAAGCTCTGGACCAGTTTAGAATAATTAATAAAGTATACTCATTGGGTAATAGAACTGAACCAAGTATAGAAAAGAAAAACATTTTAGTACATGTAAATTCAAATTTTAGTATGTTTATTATCAAGTATGAAAGAAGGATATATTTCTTACATATACACAAAAAAGTAAATACTTACATTTTCTGTGGTACCATTATTATCCTCATATCTTGTTTGTATAGAAATAGAGAACTTTGGGATAAAGGAACACTGAAACATAATTTAAAAATAATCCACAATACACAGAAAATAAAACAATATAATTGCCAATATACAAAAAGATATATACTCACTGTATATTCTATAGTGACCAATTAGTAAACATGAAAAAAGAGAACACCATATTAATAATAATGTATAAATTTATTCAAAAAGCTTATTAATATTATAAAATGTATATTACCAGTTATTGTGTAGGGATAGTAATTCCAAGCCTTTTCAGTCACATAAAATATTTTTGGTATCAATGACTGCAACCAATATGGTAAATGACTGAAATGAAAATATTAAATTAAAATCAGCTCTGGCTTTAGTCATGGCATAATGGAGGGTGAGTTCCTTACACAGACCTTACACTGATATGGGTTCCTTACACAGACACTATTTCACAGTGACACCATGCTGATGCTATACATTAGCAGATAACCTAGTTTATTGTAACTGTTGTTCGTTGTGTTGATAGAGAGTTATAGGTAATTTTTAATTGCTTTTTTTAAAGCAACTTTTTATATTATATGAGCAATGCTATATGTAGTGTTGTGAGGAGTATTGTAATAAATATAATTAAATATACAACTATCGATAAATTAGACATAAGTTTAATTTATTCTTAAAAAGAGATTTCTTTTATATTTTAATTTATGTGTGATAGATAGGTAAGAATTTTTATTTATATCTTAGTACACATATTATGTGTGATATTATACTACACACATATGCAACTTAAAAATATTAAATAATTACACATTACTAAAGATTAATAATCATTAGATAGTTTAACATAGTCGCTGCCGCTGTCTGTCCCTATGTATGCTTAAATCTTTAAAACTATGCAACGGATTTTGAAGTGGTTTATTTTAATACATAGAGTGATTCTAGAGGAAGGTTTATATATATAGTGCAGAGAACACCCGGGCAAAGCAGGGGCGAATAGCTAGTTAATTATATAATTTAATAGTACATTCTGTCTGCATAAAAACATATTACATAAAGTTGGGCAAACTAAATCCTGTATTACACATTTCAAAATATTTAGGGCATTACAAATTATTCACTTTGTTTATAATATAATTTACATATATAACACTATGCAAATCTGACTGTCCAATTTTAAATGGGATTATTGATGTGATAGATATCATAGGTAATATGATAAGTATGTTACAATATGACACTAATTCATCTGTCCACATCTCTATAATCTTATTATATAATGGTATATATACAAAAGATTCTCTCTATACCTAGATAAATGTATTCTCTTTTCAGTGAACTGCCCTGCTCCATTGACTTCATCAAATACTTCTTCGTTTGCTACAACCTCAACTCCCTCACCATTGCTGGATTGCTCAAAGCTATGACGGGCAATCATGTAAAGTTGACCAATTTGGTACTGAAAGTTAGAAATTGTAAGTGAGGAATTTTATTTTAAATGAGGATAATGGAATGGAATCTCTTATGTTTTGATAGTAAAGTGTGGAGTCAGGTAGTTTAACCCATGATGATTTTATCAGGTGTTACCCACAATAGTTTCCAGGGGGACTGGGATAAACCTGATAAGGTACATAGACACGATAACACAAAATTATGAGGTCCCGAAAAATGATCAGACATCCAAAAGTTGTACATTATTAATAAATTTACTAAACATGTTTTGATAGACGGCTCACCATCACGGGAATACATTCTACGTATTGGTTGCAAGTCTAGGTTTTCTACAATTAGAAATATTTTTTTCTAAATTAAATATGCTGTTTGCAAACTATATAACAAACTCTATAATTAATTATATAAACACCGAATGATTTATACCAAATTGATGTATATTTCGGACTTGTTTATTGTACGTACCTCTTTTACTTCCATAGGCATGCAAATTCGGTATTCATATGTTAGAACCATTATGTAAGTTTCTGTTACTGTTAATTGGAATTAAAATATTTGTTCTTGTCCTTCTTTCCTTTTATTTAAAATCTATGCAGTATAGTATCACGTTATAGTCAAAAACTGGATAAAAAATTATGACATGACAGGACAGCACAGAATAATAGGTGTGGACAGCGACTTCACAGTAGTAGTAGTAGTGGTATATTTTATCCACAAGTGGATAGGCAAAGGTACGAGACCATACAGCCTAATCTTCAGTAGTATTTCCATGAAATTCAAAAATTCTTTAAGGCGATATCGCCAAATCTTTTCATTAATTATAAGTTTGTGTTAAGTCCTTGTATGTGTCCATAATTGAAATGTTTATAATTCTCCGATAGTTGCTATGATAAAGTCGAAAATTGGTTTAAAAGTTGCAGTGCATTTGAATAGTTCTTGAAGCGATGGCGGAATAATCTTATATAGTTCTTGAAGCTTGGAGCGACTTCACATTCAGCTTTACCTATACAGGTTAACCTTAAAGTCAAGCCGCTGATACATGACAGCTGTACACCTGTCATGTATCTTTATTCTTTCCGAACGAGTGGTAGATAAAAACCAAATTGTTATGACTATTCAAAAGTGCTTAAATTAAGTTTATTTGAATAAATGTTTTTCTATTCTATTCTATTTATTTAACCGTAGGTGCGTATTCGTTGGGGCGTGAGGTCGGGCAACCTCCTCTTATGTTCCAGCCATCCTCATGGATACGTCCGCGGGGAACCGTGGCCGAGTAATGGTTTTGTTCGCCTTGGGCGGGATAGTAGTAATTCTTTCGAGATATTGCTACTATGTCGGCGGATAGTCCGGCGAAGGGGGCGGCTCAGGCTGGGACAATGGGTCCAGGTGGGGCCCGCCCCGCCCGTCAAGCGTCGCGTCGGTGGCCCGCTCCTGCTATGACTCTACTCTTGTAGAGACAAGTGCGGAGCGGGCACGGCTCTGTGTGGGCGGCAGTCTCAGAGTTTCAAGTCTGTCGTCCACACAACAGGAGCCGAGATGGGGGAGGCGCATTCCGTATTCCGATGCGTCTTCCCCACAGTGGCCGGAGTCGGGGGAACTGGGAAGAGTTCCCCCCACGCGTAGAGGAGGGCTCGCTTGTTGGCAACCGCTGCTGGAGTCGCGGTTGATTGCCAGCATGATGCTGTGATTCTGGCATTATGGCGGTGAGGAGGAATATCATGGGGTTTTTGGTGAGTAGGAGTCTCACAGTACCCGTCCGTTCCAACCCCTGGGTCGGGCGGGTCTCCATGAGGGATTTTCTCCACGTAAAAAAAGTGTGTATTCGTTACTGCTGACCAAAGATGACATAATCAGCTGAGTAACAGTTCAAAATTCTTAAACTTGATCTCTTACAGCATTTCACAAACTAAATAGATGATTAGCATTTTGAAGGAAGTACTGAAATGTTCCTTGCGATTTACGAATTTATAGCAGAGCGATACCAATCAATCTGTATTCGATTACAGCAATAGATAGAAGAAACTATTAATGAAATTTATAATAATTTGATTTGAGAATGTCGTCGTGGTCTATTGATTACAAACCCGTAATGTCGTCAGTTCAAATCTGACAGACGTCAAAAAAGACTTGTTTCAAGTTCTGACTGGTTCATCAGCGATGTAAACACCTAAAACAAACCAAAAAAATATCCTAAAGATGACAATGGCCGCACCCCCCGCTACGTTGGATTAAAAATATACTGAGCGAAATTTAGGCATGTCAAATGTTGTGTTCACCTCAACATCGACAGTTAATAATGCTTCTGACTACTCCATCTAGAATAACTGTCGTGAGCGTATGTTTATACGTAGTTTATATGTAGTATCATCTATAATTTGTGGTTTATAGTGTTGTTTTGGACCATTCATAATAAAACTGTAAAATTACCAAAAATTGAAAATGTTCCAGAAATGGTATTTCTGAATCAATTTCTAACTTATTAATTCTTAAAACGCCAGCAACGCACTTGCAAATCCCCTGGTGTTACTTGGGTACTTATGGGCGGCGGTAATCACGCTCAAAAGAGAGTGACCAATATTTTCTTAGCAAGCTTAAAGTAATTTTGTAAAATAGCCAACATTTCACAAGGCTTTTTTTCTATAGATAGGTTTAAAGTTTACAAATTATATAAAATTAATAAGAAAATTCCTGAGGGAGACCTCAGCAATGGTATTTTCTATTGGCCTTTTATTTCTTAAGTTTCTGTACAAAAAATATTAATTTGCAGTTTTATATATATTACATATTATATATAATATGTAATATATGGTAATATGAAACATTTCATTATTTGGTTTTTAATCATAGCTATATTATTGTTATTCTTAATCAAGAAAATTCCCTTATAATTATTTAGAACCATCTGTGTGTGTATTAGATTTTTAATTAATTGATTTTATTTTATAGTACATACCCACAATTTGATAATTTAAATAATTACAGTTTCAAATAGGCTACCCCCATCTCTAAATGTTCTGTTTGTCACAAAGAAAATTCCAAGAATGCATGTATGTATGTAGAAGACAATAATTAACTTCTAATAAGCTTGCAATATTAATTTGTTTAGATGGATGTTATTGAAATAAAGCATAATTGGTGATATTATATTAAATATTTATTGTTGTTTATCACATCATGAAGATACAAGGATGTAAAGTGTGAGGATACAATTTTTATATCTATTGTGATAGCGAATAATATTTCTAACTGACAATGTTATAATAAAATTATAGGCAATTTAGTCTGTCACTAGAATTTATCATTAGGTAAACCATAAAATATTATTATTTTAATAATGTATATAAACAGATGCCAAGTCATCATAATCATAGGTTCTCTTTAAAAATAAATCAACTAAAGAAATACCAGTGATACTATGGTATCCAGTATTGATTGGAAGAGCTGTTAAATTTAAACAGACTGATTTTCCAGGCTCCAATGGACCTAATTTTCTGTTTGATATTCCACACCAAAGCAAGCTTGAATCAGGTAAAGAACGCAGTTTGAGGATTAAATTTAGTGTTCTATCACTAGCATTGACTATATTGCAAACAAAGGTGAAAGGTTCGTCTACTAAGACTTTACTAGGCAGACTGTCATATGTTACTCTAATGTCACCATAATCAGGAGTCATCCGCTGTAACTGGCTTGTCTGCAGTCTGCCTTTTTCACCTAAATTAGACCGCCAAACAATATCCAATTTACCAATATTCTTAGCAGCAGCTAACAATTTAATTTCCTTAGAAATGTTCTCTTTAGGAGTAAGGCAGTATAAGTACTGGCAGCTCTCTTGTGGTTGTAGTAAAGTAATATCACCAAATACAGATTTGCCATTATCAAATTCATTAAGTGATTTCACTATGAATTGGTGGGAACTTTCTAATGAGACTTGCTCTAGTGTGATTGCTCCCGAAGTTATGTTCTGCACTTGTGCTTCAAGGTACACATCATCAGATTCTGCGTTATAAAACTTTGTCTTCACATCTAATGGTTTCATGACTTCGAACTTAAAGAATTTTCTAAAGGATGCTAAAGTATTATAATTTGACATATAGGTCACTTCACACACCAATATATGTGTTCCAAGGTCCTTCACCTCATGATGTATAACATCACTTAATGTCTCATCTACATCCAGCATTGTAGGGGATTGACTTTGTGTAGTAAGGGGTATTCTCTGAGAATTTGTCTGCAGGTCAGCCTTTATGGAAACACTTTGCACTGGTTGGTTGGTTTCATTGTGGACACAAACATAACAAGAAAATGTCTCACCCAAGTATATGTTACCAAAACTCTGTGGTAGTAGTAGAAACTGCCCCGCTGCAATTGTTTCCATTTGAGTAACAGATGTAGCATCATCTTTTAAGTAGTTATTCAAGATATTCCCTGGTAAATCTTTGGAGTCGCACGTTACAATTTTTGGACATATTAATGCCGGTTTCGTTAACCTCATAACTTTTAAGGCTACTAAATGTTCGACAACTTCCTTGGGATCCATCTATATGGAATCAAGATCTGGGGAAAATAAATATATTTGTAGTACACAAGTATGGTGTTCACTCGATTTGGTTATTTTAATGTTCATAAGTATGCATCAATTCCATCCAATTTACAATAACATCAAGCTTGAGGCTTAAATTAGAAAAAATTTATTACTTTTTCAAAAGTCAATACTATACTATGATAAACATAAATCAAAGTGACTGATAAGTGACAACACAAGTGATAGTCACTGACATGAAAAAAAAGGTTATTGTCAAAGAAAAACAAAATAATCTGACAGTCTGACAGTAATTCAAGATTATTTATTTTACATTTATTTTAAAACAGTTTTTTTCTATAGATAGGTTTAAAGTTTACAATTTTATTTCTTAAGTTTCTGATATTAATTTGATTATTTATTTTACATTTATTTTAAAACAGGCTTTTTTTCTATAGATAGGTTTAAAGTTTACAGTTTTATATATATTACATTTTATATATATATAATATATAATATGTAATATATGGTAATATGAAACATTTCATTATTTGGTTTTTAATCATAGCTATATTATTGTTATTCTTAATCAAGAAAATTCCCTTATAATTATTTAGAACCATCTGTGTGTGTATTAGATTTTTAATTAATTGATTTTATTTTATAGTACATACCCACAATTTGATAATTTAAATAATTACAGTTTCAAATAGGCTACCCCCATCTCTAAATGTTCTGTTTGTCACAAAGAAAATTCCAAGAATGCATGACAATAATTAACTTCTAATAAGCTTGCAATATTAATTTGTTTAGATGGATGTTATTGAAATAAAGCATAATTGGTGATATTATATTAAATATTTATTGTTGTTTATCACATCATGAAGATACAAGGATGTAAAGTGTGAGGATACAATTTTTATATCTATTGTGATAGCGAATAATATTTCTAACTGACAATGTTATAATAAAATTATATGCAATTTAGTCTGTCACTAGAATTTATCATTAGGTAAACCATAAAATATTATTATTTTAATAATGTATATAAACAGATGTCAAGTCATCATAATCATAGGTTCTCTTTAAAAATAAATCAACTAAAGAAATACCAGTGATACTATGGTATCCAGTATTGATTGGAAGAGCTGTTAAATTTAAACAGACTGATTTTCCGTCGCATAAGTGACAGCCCTCGCAGACGTAGCTGTGCTAACCGATTCTGTAACTTTTTAGACTGATGGCAAGGCACAGTAGCTTGTTACAATAAATAAGAAAAAAAAGGTTATTGTCGCCAAAGAAAAACAAAATAATCTGTGGAATTGAAGCTAGTGACATTGACAGTTGACATCTCTGTAAATACTAAATATTTCGTTTATACTCTTTTTTTTACTGATTATTTATTTTTGATTTCCACTTTTTATTGTAATTTAAATAATTACTGTAGTACATTGTAGTGGCACTTATCTCTCTAGAAACGTTTTGTTCCCTAATATTTATCAATATTGTCGATTTGGATACAGTCAAATGTTGTGTAAAGAACTTTGAAGGTTCCATATTCTTGCGTAGAAATCTGATGTGGCCCAATCATGAGTCGAAGTGTGACCTAATGTATTCGCAGTAGTGTATTATATTATTATATATATATATTAGTTGGGTATTATAAACTTTTTCAATAAGAATCCTCAGAATGGCATACCAAACATTTTTACAAGAATATATGCTAATACCTCCAGTAACTAGAGCTTATACTACTGCTTGTGTTGTCACTACATTGGCGGTTGTAAGTATATCTTCTGTTCCTTGTGATTACTTCCAATAACGTGAAATTTGTATTGTTACATTTAATGAACTTGCATCAACTTTTATTGTGAATATTTTACAATAAATAATCTCTAATTATAATGATTGTAATAATGTTGATAAGTATTACAATTAAATTATAATTGAAATGTATATTTTTTCTTTCAGCAACTGGACTTGGTGTCACCATTTCAATTATACTTCAACCCCATTCTTATTCTTAAAAAATATCAATTATGGAGGCTGTTGTCCACATTCCTATTCTTTGGAAATTTAGGATTTAACTTTTTTTTCAATATGATATTTACATATAGATATTGTAGGATGTTGGAAGAGGGGTCATTTAGAGGGAGAACTGCAGATTTTGTTGTTATGTTTGTCTTTGGAGGTGTCCTAATGATTGTATCCTTTTTAATAATAGAAAATGTAATTTTTACACAAACCAGTAGATAGTCAGCAAAGCTCAGTCCTTAAGTTACTTATTAAATTGATGACCATTTTCATTAACATACCTATTATGGTATGTTATTGAAAATGCTCATCAATTGTCCTAGATTACCCAGTACTATTACTGGGTAATCTAGGAAATTGTCTTAGTAATTTCTGATATATGTATTAATAAATTAAAACTATTTTTTGGTGAGTTAATAGTCACACTACCTCACTTATGATGCTCACTTGTATTCATAAGTATGATTGTTTGGATTAGTCTGGGTGTTTTCTATATGTATTTTCTATGAATTGTTTAGTACCCATAACACAAGTTCTGCTTACTGTTTCACTTACTCGGACCTAGAAGATGCTGTGTAAATTGTCTAGGGTTATATTTTAATTCAGAAGTATTTTATCATTCAAATACCTTACCAAGAGTATAAAATATTGACATTTATTAAACAGTATTTGTTTTATTATTTTAAAAAATATTTTTGAATAGGTCCTATACCTATTCAATAATTAAAAGTTTTACTTTATTCTTTAAAATAAAATATGTTCAGTAGACCAGTATTAAGTAATAAAGATATTATTAAACATACAATTAAATCAATTAAATAATAAAATATTCTGACAATGAAATAGTCAGGACTGTTTAATATAACTTCTACATTATAATACATATTAATATTTAACATATGGACTTGGTTTTTGTAGTATCCATGAGCAGCAATGGAGATGAGCATGAGGTTAGGTAAGTTAGACCATCAAGGCAGTTTCATGTGGAATTTATCACAAAGTGTTACAGGGGAGAACCGCATGGAGGTCAAACCTGACATGGTACTTTGCTAACAATGAGTATATTCATCCACAATAACAATCCCCTGCCACCTGCAGAACTCATTAACTATATTAGTTTTAAAATTGTAAGTTTCCTTAATATAAACTACAGTTATGTGCATTCTTTGTTAATCTATTATTTCTAGGTCAAGCATTTACTATAATGATAGTATATGTATGGTCAAGACGCAATATATTTGTCCGCATGAACTTTTTTGGTTTAATGAATTTTCAGGTAAATACAAAATCTCTAAATATTTGTGGAATAAACCATAATAATCTAAATAATAGAACTCTTCCATAACATTTTATTTTGGCTTGACATTAAAAAGACTACCAGTCTATTTATTCGGTTATTCAGAGAAGTGCATTATATTATTATATGGGGAAAACATAAATTATTTTACAGCTGCTATGTTTAATATAGCATATTTTGTGTAACATTTATTAAATTTTTTTACAGGCACCATACCTTCCTTGGGTTTTACTAGGTTTCTCTGTGCTTCTTGGTAATTCAATTTCTGTGGATTTGGTTGGTATGGCGATTGGTCATATATATTTCTTTATGGAGGACGTTATGCCACGACAAAATGGTGGCCAAAAACTATTGAAGACACCAAAATTTCTGTGAGTTTGAGCATCTGTTTAGTATTTCAGTAATCTAAATTTATGATGCATGCTGTTGGAATGATATAGAGATTTCCCAAATGTAGACTAAAATACATTTAAATAATCTAATGAATATGTTATCAGCAGTATATAATAATATAGTAATATATTTTCCAGCTTAAATAATTTCACTGTTTAAATTTTCAGAAAAAAATTATTTGATCCACCTCAAGAGGAAGACGAGTATGAACCGTTGCCTGATATGGCAAACCTTCGACCGGGAGGATTCAACTGGCAAGGGGACCGTTAAATATTTAAGTTATTTACTATTATGATCATACAGTGAGACCATGATTGCCAAATTATGTTATCATATTTATATTAGTTAAAACTAATATACATATTATTAATTTATTTTAATATACACAAAAGACAATATATTGAAATAATAACCTAATAAAAACATAAAACGATTCTTCAATTTGTTGTGTTAATTGATTTATGCCATATAAATTGTTTGGTAAGAATCGCATTAAACTAATTAATAGCGCATACCCACAAATATGGTTCCGTAGTATTTTTTGTTATATTGGGTTTATTTCTATAAATTATATAATTTAAGAGCCACAATCTTATCGGTGGAGCACAATATGATTAGTGAGTTTAATTTGAATTGGATAGTTCAACCATTTTGCAGTGCAAAAAATGTTATGTTGTAATAAATTTGTTTCTTACAAAACTGCCTTGCCCCCAAATGACAATAATGAGCACGAGAAAAGTTTACCTACCCACTTGTCAGGCTTTAACACTTTATTTATGCTTATTTGCGTACTATGTAGGTCTAATACCCCCCTACAACATTCCTGTCCTAGTAAAAAAGAGTCAATAGTTACTCCGCAAGTTTGGATTACGGAATAGCTTATAGTCATTACAGTATTCGATTAATAATAATCTTCTTAGCTCCATTACTCTTCATAACCATTCAGTTGGTGTTCAATATGGTAATCTGTAAGAGTGTAAGAGATGATCTGCACCTTTGTTTACCAGTTTTACATGTATTTTTATCCAATAAAATATCTAAATCGTAAATACTTTTTTGTAACATTTCATTAGTTGAATATACCTTAGGTTACCGATTGAATCGTATCAAAAAGTTTAATGTGCGTTTACTTGCGCGAACATGATTTGAACATTATTCCCGCATTCATTACTTAAATTCACTTTTCCGCATTTCAGTGGGTGGAGACCTCAAACCACAAAATGGACATTCTAAATTTTATGATTTGGGCCACATTTTTAAATTAATTTAAACTCTTTAATATATAGAAAGAAGGTATGTTGGTTCATAGATAGACGAACTGACCGAAATAAAGTTCCTACTGGGCTACGGAACCCTAAATTATAATTTTGTAAATATATTCATTCAGGGATGGCTTTTCAGTACAATTTAGATGCATAAGGTGTGCAATTATATCTGTGAATAAATTATTTTAAGGATTTCTTGTATTTTTATTTTTAAAACCTTTATAACGTAACTGGCGGGATATTTAGCTAAAATAACGGCTTAAAACTAAATCAAACTATAAAAAATTAAATTAAAAATACTAATAACCATACTTATAATCAGTATTGTTTATTCAACTGATTTGTTCACACAATATTCAAATTTGATCATTTGGAACATTCTAAACAAGTATTTAAATTTAAGTAGATATTTTAAATACATAAATATGTAATACAACAGTAGCTAAAATCATCAAATTGAGGCAGATATTTCCAAATTAACATAATTTCAAGGCAATCATAATGAGACTCGAACAATTTAAAAAAGTATGTAAGATATTACAAAAATTGTTTCCATAGAACCGTTAGATAACTGTACAGAACTAAATATTAATAACATTAAATTTACAGTAACAAGAATTGTAAAACTATATCAGTCTTCATTCAAACATTAACACATCCAATCTAGATCATGCAACTGTCATCTCAATTTGATATACATACAGATTTACAAATGGTGTTAGTCCTAATATTAATTCTGCCTGTACATTATACAAAATAATAATGACCATGAAACATATTCAGATATTTTGAGTTTAATATAATATTTTATATGCAAAATTAAAATTTTGTAATAGCCATTTTTATGTTGTTCTATCTATTTTCTTTATACGAACACTATGGAATACAGATACATAATTATGGAGCCATATATTACAATGTTGTTGCTATGTGGAGGCGTTTTTATAACTGTAAGCATTTTGCAGTTAGTGCTAATTTGCACTGTATTATTATTACGCGTTTTAAATATTCTTCAACGTAAACCATACATTTCCAACTAAGCTTACACATTTGTGAACACGTAATTGTAATTACGCGTAGTCCTGTGTCTTAATAGTTTGGTCTGGACTATGTTCATTGCAATATATGACTAGGCCTCCTGTAAATCCTGTAATTAATTACAGTACACGGTGGAGACATGGATAATTTGTAAGATAAATTCCTGTGCAAATTATGGACTGTCAATTAAAACAAGCACAATTAGCTTGTGTCATTCCAATATTATCTAGAGATCACATGTATATTTTACAAAAAAAACATCACAATTTCAAACATACAGTATTAAATTAATCACTTGCATAGATAATTGCAAATTGCAATACACAGCTCGATATCACTTTCAAGAGACTAGTGCAGCTTGCTGTCATACAAAATCACAATTTTTAGTTTATTTTATTTACCAATTGGTTCAGATCATGATCTCACAAATGCTAAATACAATTAAATGTTACCTAATTCGTAATTTCAACATAAAAATATCTAATTAAAACATGTCCTGAAAAATTAATAACGTATATGACCCAGTTTGCAAGTTTTTGGTGTCGTAGTTTATCACTAATTCTACTATTTTACACATGTTTAGAACAAAACACATGTCTAAAATCTATCTAAAACATATGAAGACATCTTCATAGTGCTACAATTGCGAGTAGCACCGTTATGTCATCAGGTTTTCCGCCTGAAAATAAAATAAACATAATTTAAAAACTCCAAATAATATGAGAAAAAATAGAAAGATAAAGAAATAGAATAAATGTTTTTTATCTGCATGCAATAAAATAGTCATAAATTAGTAAATAAACAAAAGCCAAAGTTGTTTACAACTTTTCCCACAATTATAGTAATTAACTACAAAATCGTTTGCTACAAAAAATACTTATCAGGACCCAAAATACATATTGGCGTCATATTTTTCTCAGTGTACACAATTTTTTATGAAAATGACCCAGATATGTTTTTGTACCTATCTTTAGTTTTATAGGTAATAATTATAAATACTCTTCCAATTCGTTTTTTTGTGATAGATAATAAATATGTAACATAACAATAACAACTGAACAAGCGATCGACAAGTAAGGAATAACAATAGGAGTTCCGGATGATAATAATAATAAACCTGGATAAATCACACAACTCCATACATGCCCAAGCTAAGCAAAACTTTTATATGGGTACTAAACAACTGATAGACATACTGTTTTTAAATACATATCTAATATACAAAGAAAACAGTTAGAACAATACATACAATTATACTCATATGTACAATATTTGTACCATATGAAAATTCGAGTTCGAAAGTTAGGCTGTATGCTAAACCACTACACAATCGCCGTCGTCTAATATATGCTTAAAATAACTAAAAAAAAATTACATTTATTTCCTGAGCAAATACTACGAAAATGTTTGTTTATCTGTTGCTGATGTAGGCTAGTAAATAATTTATTATGCAAAACTGCATCAGTCATTCCTAAAACATAAAAAATCTTAGATTGTAAATACCATTAATGCGAATAACGCTTGCGATTTTGCAAGAGAATATATTATGAAAGCTAACAGTCAAGATAAACAGCCTAAATGTTAGTACATACCCTAGTGAAATACACAGAGTAAACAATTCTAGTTTAATTATGATTATCGACAAATTTTAATTAAAATGGTCATTGCACTGACTGTATAATTTTCCAGAAAATGTTTTGTCATAAAACTTGCTAATATATCTTTAAAGAAATGCATGGTAATTATATTTAATACGCCGAATTTATAGCAAGAAAACAAGACAAAAGTATCGAGACAAAAAGAATATTATGTTTGTATACAGTCACTTCGTATACACAATAAGTCCTCGTGACTTATACTGGTACTATAACCATTCCCATAATCACCATAATGCCAAAAATAACTTTTATAATATTAGAACATATAACATTGTTTTATGAAGCTTACCAATAGCATCTATGCCATTCTGGCGCGCACTTTTAGCAAATGGTGACATGTAGCAACCATCGAAGGAAAGGTTGCGGGCCATCCACGCTATGGAATTGGCTACGGCTTGCAAACGCTGCGAGTCGCCGGCGACGCCTTGTGCGCGACGCATTTCAGCCAACAGCACAGGCTCGGGGACATTGTCGAACACGCCATCCGTCGCTACTAGTATTACATCGCCACATTCCACCGGAAATTCCAATGTCTCAGCTGACTCGGGCCTGTAGAATTTATTCTTCTATTATAATGCAAACAATTTTTACAAACGAAACTAATATTAATAAATTTCTTCATGCTGTCTGTTTGTATGGTCCTTTATTTAGTACATATATATTATATTCCTGATTTGAAATTGTTAGATTGACTGCTAGATAGAATCAAGCAGCTTAGAAAATTACGAGATCTTAAATTAATTTTATTTTGGAATTACTAGTAGAACTATGATAGATTTTGCAATATAAAAGATCTCTTTTTTCTATTTCTTTTATAATTTAAGAAACTGGTCTAAAACTACTTCAAATCAATAGTAGGTAACTATTAATAGTTTCTAAAACATAGACAATGACAACGCTGTGCTAGATGGACGTACTAACAAACAAAGGGGCAAAATACGGTAATGTTTCATCGTTTTGATTCGAAAATCAAAAGATATATTTTCGTGTGCCATTTCGAAGTTTCCATAGGTTTTTAGGCCAGGCGTAAGACGTAGACGTAAAGCGGGTTCATCAGACAATCGTAGTTTAAAAAATCTTGAAAGCAGGAAAATCGGTTAGGTTCGGTTAAGTATGGCTTGTCACTGGTGACATTTTTATTGGTTTACTATCAAGAGATTGTTATATTTATAATTTCTTTGTTTTATTATTGGTAAGAAGAAATTTCGTGACGTTTTTTCATTATTCTGAAAATATATAATAAAATGAAACCATTGGAGCACGTGAGATCTGGCACCTATCCAATGAGCTAAAATTTCTAATATTAGCACAGGCAGAAATACAACAGTTGTGATTGTGGAATGAGCACATGACTACTGGTCTCGAGGTAGTACGTATGTCTTGTGATTGTGGAAAACATGTAAGTACGTATGTAATGTATATACGTACATAGATATCTATAAACGTACCATACATGTTATGATCACCCGTTACATTATATTAGTAATACTGCACACATGCAAAGGTAATCTATCTATATTAAGCGCAATTCATTATGTAATTAGTGATCGGACATTTCTTCCCGCCAACTGTGAGTATCCCAGTTGACGGCAAGAAAATGTATAAGAAAGATATAGCATTTTATAATCATTCATATATATGCTAGTCTATAAGGTATTTATGATATGGGCCTAGTAGTCTGAAATAAATAGCTGTATATATAGCTATTTATTTCAGACTAATCTACTACTTAATCGACTAATTAATCAAATTGAAGTGTCTGTTTATAATTTTATAATAATTATAATTTCAAATAATAAAATGTTGTTTAATACGAAGATATACAGTAGATATTAAAGACATATATGCTGTATTACGAGTACGGAGGTAGGCTATCTTTAATCTTTAAACAAAGCAGATGAAATCGCGTGTAGTACCTCTAGAAGTTCGTATTATTCAAGTCGCGTATGAAATCTGTTATAAGGAGTAACTTGAGCTACTTGTATTTTAGGAAATAAATTTAATTTAAAAAAAAAAGTTTAATTCTACGCGGATAACAGTTAGTATAAACAGAAAATTCTCAGTGTAGGCGGTGTACAATCATACGATTGTCTTATCGTTTAGGATACGCTATCATGTTTACGCAAAAGATAATGAATAATTTAACACGAGTCTACCTTAAGAATTATTTTATATCATAACATCATTCAGTTATATTAGATATAAATATTTTTTTATATATTAGAAAATTAAAAACGTCACTTTAGGCGATAATTATATTTAATAATATCAGACACATATCTTATAATGAATTTAGACTATAATAATTTAATATTTGAACAACTAGAAAATTAAATATAATAAAAATGATGATGTAAATTATTAATTTTGTCACAGTTTTTTTGCAATGCTAGTGACGTTGTATAATTGAAAACCATACATTTAATAATGCGATAATTAATATAAAAGTGCCATTTCAATAACATAACATGAATATTATTTTGGTCTTTATAAATTTCTATATTTTTTATGACATGGACCTAAACATAATGCTATTCGGGAGGCGTGAATGAAGAAACGTTAATACTTGCATGTATTGGTGTATTATCAATATAACTAAAAAAGACCATACCATTATTTTTACAGATATTTAATATAAATGAAATTTTTTTTATTTTTTGTTGGCCAGAATTTATATTATAAAACATACACTAAAAAAATATAGAAACTATTTATAATTTTTGTAAATATGATTTTATATAACACAAATAAAATTAACCATACATTATAAATTTTCAGAATACGAGATAATGTTTTCATCGCCTCTGTTAATCATATAACTGGACGATGACCTGTCATTTGCCAACCTTCGCTGTACAGTTCTTTTTGAAACAATTCCAGATTCCTGTACTATCTGAAAAAATCCATTTTCTTTCTGTTTTGCAAGCAGATATCTCGAATTTTCCTATCGGAACGTGTTGTTGTGATACGTTTTCTGCCACATTTGAAATGTGATGATCTAAATTTATTTTTATTTTATTGACGGCAGATTTCGATATATTTTATCATCCTCAGAGTGAATTGTGTGTAGGAGAAGGGTTTTACATTTTTTTCTCGTTCAAATCTACTCGACCCATAGCCAAAGCTGATAATATAAAAATAAATTAAAATTGTTCTAAAATCCGCTCCAAAATCCTTTAATTTTAATTATAGTAAAATATTACTTACTCGCAGGTATTGATTATTTCACAAAACCACTAAAGAACTGTTTAAAAGAATAATTTACGTGTTTCACTTTTACACGTGTGAACGGTGTGTGTCTCTCCCGTCATTAAAATATATTAAAATAAACAAATCTCTCACAGAAATTCACTTTGAATTTGAGTTATAGAGACAAGGTGAACATAAAAACATATCAGAAAAAATTTTACCACTTAAAAACGTAGTCAAGACCTATCTTGAAGAACAAAAATTATAAAAAATGTGACTGTCCCTATTAATTTGGCAACCCACTGTAGATATAAATATTTTTTTATATATTAGAAAATACAAACAGTCAATAAGAAGGAGGCATATTATTGCTATTTTAACATAACTAAATTAAATATACTGTAAGATCATGTATTATTAATTTTGAACAGTTTTTCAATGCTGGTGACGTTGTATAATTAGAAAAATGAATAATAATGCGATAATTAATATAAAAGTGCCATTTCAATAACATAACATGAATATTATTTTTCTTTATAAATTTCTATATTTTTTACCTACCTACTATAATGCTACTGGGAGGCGTGAATGAAGAAACGTTAAGCATTAGTGGTGTATTATACAATTAACTAAAAAAATCCATACTATCTACTGGATATGTATATAAAGAAGTTTTTTTTATTTTTGTACGTTTATATTATAAACTACACTATAATTCAACTACTGCATCGATTTTAAAAATACTTACAACATTATAAATTAGAATAGGGATAATGTATCCCTAACATATAGCTATATTTGTTACAGGAAAAAAGGTATAAAAGAAATTGGCATAGAATATCTTTCATCGCATACGCTGTAGAAATGAAATGTGTGAAACAAAGCTGGAACAGGCCGCTAATATATTTTAATATCATGAATTGTCGTTAGTCGGAATACATTTGGTCCGTTACTACTAAACGACTGAATGAATTTGAATAAAATTAGACCTGAAGATAAATTGTATCACGGGGATAGGATATGCTAACTTTTATCTCAAAAAATAATATGGAGGTGGATGAAACTTACTGCAGACGTAGTTGCGGGTAACAGTTGGTATCTGATGGTTTTAGATAAATACAGAAATACATGTAACAGTGATAACTGATAGCATTACCCTTTAACCGCACCTATCTTTGATTAATATAATTGAGTAAATCATGTCAACATTTTTTATTACATGTTATTCGTTTATAATACAAATATTTCTGATATCTCTTACTTTGCATGGATTTTCACCGTAGTAGTTATATTATCTTAAATAATGTTTATATCATATAGTATAGTATCAAAGTACACATCAAAAGCGAAATGGTAATGCGCACTAGGCTTCCAAAAGTCTTTTAATACCTATCTATACAAATAAAAAAAAACTTTTTGTAATTACAAATTAACAGCGTTTCTATACGCTACTTACAACTAAAAATAAATTTAAAAAATTTGTCTGGTTGTACTTGCTAATTTCTGAAATCGCTGGACCTATTTTGATAGGCTTTTCACTAGCAAATACTTAATGTATTAAGGAGCAAAGTAATTACAACTGCTATTATTTTAAAATTTATTTATTGTAATAAAAAAATATGTTGAATTCCACCCGAACTAAGTCGTAGGTAACAGTTGGTACTTCTTACAATAATAATATTATAAACGCGAAAGTTTGTGAATATTGATAGATGTTTCTTATTCTTTCAAGCAAAAACTACTAAACTGATTTTAATGAAACTGTAGTATCTGTTTGTAATATTGAACGGTTACTTCAATGTTACAAACAGACACAAAATTTTTATTTATACATATATAGATGTATATATTAATATCCGTTCAGGCTTTTGGTCGTGAAAAGGCAACAAACAAACAGACAGACAGTTTTTACTACATGCATATGAATATAAATATGGTACACCAAAATAACATTTTTTACAACTTTTATCTGTCTGTCTGTTTGTTAAATTGGAATATTTTAGTATTCAATGATTTCCTACCCATTATTTTATCATCCACTCGTCATTACCAATTATGATGAGGCTTTAATATACAAACAATTTTTTTTTTAATGATTGATAATGGAATGGTGTACCCGCCTGCGCTAACGGTATACGCTGGCGGGGCACCAGTGGAGGGTGATAAGATGAGCATGAGGTCAGGTCAGTTAGCCCATCATAACAAATTCAACAATAATTTATCACGATGGTTTCCAGAGGGAACCGCGTGGAGGTCAACCTTACATGGTACATTGCTAGCAATGAGATCATCAGTCCACATTACTAACAATCCTCTTTCCCCCCCTATACAAACTATTTTGGATCATCACATGATCAGGCGACTGCTTTTAGCTTACCTTAAGCAGTTGAAAATAAAAAAATAAGAACTAGCTGAGTTGGCTCTAATCCAAAACAAAAAAAAATCTATTTATTTCGTGATGTTTAAAAATAAATAACTGTGTTGTTATTCGATGTTTCGTTTATTATATCATACTATTTTGGCTATTAGCTTTAGTAAGTTTCATTGTATTATATTCATTCTAATATTGCTAATGAGTTTCTCTATGTCTATTTATTACCTTTTCACAAGTAAAGATCCCAACGGATCGTAGGTAAAATCGTGAAGAGATATTGTATCATGAGAACTGACCTAAGATATCTATCATCACAAGAAAAGCAGACGAACGTCGCAGTTAACAGCTAGTATTGCATAAATTAAATTATAATATTCGTTTTGGAACTCTCTAATAATACGTCATTTGAGGTTTTCTAAATAATAACTTTATAAATTTGTGTTACTAGTCTGGATAGGTATCAACGTCTTATCTGTTTGTGCTATGAAGCATTAATGTGGGTGGTAATTGTTTCTGTTCGACGGGTTAAAGATTGTCAATACAATCGGTCCTATAATAAGGCAGCTCATTAGGGGTTATAATGAGTCTATAGATATATATTTTAAATTAAACAGTTACAAACACTATCGTTATAGAGGGATGTTAAATGGTTCTATTTCTTTCTATACTAATATTACAATGACGAAGAAAGTTTTGACTATAACGAAGACACTTAGGAAATATTTAACAGATTGAAAAATTATTTCACCTATAAAAAGCTACTATTAGCTATTATTAGCCAGAAGTATGGGCTATTTTATCATACTAGATCTCGTGCGGAACCAGAGTTTTTTAAAAACTGCAATATTCTACAGCCAATCTTCATCCTCAAAATGTGACGACTAGATAAAAAAAATGCTATAGGAAATTGACAAAATTGTCTTTCAGACATTTTAATTTATATATCGCACGAATATTATAATTATGTGTACAAGGATTCACATAAAATTTATAAATACTTATTATAATTAAACTTTTTTGGTAATTACATGATTTTTGTGATACTGCAAGAAAATACTGACTTATAAGTCAGACACAGGTGAAGGATAACTCAAAATACAAATCTATATCACACCATCTGATCAAGGTAACATGACCCGTAGTGGGACGATAATGGATTGTCATCAGTAATATTTTATTTAAAAGGCTCAACTGGAGATAGACAAAATAAAAAAATATTTATTTAATAACACTCACCTGTCACTTAGCACATTCCGGTCGTGTCCCGGGGGTGGTAAACTGAGTTGGTATGGCGTATTAAAGTAGTGTTGCTGCTCGTGGGAACGGTGTACGACGCGTCCGCCTCGCACCACCATGTATCCGCTGTCGCCTATGTTGGCCGCGCGCATCACGCTCTCGCTGCGGTCCAGGATCATCACACAGGCTGTGCTACTACCTGTAATAGTACACAATCAGTGAGATTGACATACCAAACCGTTGGTATTTTGTATTTTTACACATTTTATAAAAATGTATAGTTACAATTATTTAAAAAAACAACACGCAAGTTATTGATCGTCCTTCTTGTGAAGAGACAGCTTTCGGAATGAGTGGTAGATTAAAAAAATACGTATGACTATTCACGAGAGTTTAAATTTACATTTATTTGAATAAAGAATTCTCTATTCTAATTATTAATATTTCGCCATGCTTCGATTTAAAATCAAAATCAAGACCATTTTTGTCAGATATACATGTATTTATAATATTATTGTAAAGAACTACAAAGTTATTATCAGTAAAACTTTTAACTCATATGTATCAACTTTGGTTGTGTGTATAAGTTAGAAATGTCATCCCATTTTTACATCCCACATACCTCATCATTTCATCAATTCTATTTCAGGTGAAAAATTGGAGGTACTCACAACTGATAAAATGATGAACTTCCTTTTTAGATCAGAGAAAGATCAGACTTATCAGTTTATTTTTTTTAGAATAGAAGAATGATTCTACATTACATTATATACATACCTAATATAGGTTTCTTATGTTCCAATAATTCGTAATACGACTTAGCTAACAGATCGCTAGGTTCTGATAGTTTGAAATGGCCCATCTGAACGAGCCTTTCGCAGGTTTTCATGAGATACGAGGAGAATTCGCCCGGATCGATGCCATACGCACGCCAGCCTCCCACGCCGTCTGCGACCCCTGTCAAGAAGCAGAAATTGTAAACAAAAATAAAAATTAAGAAAATTATGTTATTTTGTAATAAATACCACCTTTTATTCTAAGATATTTGCAATCAGTCCTAAGACAATCAGTGAATCCATTGGTTAACTATCCATTCTAACAGATTTTAGTTATTGAAGAATATAGAATATATATAGAGGCAAATCAGCCTTCTTCAAAAATTCATTGTTTATTTCAAATTGAATGTTTTGATTTAGAATGCACAAATTCACAGTAATTTATAAAGCCACATAGAATGAAAAAAACTTCAGTAAGTTTTATTTACAATACAAACTTTTTACCACCATCATAATTAGTTGTAACAGGGATCTCTAGATTACTGTTCTTAGGTAGCAATAAAGTAGTACTAATCTTGAAATGATGAAGTAGGCTATTCTATTCTATTCTAAAAAATAAATAGCTTCTAAACATCAGTCTCTTTGACTAAGAAACTTCTAATATACAGCTACCCTGACACCCATTTGAACTTATGATGTAGTGCTCAATCTTTTGAACAAGTATAGAAAATATTACTATTCAAAAGTGGTTCAAATTCATTGTGTATGATAATAATAATATCTCAGGACAATTCACACAACATTATATAGTCCCAAGGTAAGCAGAGCTTGTGTTATGGGTACTAGATAAATACATTTTTTAGTAAAGGCACACAGACAACACACAGACAAACAATCATACTGATGAATATAAATGTCAGTATCATGCCATGAATCCAATCAGCAATAAAGTGGTGTGATAAACCACTAAGCCACTAAGACCCTCAAAAAATCTTTGAATGATTTTTTTTTCTATTCTATTTAATTTTAATTTTGTGAAGTGTTGTAATCAATTTTAATGTCACCTAGCAACCTAAATGTTGGACTCAAATAACAGTTTAAAGGTAAAATTGCTGGTGTCCATATATATATATATATTCACTTTTAAAGACTTATGCAAATTTTAGCTAAGAATATATCAGGTAAACTCACAAAACAATAAAAATACTGTATATCCATATATATTGTTATATGACTATAAAATATATTGGTCATCTTTAAAGAGGGATGACAACAATAAAAAATGACTAAATATTATAAGTTAGTTGATTCGAGTATGAATATAGTTTTTTATTGTTATTATAGAATATATGGGCGGATAACATAAAGATGTGGATCAACATAAAGATTACAAAATAGTCCGTATACTAAAACTACAATATATATTATATTTAATATATTTTTTATGTACCTACCAATAACATCCGCATTGTTACAATTGGTAGAAAACCATGCGTCGTCTCCGAATTGACCTTTGCGAGATCTTCCATTGCTAATGTCTTTAGGAAAACCACATACCACTGACACTAAATATGGATGTTTTTTATTCGAAACGTTTAATTCAGCAGCACTAGAGAAATTGGAAAGCCCATTTCTTATAGCACGTGATAGCACTCTACCTGTCCAGAATATAGACTGCATCATTCATTTAGTTGTTTTGTACTTTGATACCAGCCATTCACAATCTAAGAAACGACTTAATTGACACCATTTTTATTGAAATACACATAAAACACCAACAGTAATTGTATATTTTATACTTAATATATATCCAAGATTACAGATATTTTAAAATTGTAGGGGCATTTTAGATATTTCGTATTTGTCTGATTTGATAATTTGTTTGAGTCTCGTGATCGTGACTGACTATGTGCAATGCGCGAATACAATGAGACCATCACAAAAATGTTAAAATCACAAATAAACAGGAGTGCCAAAATAATAATATTATAGTAGACTAAAACCTAGTCATTTTCATCAAGCTGTCACTGTCACAAATTGACAACTACCGAATACTGTATCAAACGAATTAAAATACCGAATACTGTACCGAATACTGTACCGAATACTGTATGTATTCCGTAAATTCTAACTAAATACCACAATCATTGTGATATTTACTTAGAGCTTACTTTACTCTTCGGGTTAGCGAAAAATATCTCAGAATGAGTAAGGTGTTCGTGATCATTACCAAGGAAAATACAATAGAAATTGTATGACAGAATAAAGAGAACTATTATTTTAGAACTAGTCTTAAGTCAAAAAAAGAGTCTATTATTTACCACAATTTTGTTCCTTAATATTATATAACATTATGGTAACAAACCATTATTGACTATCTCACAATTCAGTCAAACAAAAGTTTCATCTCTATTCCAATTGACTACGTACTTTTTTTTTCTCTTCTTTTGTACTACATACTTTATGGCACTTCATGATATTGATCCATAAACAAAGTATACGGTCTAATTCTGACGTTTCAATTTTTTTGCAATCTATGGTTATGGAAGGCGTTGTAGAAGAAAGTTCGGCTTCATCCATCGTATTAATTTTCAATGACGGCCTTTGATTGATTTATATAAATCGAACAAGATATACCTTCCATTAAAATAGTACATTAGTGTTAGAGACAAACATCCACAATTTTTTTTAATAAGTGTGAGCAAAAGGCCTAAAACTGGTGTTCGATAAGTCACTTGGCAATATGCCTGCCGTGAGGGGCGATGGAATGCGAGGACTCGCAGTCTTCATATCTGATATAAGGAACTGCAAAAGTAAAGAAGCGGAAATAAAGAGAATCAATAAAGAATTGGCAAATATAAGAAGCAAGTTTAAGGGTGACAAAACTCTCGATGGGTATCAAAAGAAAAAATATGTCTGTAAACTTCTGTTTATCTTCTTACTGGGACATGACATTGATTTTGGACACATGGAGGCAGTTAATCTACTGTCTTCTAATAAATATTCTGAGAAACAGATTGGTTACCTTTTTATATCGGTCCTGGTCAACACCAACAGTGATCTGATTAAGCTCATTATTCAGAGCATTAAGAATGATTTACAGTCCCGTAACCCTATTCACGTCAACCTTGCTCTGCAATGTATTGCTAACATTGGTAGTAAAGATATGGCAGAAGCTTTTGGAACTGAGATACCGAAGCTTCTGGTCTCTGGTGACACTATGGATGTAGTTAAACAATCTGCTGCACTTTGCTTACTTCGCCTGTTTCGTAAATCACCTGAAATTATTCCTGGGGGTGAGTGGACTTCTAGAATAATACATCTTTTAAATGACCCACACATGGGTGTGGTAACTGCGGCCACCTCCCTTATAGATGCTCTTGTTAAAAAGAATCCAGAGGAGTATAAAGGATGTGTAACATTAGCTGTAGCCAGATTAAGTCGAATTGTGACTGCCAGCTATACCGATTTACAGGATTACACATACTACTTTGTACCAGCTCCTTGGTTATCTGTAAAATTATTAAGGCTACTCCAGAATTATACTCCTCCCTCAGAGGAGCCTGGTGTACGAGGACGTCTTTCTGAATGCTTGGAAACCATTTTCAATAAAGCGCAAGAACCACCCAAATCAAAGAAAGTTCAACACTCAAATGCCAAAAATGCAGTATTATTTGAAGCTATAAGCCTCATTATCCATAATGATAGTGAACCCAATTTGTTAGTGCGAGCCTGTAATCAACTGGGCCAATTCCTCAGCAATCGGGAAACCAACCTCAGATATTTGGCTCTTGAATCAATGTGCCATCTTGCAACATCTGAATTTTCACATGAAGCAGTTAAGAAACACCAAGAAGTTGTTATTCTCTCTATGAAAATGGAGAAAGATGTGTCAGTTCGACAACAAGCTGTGGATTTACTATATGCAATGTGTGATAAAACAAATGCTGAAGAAATTGTTCAGGAAATGTTGGCTTATTTGGAAACTGCAGATTATTCTATTAGGGAAGAAATGGTGCTGAAAGTTGCCATTTTAGCAGAGAAGTATGCTACTGATTTCACTTGGTATGTTGATGTTATTCTCAACTTGATAAGAATTGCAGGAGACTATGTTTCAGAGGAGGTCTGGTATAGAGTCATACAAATTGTTATAAATAGAGAAGAAGTACAAGGATATGCTGCAAAAACAGTTTTTGAAGCTTTACAGGCACCCACATGCCATGAAAACATGGTAAAAGTGGGTGGATACATACTTGGTGAATTTGGTAATTTGATTGCAGGAGATACTCGATCCTCACCCCAAGTTCAATTTGAGCTGCTTCATTCCAAATATCACTTATGTTCTGCTGCAACAAGGGCTCTCTTACTATCAACATATATAAAACTTGTGAATCTCTTCCCAGAAATTAAAAATCGTGTACAAGAAGTTTTTCGTGCTGACTCCAATCTTCGCTCAGCTGATGTTGAATTACAGCAGCGGGCATCAGAATATTTGCAACTGAGCATAGTAGCTAGTTCTGATGTTCTAGCAACAGTCCTTGAAGAAATGCCTGCATTTCCAGAAAGAGAATCATCAATACTTGCTGTATTAAAGAAGAAGAAGCCTGGACGTATACCTGATGATGTAAGAGAATCGAAAAGTCCACAACCATCTGGTGTCCCAACTGCTATTATTAATTCCACAAACAATACCAATAGTTCCAGTGCTGATTTGCTTGGCTTATCCACACCACCCGGAACTACATCTTCTGCTACAGGTAATGGACTGCTTGATGTCTTTGGGGATTTATACAATGCTCCTAAAACAAGTCCTAGCACAATACAGCAAAATAACATTAAAAAATTCTTATTCAAAAATAATGGAGTTCTTTTTGAAAATGATTTAATTCAGATAGGGGTTAAGAGTGAATTTAGACAGAACCTGGGAAGAATTGGCTTGTTCTATGGAAATAAGACACAGTTTGCAATTCAAAATGTCCGTCCTGAATTACATTGGACTGACTCACACAAACTTAATGTGCAAATGAAGCCTATGGAACCAATACTAGAAGCAGGTGCTCAAATTCAGCAAATGTTAACTGCAGAATGTATTGAAGATTTTCCAGATACACCAAGCATGTCCATTTCTTTCATGTTCAATAATGTACCACAAAAAATTACCATGAAACTTCCACTTACACTAAACAAATTCTTTGAACCAACAGAGATGAATGGTGAATCATTTTTTGCACGATGGAAAAATTTAGGTGGTGAACAGCAAAGAGCCCAAAAGATATTCAAAGCTCAAGGTGCAATTGATTTAACTGCTGCTCGTACTAAACTAGCTGGCTTTGGAATGCAGCTTTTGGATGGTATTGATCCAAATCCAGATAATTTTGTATGTGCTGGTATTGTACATACAAGAGTTCAGCAAGTGGGATGCCTCATGAGATTGGAACCGAATAAACAAGCTCAAATGTTTAGGCTGACGGTAAGATCTAGCAAAGAAACAGTTTCACAGGAAATCTGTAATCTGTTAGCTGATCAGTTCTAAATTATTTTGATATAAAGGACCATTTATATGAACAACATTGTTAAACAATGAAATTGATGTTATTTAATTAATATTTGCCTAGAGATTCACAATGTTTATTTGTAAAGTTGCCAAGTGCAGTTTTAGCTTATGAACAATGCAATACACTTGTGAATGTTGCACTGATACTCAGTAAGAAATATAAAATATACAATAGATTTTTTTTACTTCTTACTTTTGCTGCTAATGTAACTTACTTCATTTCCTCTAAGACAGCTAGCAAAAATTAACAACTTTGTAAATGTCTGTTGTTAATATTTATCAAATGTGTAAATTCGTTATGTATACTCCTTTTCTCAATTACTATCTATTTAGTAATTTTAATATTCAACTTCATTGTTGTTTAAATACTACTACATATATCTAAATTAGGAAATACATTTTTTTTATTTTTGTTATTATATAAATGTGTTACATACGTTATGTTGTGTACCAAACTTATATTTTATTTGTATATAGTTTCTGATTGAGATAAGCTCAATCCTGATTGCATAAGCTTACAACTTTTCAACAATTTACTTCATTAAAATGTGAATAATCTTTTGTTTCCATAACTTTAATTATATTATTAGTAGTGATTGATAAACATAAATATACCAAAAATAGGTGTAGTCTTTGGCATTTGTCATTATACATCAAAATTTATATCAATTGAAATCGCATCCTCCCTATAAATGTTATTTTAATACCGAATTTTATCATTTAAAACTGGTAGTCATTATTTTAAAATATGTGAGTTGTTAAATTGTAATTGGAACACTGTTCCTCTCATGCACATCAACTCAAATTTATTTATATGTAATGTATAAAGTACTCATGCATTATATTTGTGTACATATACACTATTGCTTATACAAATTAATTTTTATTTTGTTAATTTTAAGAGAATAATTATATCTATATATTTAAATTATTTAAACCAAATTCTTATCTAAATTGTGGAATTATACTATACAGTCGTAGTTATATCCCAGTAATAGCTACTTTTATTAGCTATATTTATTAACAGACATTCCTAACAAGTCTCAAACTTATTTTGCAATTGTGATAAATCTATATGTAGGTGCGTATTTATGTATATCACGATCTATATGCTATTCATAAATCGGTGATATACTTGTTTATTGATATAGTACGTAGAAACTATATATATTTTTATGTAGCTTTCACCACTAATGATGAGTGTTATCACGAGTGAGGTTACAAGTGTAGAGTAATTTTTATTTGTATGTCACCTTTGGTTCCTTTATTTGTACGCAATAGATATATTTTCTATAGGTGGTGCGTCAGCATCTGATCCATACATGTTTATTGTCTAATCTAGTAATAACTCGGATTCCGTTATTTCTATCCCTACATCTATGTTACTGTGTTTTCGGAATCTCAACAAAATGTTGTATTTATGTTCCACAAAATTATAGACTGTAGAATTAGACAAATTAGTATTATAAAAATCAAATGTTATGAAATCTGTAGACGTACTAAGACTTTCTTTGCATGATAGATTGTATAAGTGATGAGTAATAAAGTAATATATATCATTTCAAACATTTATTGCATTCTATATGTTAAGATGTGGTATAATAACCTTTATATGTATATTATGAATATGAATTTTAATAGTGTAATGCTTGGTATACTTATTGCATACGCATCGCATATTGTGGGGTTATCAATGTACAATATCGCATGTGAAATTCGAGTGTATGAAATATAGATATAGATGTTTGTTCTCGCGCTTCTAAATCATATAATTGTCGGAAATACATATTTATCCAATACTTAATTATTATTTTTTATTTAAATCTACCCTTCATTCCTTCATGCAATAATCTTCGGTTAAATCGTTAAACTGACATGGTACATGATAGCAATCGACCCATTTGTCACTAATAACATTTACTAACATCCTTACCTCTTAGTAAAAATATCGGTTAATTATGTTACAATAGTGTAACATAATTCTTAGTCATGAACATAACAATATTGAGTGTATTATAAGTAAAACTTTTTTTTATAATTGGAATGGCAAGCAAGGTCAACGTGATAGGTAAGACAGATGACTGTACACAGTCTACCTCTATTCCGTACCACAGGAATCATACGATAATGTAATGTACTGTTCTTGTGTACAGTGTGATGTCACATTAAGCGTATCCGTAAAGCAGGTTGATTGGTCTTCAGCGGTTCATAAATCCTTACTTTTGAGATCACTCTGCACTCGGAAGCTCAGTCCGGATATGCTATGAAGGCCATCTGCGGTCAACAGAATTAGAATACTTCGAAAAAAAACTAGCATACAAATGCTCCTGACATTTGTCAATTTATGATGTAGTTTAAATCATGAAGATATACCGGTTAAAATCATAACCCTCATTTATCCATCTACGGCGATGAAAAAAATTGGTAAGACGAAAAATGGTACAAATTTTGATAGAAACAAAACAGGTATATATAATTTTTCAGAAACTGAATTATGGAATTGTTACTTGCAATAATACTGCAACATGGGAAAACATGATTAGTAATTATAATTCATAACTACATAAAAATGGGCAACAAAGCTTGATATTAATGATCACAATGAATATATAATAGTTTATTCAGTCAATAAAATTTGAGCAGATAAAATTATTCTGCTTTTAAGTAGTTGAAACAGAATATTACGAATATCTCAGATGGTAAACATCTGGTATCCCGTAATATTCTCTATTTTCATGTTTTTAATAATTAACATTCTGTTTGTGCTTTAATACATATAATATAAGTTTAGAATCTTTAAATCACTTTGTAATACACACTTAATAATCAGTAATTAAATACTAGTACTTTCATTTATTCAGCTTTAGTTAAAAAAATATATTTTTCACAAAATGTTCTATCAAATGTGCTGTTCAAGCCACACAACTGTATCTAATCAAACCATTCTTCAACATTTGGAGAATTTTCTAACACATCATTTGATTCACTGAAAAAAAAAGCAAAATTACATCAATAATATGCATAATTTTAATTAAGTCAGCATTTAAATAGAATTCAGCTTGAATTGACTCTGCTTTATTTTGAGATGACCTCTGATGTTTGATACTGATTTGCTATACATGATATTACATTAGTCTTTTATTAATAAATACACACCTATCAAGTGAAGGATCATTACTAAACATTTCTGTGGGCACAGTGGGCGGCGCTCGTTCAGGTAAGAGTTCTAAATAAGATTGCCGAGATTGTAAGTGACGTTCTACTTCTTCAGGCGTCATATGTCCGTCGCTAGCCGCTACGCCGAAACTTAGAGCAGGAGATACTTTAGACAACATGGCCCCACTTGTAGGGTGCTAAAATGAAAATAAATAACAATTTTCATTTTTAATCAGTAATATCAATCAATATCGACAAAATATAAAAGGCATTTTTGAATACTCAAACAAATCTTCTTCGTAATCAGTAGAGTTAGTTTTTACAAGTAGAGTAGTTACAAATTTAAGTGATAAATTATTACTTACGAGATGACTAGCGTTATGGCCTTTTTTAGGTACTACAGCTCTTTTTCTCTTTGTAGCATTGGGTCCTTTTGCAAGCGCAGACGGCGTAGAAATATGTGCAATACTTCCATCTGGATTTTTTTTTCTAAAATCAGAAAATGATGAAAATGGGGTTAATATATATTATATTTCAGTAGATGTTAAGTTTTTAGTTAGTACTATGATATGTACTTGTAATTGTGTTGGTTATGATATGTACTTGTATGGTTCTGAATATTTTTGATTTATTTTAAGACTAACATTATGTTAATTGTGATTAATAGTAGTAAATGCTGCAACAACTATATTAAGTTGTGCCTATGTGTATTAATTACCAAGTCTATCAAATGTCATTCATATTCCTTCACATACTTAACTGTGACTGAATAACAAAACCCAATGCACTCATTACCATATACATTAATATAAAAACTACTTGTATCCCATGACATTATATACATGTGTATAAAGTTTCTGAAAGACTAACAAACACACAACAATCTATTCAAACAAACTTTCAAATATTTTTCTTTAGTGGAAACTAAGTATAGGTATAATTATTGTAATACAATATTAATAATATTACCTTTTCATGTTATCATGTCGATTGTAATCTGTATCATCAGATGACTCTGTATCATCACTCTCTGATGTGGTACTCTCATGCTTTTCATACTGCAGTAGCCTATCTAGCAAGAAACTGCGATCTCTGGATACCTTTAACAATCTTTTTTGACCACATCTAAGAGCATCTTGAAAACACTCATTTTCCTGAAATGATGTGATTTGATGTTTTATAAGAGATATAAAATTTAACATTTTTCAAATTCTACTTTTATTAACAATGTACTATTACTGGTACTGATGTTAATAATGGGCTTCCCCATTAATATTATAATTATTTATTTTCTATATTCCCAATATTACTGAGGACTAATACAAACCTGAATTTAATAATTACATATTAAAAGTAAATTAGTACTAAGTATTAATTTGAAAAATATACTGTGTTGTCCAAGATAAATAAATGTAATGAGTAAATATTAGCAATTAGTTGTACATAGATTATTAATCTATAATATAATATTTATAAATATGCTACTAATAATAATATGTATAAATACACATTGCATTTAGTTTTTAGTTAATTACCATATTTAATATTTTTTACAACAGACTTTGTAACAAGTCTGTATGAGTATCTTTGTCAGAGCTGTGTTTCTGATGGAGGGTGAGAGACAGATATGGTAGTGAAATTACAGATTAACCAGGAATGACATCTTAGTCATCATGGATGGGTACCATGCATAAAGTTATCACAGGTGTTTATGTGTTCAACATGTATATGTACATGATTGCCTATGGGCAATGGTTGCCACTTACCATAAAGTGTGCTGTCAGCAAATTTACTGAAATTAATAAATATAAATAAAATAATCACACAAACTTACATAGATAAGGTATTTCAATTTTTTCTTCAAAGCAATATACTGAGCTCTATAGTTAGGTTCAGGGTCTGTCTCACTACTGCTCTCACTTGAATAATTCAGGGACTCCTGTGTATGAGCAGTTTCTGTTGGTGTATTGTTACTTACACTTGCTGCTTCATTTGCTTGCATATTCGCTATAGAGCGACAGTACCAGCCATCCAGCATCTTCTAAAATATTATAATACAAAATATAATTATGTTAAGGTTGTCAAATTAGAACATACTAAAAATGTGTCTTGTCCCATTACTTAAAATACTTTGTACTATAACTTACTATTTACTAAAATAGTATCTATGATATCACTACAGCGAAGAATTAATTTTTGTTTTGAAATGGATTCACCAAAAATTATTAAGAATATTTACGGAAAATATAATATTTATTACCTTAGGGTAATTTTCTGCCGCCAGGGTGATGTATATAATTAACTACAATCAGTAAAATATTTTAGATTATGTTTACTAGAGTTATTCTTTACTATTATTCGTTATAGAATGTTGACAGAAGGACACAAATGAATCAAAAGAAAAGTATTTTATTTTATCTAATATGATATAACAGCAAAACAGAAACCTTTAATACAATGTTAAGCAAATAGCAAATAAATAAACAATATATTTGGAACTGTCTTTAACGAAAACGAAACCTACAGTCAAAATAAATTACAGATCATTCAATGATTTTTTCTGATCTGTGCATGAAGCTGTGCGACATACGACAGATATTGTCTATAGATTAACTGGGAACCAATTTATATCAAGAAGAACATAAGAAAGACTAACGAATCGAAACCGAATAACTCCTGTAACTATTAAATCACCCTTTGTAACTATGATTTAGTCATCAAATTAATGTACTAAAAAAAAGTGATTGAACAATTTTAGTAAATTAGTTAAATTTAAAAAGTCTCCTTAACGAGAGTTAACAAGTATGTTTGGCCAAGGCCACTGGACTAAGCTACAAAAACCACTAAGTAAAATAAAAATGTATTTTAATGAAATCACTAAAAGGACAATTAAATTATAATACATTTAGTGGTGAAAATAATAAGATGGCAACACTGACGTACCCCATTTATTAGATTCCGAGTAACACCTCCATATACATTGTTATAACGACTTTATGGGCGTTCTAAATCTATAGTTTTTATTTAGAGAATAATAATAAAAGATATCGAAAGCACAATATATATATACTACGTAACATGGACGAGGACAACGTCTACTACAGATTAGAAAATGTTAAGTCAGAAGTTAATTAATCTCTATGGATAGGCTATTTTCTGCCATTCGATTTCTATTTTTATACTGGTAATAATTTTAAAGCTAAGAAAAGGACAGAATTTCTTATTAGGAAGTTTCATGTAAACACTTGTTAAATTAACTTCAGAGCTGAAAGAGAAAAGAAATTTAATGCTCATGACATAAGGTTCGAATTATTTTTATACATAGAATGAATTGCACATTCCAGTTATATAGTACATAAATTGATTGTTCTGCCCAACACTCGAATGATACAAATTCATTTCAAGTAATTCAACTTGTTCCATCAATGTCAGTCAAAATTCGACCTTACGTCTACCGCATGTGCTTTTTCAGCTGAATGTGGAACCGTGCTCGTCGCGGTCAGTCATTATTGGATTGATTCCCCGTATTGTGATGGCTCTCGGTAGTGAAGTGAATGATAGCTCCTCAAAAAACTGCTCACAAAAAGTGAAAAAATGCCCAGCTAATAGTAATGTGAACGAACAAGGTAATACCGAAAATGTCGGCAAAGGTAAGTTTTCAACGATCATGTCCTTAGTTATGTAACGTAATTTTTTTACTAGCTGTATTTAATAAGTTATCTTTTGCAAAATCGAGATATATTTTAATGGTTGCATTAGAATCAGATGCATTATCGTCATGTGACCCGTTCATATCATGTGATAGAGAAAGAATACGTTACCTGCTGACCGATAATTAAAGTTCCTGTGAATATTTTGTTGTTCGCAAATCTATCTCAAAGCCAGTAAAAATGTCATTGAGGTCGTCATATCACTGTACTTAGTGGTACTATATTGCAAAAAATAATAGTAATTGTTATTACATCAACTTCATCAATTGCTTAAAGGCAACATTACACAACGTTCCGCCTATATTGCATACGGAACACGGGAATATAAATAAAGATAATAAGCAAATGAAATCTCCCTGCCTCTAACCGAACTTGAAGATTTATTGTAAATTGAATTATTTTAATTAAGTATAGATTTTTAATTATAAAAGTGTCTATTATATACATTTGTTTATTTTATATGAAAATAAATATTATAATGTTGTATCTTAGTTAGAACAAAAATCTATATATATATATATATATATATATATATATATATATATATACATATATATTTCATTTAATCACAGAAACAGAATGTCATAATTTTTAAGAGCATCATTACTGCCATAAATTAGGTTTCAAAAGATACAAACCTAATTTATAATACAGAGTATATGGCAATATAATTTATAGTCATTTATTTTTTTAAAAGTAGTATTATATGTGTTTAATAACAGGTTTTATATATTAATTAATGACTTATAATTTTTGTTTAATTCATGTGTCAAATTAAACTCTCTTCTTTAAATTCTAACATTAGGAGGTATAACAACTACAAATACATACAATACTTGTATAAATGCGACATAGGGCATTGTATATAAGTGATAAATAAGTAGTAATTTAACAATAAACTTTTATGTGTATTGGTTTGTCTCTATGGCCTTAATTAATATTTGTCAGGCAAGTTATCATCAAGACATAAAATAGGTCAGACTCATACTAACTTCATCACCAGATTAAGGTTGGGTATTCAACATTTATGTGATCAAATTGTTTTTATAAAGAAGTAATTGTTAGAAATATTTATTTATTGTCTTTATTTGTTAAACAAGATGGTTCTTAATTTACGTCCTAGGAACATTTTTTTAAATGTCATAAATACACATTTTACACAAGATTTAAAGGAAGTAGGTAATATAGATAATTTACCACAAAAAAAATGAATAATTTTGTGCAACCATTCTACTATGTCAGTGTTACCCATACTGGTTTTTTATAAATCATATTGCATTTGTTTTAAATAAAACTTGCCTATTAGATATTGGCCTCGCCTAGTTGCTTTATGAGCTTGGGTTATCTTAACAGACCTATACAAGTAAATATCTTTATCTTGAATAAAATAACAAATATGGATATATTTTTATGTAGTGTCTGATCATTCGATCGGATGTCTGATCGGTTTTCGGAATAAATTATATAATTCTTATTCAGTTTAACTGAATGGTAATACTTGAATGGTTTATTTTTTTTTAATTCAATCAACTACATATTCACTTAAAAAAAATGGATTAATAGAAACTTGGCTTATGCTATTTTCAGACAGAATATTATTTTATACCTACTGCTTTATATGTTTATTTTGTAGGAATACAAATTATGACAGCAAATTATAACCAACCAAATTAGTTAAGACATTTCTGAGATTAGCACCAACAAACAGACAATAATTCTGTCAGTCACTCTGTTAATGTATCACCCAATAACAGTTTTTCTTTTATACCTTTCATACTGTAAACAGATATATTTTTATTATTAATTATTATTATTTATAAATAAGAATACATTTCAACTGCTAATAATAATAATATACAATATAAGGTTTTAATATTTATAATTGCAAAAAAATATACACTTGCGGCCTACCTAAAATCCTAAATGCATTGCAACTGTTACGGCTATGGTGGACATGACACGCCCTCATTTCGCCCGGGATTATTTGATTCCAACGTGCCGAGGGCAACACGTATCTTATGGTATGTATTGGACTAATTTAGTTTGTTAACAATGTTTCTATATAACTAGAAAGTATGTTGTTAGGTCAATGTTTTATTATTAAATCCGTTAAAAATTAACTAGTTACCAAATTAAATAAATATATTTTAACGTGCATTAAATACTTGTTACAGTTTTTAGAACATGTAGTTATTTATTACGCAATCTCCATCAATAGTGTAATAAACAAGTATGCTTTCGTTGCGGCTAAGTTCGTAAGGGCTAAAATGTCGTCCACGGAACGGCTCATATGAGAGTCTAATCGCGGAAAATAGAATCTAAGGGTTAAAATATTTGCCAGGTGGTGGAAAGGTGACATGCACGTTACCACTATCGTTTATTCAATGTCCATTGGATTTTACATTAAAAATAAGCATTGAATTTCTAATCAATTATCGGCCTTTAGCTAAGCCTATGGTAGAAAGTAGATGCTTAAATTAGATATAATTTATTTTCATTTAAAATAATAGTTTACCATTCTTATTCTAATCTTTAAACCAATGTCATTAGTATTTTCTATATATCTGGGACATGGGTACAAAATGAATTAGGATTACGTTTCACATTATTGGTTCGTAACCCTAAGAAAGACATATGTACACGCGCATGCGCTCTCGTAATATACACTTGTTGTGTCTATTAGAACGGTATGTCATAATGCATTGTCAGTAGGTATAGCAGCACACAGTAACAGTAAATACGACGTCACTGTACTTGCTTACGTAACACGATCTGCATTTTAAATGTAAACTAACAATCCGCCCCAAGGTACTCTACAAGGGGTGTATTAATGAGTATATGAGACAAATTCTTTAGAGTATAATATTGATGTAATTTTGATATATGATGATATCTATTATTTTCGCTTCTCTATACGATATTTCTTTCATATAAACTTTTAATGGTAATTGTAAAATTAACAGGTATCAGGTCATATAGGGTGCAGCCGTTCTGAAGCGGCACGCTTACATACATGCGGCAATTGATTTTTATTTATATAGATAGTAGTACGCGTAATCATGATGCCAATACGCCCGACGTCGAGCGAGTAACCGAACTATGGAATTGCGAGCTCAACGGTCAACTATGTAAGTTATTTCACAGATAACTGTAACTTACGTGTTCTTCCCCTCATGCTCCCAAATCTACACTTACAATAAAAATGTGGTCAGTTACATTTCTCATAAAGCTTAAAAGATTATGAGAAAAACTACTATTAGGGGACATTATTAACATATAATAATAGAACACACGAACTAACGGTTATTATTGGAATTATGGTCCGTTTGTGAGTTTGTATGCACTAATCTCAGAAACGGCTTAACAGATTTGGGTGTAGTTTTCGCTAATATATATTATAATATTTTTATGTGGCGTGGGCCCAAGTATTGTACTGCACACAGGCGTATTCTCTTCCCACAACCATTCTTCTACTAGCTTAGGCGTAACTTTACTGTTATCAAGTAACTATGGTTTTAGAGGTTGCTTACTTTAACCCTTTAAAAACATGATCCATGCTATATGGATTGATTAAAATTTCCATCGGTAACCAGACATCATTTACGTTCACTTTATTTTACTACAATTATAGATAGATATGGGACTTTATCGAAACACACCTTCATACACCCTTCAATCAATAAAAATACTTATAACAATTTTAGTGGCCGCCCCGGTCAATTCTGTTATCAATTACATATAAATTATTATTACACAGATATTAGTAATCCAAACTCAGGTAGTTTACTCTTACTCTGTTATTATTATTATGATTTTGTCATTGTAATGGAATAGATAGTAGGTAATGTAATACATTTTGGTTTTTAATATTTTATATATAAAAATATATGTTTGACGATATGTTATCTATTATACCTTCGATTCAACTTCCTCATTGTACAGACACTCAGCAACATGATAAGAAGTTATAAAATCAAAAAGATATTGTAATTACTAGTTGTATATTGTTTATAGTACTTACTAGTAGTACAAACAATACAGCAATAATCTATGCAGCCAATTATTGTGAAACTTAACTGCGTTTAAAGCAACAAAATAGCAAACAATTGTATGTACAATACTGTATTATGTAAAATATGTAGAATTGAAAACTAATTACTTAATGTACCGTTTGTAGGTTCTCAACGAGTACAGTATTAAATGCACACACATGCACATATAATATACACAATAATTGTATCAGTTCAAACTGCATGAAAACAAGATTCATTCAACTGTTGTTCCACTATAAATGCGAATTTTGTCTACTACAATTTAAACGGACTCTCCTATTTATTACAATCGTCTGATAAATCTTAGACTGGCCCTTGCATCAAGATACGTTTAGTGCTGACGCACCAAAATGCCACCCATCGATCGATCCCCCATCCAATTTAAACTGGGATCGAAGTTGCGACGGCCTGAGCCGAGGTTCGAACCCTTGCAGTGCTCTCGGACTAAAGTCGTATCCGTCAGGCAGGAGTTGGCCTTCAGCCGCTCCAAAGTCTTTCCGCGAGTTTGGAGTGCCACCTACACTCCCCCATATCCCCTCCATCGTCCGGTGAAGCTGTAAAGGCTAACTGCGGCCAACAGTATTAGAGTAGACCAAAAACTTAAATTACTGAGGAGTCTTAATTTTTTAAAACCCTAATACCAATAAGCTTTTACTTAGTATCTATACAGGTATCTGTGATAAATGTGACAATAGTTCAGCAGTCAAAAATATAATAAATCACAGAGTGAATTTTTTTAAGTTAAAACTGAAGTAGAAAAAAGAGTTGAGAGTGACCCACTCGACTAATCTATTATTAGGTTTTATCTATGAACGTGGTGAAAACGTGGAAATATAAATATAGCAATGGGTGAGAACAACTTAGCGTCTGACAGACCTGGGGTTGCCT